ATGCCTGAAAATTAAATTATTAAATAAATGTAAATAGTAACTATCATTTTATTTTATTTTTTATTTTTTACATCACGTTAAGTTTATTGAAGTGTAAATACTACATTATTATTAATTTGAAGATCATATTCACAAAGTATTGCCCATTTTTCAATCAGAATTTATCTCTTGAGGATCGTTAGCGACTGCAAGCCGATTCTCCCTGTTAAGGGGTAGTTACCCCGTCGCATTCTCCTCATCAAATCAGCCTTGCAGCAATATTTTATATTTTCTCCGCGACACTTCTCGCCAGCGAATTAATTACCACTGCGACAATTTAATCAGCGCGCTCGCTTCACACGGGCAATAATTATCAGCCTGTGATTAATTAGCCCTGTATAAATTCGGCTCGGCCCCGGATCGATCCGTCGATACTTTTCGGTCGCGCGAGTCGAGAGAGCTGATTTATTAATTAACACGGCTGCCCCTCCAGCCGCCCTCGCTCGCTCGCTCGCACTTGAGCAGGGGTATTATTTCTGGAATGCCGACGCCGGCAACGCCGAATCGGCCGCGGCGCCCACTCGGAAGCGAGCCACTTTAAAGTGGATGGAGCGCTCGTGGAATTTCGATTGGCGGCCGCCCGGAACCAAAATCAACCTTACTTGTTAGTTAGGCGCAGTGCCAAAAGTCAAATGCCTCAACGCGACTCTGTCAATTTTTACGGCGTATTTATTTCAATGTACCAATTTTTTTTTTTTTTTTAAATTTACCAATTCAGCATAAATTTGAGTTGGTAAAATTGTAGGTGCCAGTGACAGTTGTAATAATTCCTCCATATTTAATAGGAATGAAAGTTTTTTTGAGAAATATTTTATTTATTTAGAAGAAAAACCAGGAAATTGGTCAAAAATAAATGGCGTTGGAATTGAAATTAAGCTTTTCCATGTTTAGAAGTATGAGTCGTTTATTGGGCTCTTCTTACAAAACAATAAACGACTCAAACAACCAGAGAAAAAGCTGTATTCAAATTCAAAGACCGTGAATGAACCTGTGAAGTGCTTTGAACTTAAATTTTTTTCTACAAAATAACCTAAATGTTGATAGCAAAAATGTCATTATATATTTCCCTCAAAACAAGTAAAATGAAGTAATGCAGTTCGAAAGTAAATTTAATTTTAAGGAATCTAAATTAAGGTCTTTTATCCTTTACTTAATCCAAAAACATGCGAAAATTTCTTTTCTTCTCTTTCCCTTTTTCTAATTGAGGAAATTTAATTTCAAATGTTTTTTTAAGTTAAAAATCATTATTTTGCAATAAAATTGCCTTATTTTAATACTTTTAATTTAAATGATTTAAATGATCTATTTTATGACTTCAGAATGAAATACAGCATTTCACTTACATTTTAAACAATCATATAGGAATAATAATTTAAAAAAATTTGAAAATTTATACTGTCAATTTAGCGTTTTGAACGCTTGAAGGGGTTGTACACTTTTTCCGATCGGCAGGGAATTTTGGCAAGAAGTGGTGCTGGCGACCCTCGCCATAAAGAGCAAACGTGCCCGTTCTTGTGATTAAAAGTCGCTGGGCGTGCACTTTTCCCTCGGCGGCCCGTTTGGCAGCCGCCGCCGCTTTCCTTGTGTGGAAATTACATTATGTAATAATTTGGAGTTGCGCCCGTGCGGCTCACGCGCGCCACACACCTGGAAATAAACTTTTTTTTTTGTGGTAGAATTTCACAATCGAGGGTTGATTCATGGTGATTTGAATTTAAAATCGGCTTTTCCTCGATGGGTTTTTGTGAGTTGTTTATTGTTTAAGAAAAAACAATATCCTGCTCTACATGCTGCGGGCTGCAGCCATAATTCATGAGCTTTCTCGGCGGTGGTCGAGAGAAGACTTCTCCAGTCCCGTACACTAATGATGGCAATGCTGACGGAGTGGCCGCGTCGTTGACACGCGTCGGACACTTTTGCACTTGATGCTAATTAGTTTCGATTTGGAATTCGTCAGTGCCAATTTGGATTAGCGAAAAGACACAACTTGTTTGTGGCACGTTGTAAAAATTCGTCGTTGCAAATTTTTAATTTAACATGATAATAGTAAATAAACAATATCAGTGAAAGAATAAACCAAAATTGCTGAATTGTTCATATTATTTTAACAGAAAAAAAATTATAAATTGAAGCTCGGCCATTAATTTAATTAAACACAGGAAGTTAGTTTCACAGTTAAACGATTTTTCTAACTAAATCATATTCAAATTTTTATTAAAGCGAAAATTTTCTTTTACATTTTTTTTTTATGGAGATGAAATTTTTTAATGAAAAAATAAAATATACTTGCGTGAAAGAGAAATTTAATTTTTTACATTAAATTCTTCTCTGAGCGTCTTTTTTAAATGCATAATTTTTTCATCTTTTTACTTTTGGCTCTTATGAATTGAATGACTTTATTACTTTTTGATTCGGTGCTACCGACCATGTTATCAGTTGATCCTAGGTATAGTTTTGCAATCGAATCGGAATGCCAAACGCTTTTAAGGGCAATTTGCAGCATTATCTGAGGCGCGAGATGGGTTTTGATATCGCGGCGACTTTTCCACTCTTTCTTATCGGCTGAAGGGACACGCCTTGGTTTCTTTGCTTTTCGGCTGCCGTGCGCGCGCGGCTCTCGGGCTATTATTTTTTCTCGGCCTCTGTATTTGCGCTGCAATGCGTTCCCCATACGTGTGTGTATGTATAAAAGGGCAGATAAACAGAGAGACGGCTGGAATGGCCGCGCCGGACTTTTTATTGCACTTGTTCTTTCTTACTCTCGAGATCAGCGCCGGCTGACGAAGCACTTTCCCTAGCTAGGGGTGCACAAACCGCAAAGTCACAAGTTGGAACTGGAAACGAAAAGATTTTTGACTGGAATTTTAGCGAGCTTGCGATAAATTTGAAACAAGGTATATCGCATTTGTTTAAAATCATGAAAAAAGTAAAAGCCAATTCTTTTAAGCGAAATATTGGCAAAAATGCTCAATAGGCAAAATGGTGATGTCACTTCACTTATATTTAAAAAAAGCAATTTATCATGATATGCGTGAATTTGAGCTTCCCTGATGTACTTAATGCATTTAAAATAAATATAATATTATTAAATTTATCAAGGAGTATGTTTTTTTCATAATCAACTGTAGATTATTTTGTTGGTTTAGATAAAGTCAAATTTTTTGCAGGAAGTGCGTTTTGCGTCGGAATAAAGCTTTCCGCCATTTATCAATTCAAAAGTAGATTAAATTATTATTACATATAAGATAGATAAAGTGGTAAAGGAAAATTCGGAAAAAAAAGTCGGCGAAAGTTTTTCAACTTTTGTAATTTTTAAGCTGAAAATGAAACTTTTGGTACTTTTCTAAGTAAATAATTCTATCCAAACTGCAGATAAAGCTATATTCCCAAGGTGATGGACTGGAAAATACAGAGAAATAAATATAATCAGAGACCCAATTCAGTGATTGATTTCTAAACAGTCCTGATCAAGGTCAAATTGATCCATCACGGTTCATTTATCATTCATTGATCACGAATGGGCCCTTCTTGATATTTTTTCCGCCCCTTTCCAGACGGGGCTTGAAATCCGAGCCGGCCGGGCGGATATCGGAGCACCGAAAAATTGCAATCGAACATCAGCAACAGTCTCTATGTATGTATGTACATGGTTGGGCTGAAAAAGACGGATGGCGTGAGACAGAAAATCAATCGAGTGCAAATGAGTGTGTTTGGGTTCGCTCGGCCCCCGGCCAAAGTGCTGCACACTTTGAATACAAGAAAAAGTAATTAGAAAACGCATCGGCCGCAGCGACACTTTTTTTAGAGCTTTAAAGGCCGCCGAGAAATTAGATAAAGCAGCTCTGCTGGGCAGGCGGGCGGGCTGAGCGGTAGTACTAGCGGCTGGTTGTTATGGCAACTAGGCCCGCATGACGTCATTACGCTCGAGTAACTGAGCCCGTTCGCCTCGCAGCCATATGTAATGCTCGGTGCCCAACTACCAAAGGTGAAAGTTCAGCCGGACCCCCGAATGCACCTGATGCACAATGACGACAAATTCGCATTGATTTCGCACACTGAATAAATCTCGCGAGTTTCATTCAGTGAGTGGCCCATTTCAAATTCATTTCATTTGAGAGGCAGATTTTTTTATCTAAATTTAGAACAATACACATGCTGGAGGATACTTGAATGAATGAATAAATAAATGACCGTTTTATTTTTGGTACAAAATATGTTTTGCGATTTATTTGTTCGTTCTCTATTCAATTGTTACACAATCGCTTTAAGCTGTAAATAATATTTACTGACAAAAAATTTAAAAGTGACGTACAAAAGAAGGTTTTTGTTTTAATTACCCACAAAATTAAAATAAAATCAACTTAAATAAATAAATCTAACAGACTAATATATTACTGATTGTTTAATACTTTTTTATAAATGTTAATATCGCATTACAATAAACTTAACCTCTTTCATAATCAGTCTTTTATTATTAATAATTTTTGTGATTTCTATTTGGAAGTTAATTGGACAGAATACCATTTATCACTGTGATAAATTTTATCTGACCGAGTGAAGAGTTCCCTTCTCCTGCTGGAAGTGGTCATGCACACGAAATTGATTTTGACGTTGCGCACCAGTAAATTATGTGCAGTTTGCCGAATCGACTGTTTACATTTGAATAATGTCAAAATGTTGGAGGCTCTCGATTGATAAAAATTGTCATTGAGGCAAAATGGTGCTGTCAAATGCGCTCTTTGACCTTTTTTAATAAAAATTTTCATTTTCCGGTCCTTCCATAGAATTAAATATTTTAATATATATGTCGTTTTGAATTAAAATGAAAAATCTTGGCAAATTCGACAATTATATTAAAAAATGGTGTTAACCAATAAAAATTCCGAAATAAATTTTATTTCATTCTGTTTGAATTACAAATGAAAACTCAAAACTGACGTGTGGATTGTTTATTGTTAAAGATGTCCCGTCAATGGAGCAGGAGGATCTGTTCATCCGCAAGCTGCGGCAGTGCTGCATCGGCTTTGACTTTATGGACCCGGTGGCCGACCTCAAGGGCAAGGAGATCAAGCGCGCCTCCCTCAACGACCTTGTCGACTACATTACCGCAGGTCGAGGAGTTCTCACCGAGCCCGTCTACCCTGAGATTATTAAAATGGTCAGTGATCTGCGTCAGCTGATCGATCGTTTTTTCTAACACTTTGCTTGAGCAGATCTCGGCCAACTTGTTCCGCACATTGCCACCCAGTGAGAATCCGGACTTTGATCCCGAGGAAGACGATCCTACGCTGGAGGCTTCGTGGCCACACCTGCAGGTGAATCATCATTTTTTTTTCTCAAATTAAATATAAGTTTTTTTTCAATACTGGTAATTAATCATTATAAATTAATTACCTGTGGATATTGATAAATTTTTTGATAGTTTAATTAAAAATTAATAATACTTGTTTTTTTTTTACAAATTAATAATTTTTATTAAAATCCAAGTACTTGTTAAAGTCATTATAAAATAATTACCATTGAATTGAACCAGTTTCGTTGGTTCGTCTCTGCAGCTGTGACTGTTTTGATGGTATTTAAGCAAACAACTGCTATTAGTGACAAGCTTTCTTATATTTTTTTCTTAAAATTTTCGGAAGAAGAATATTTAATTCTAAAGATATCTATTAATAAGCTCTTTAAAAAAGGAAACCTATTCAATGTGCTCTGTTTAACAATCAAAATTATTTTTGATAAATTTTATGAAGAATAAAGGGGGAAAATTTTTTTTTCAGCTGGTGTACGAATTCTTTTTGCGGTTTTTGGAATCATCCGACTTTCAGCCAGCGATCGGCAAACGAGTCATAGACCAAAAATTTGTTTTACAGGTGAGTGTTTGTTTGCGCGCGTTTGAAAAATTTAGATTGTGTGCGCGTCTGTCTCGCTCTGTCTGACTCGCTAATCCCTGCTTGCAGTTGCTAGACCTGTTTGACAGCGAAGATCCTCGAGAACGCGACTTTTTAAAGACGGTGCTGCACCGTATCTATGGCAAGTTCCTCGGTTTGCGCGCCTTCATCCGCAAACAGATCAACAACATCTTTCTCAGGTAGATACATGCCCGGCGAGGAAAAACTCCTTGCTCGTCTTCTCCGCCGGCTGCATTACGGGCCATTAAGTGCTGGTTTGGCACTCAAATGCATACAGACTGCTTTTTATGGCATCACTGCTCCAAAATAAGATTTCCTCCGCGGCCTGCCGGCCGGCAGAATAAAATATACATAAATTTTCCACTAACATGCGATCAGGCCACTCGCAGACAGCGAGAGGCTCCGCACCGCCGAGCAGTCTGCCCGACGCGGCAGATTTATTTTCAAAATCGGCGGCGCTGCGGAGGAAATTCCGAATGTTAATTTATTTTATATTTAACTTGAATTTATTGACTTTTGCTGATACCCTTTAGTTTTCCTAACTATGAGAGGTTAAAATATATATCAAAGACTTGGCAGTTTAAAAAAAAATTATATATTCTAATGACGAAAGAGCCTACTTTGGGACATTAAGTAAGGTTCTTTTGATTTCTTATTAAATCTTAAGCACTTTTTATCAAATTAACATTAAATCAAGCGGATTTCTTAACTTGAAGCCTTATGGAGTGAAATCTCATTATCAATTCAGGCAATTTCTCGCACTAAACTATTTATTTTTGCACAACTTATCTCTTGCATTTTTAGATTTCTAATGCAATTTATGCTTTCAGGTTTATATACGAAACGGAACACTTCAATGGTGTTGGGGAGCTGCTGGAGATCCTGGGCAGCATCATCAACGGCTTTGCGCTGCCCCTCAAGGCAGAGCACAAGCAGTTCTTGGTCAAGGTGCTACTGCCACTGCACAAGGTCAAGTGCCTCTCGCTGTACCACGCGCAGCTGGCCTACTGCGTGGTGCAGTTCCTCGAGAAGGATGCAACCCTCACCGAGCCCGTGTGTCGTGGCCTGTTGAAGTATTGGCCCAAAACATGCAGCCAGAAGGAAGTGAGTACTTTTCCGCCTGTGTGTCCAATTCTAAATCCTGTCTCCTTTCTGCTCCAGGTCATGTTTCTAGGAGAAGTAGAAGAGATTCTTGATGTAATCGAACCATCGCAGTTTGTTAAAATTCAAGATCCAATGTTCCGACAAATTTCTAGATGCGTCTCCAGCCCTCATTTCCAGGTTAGTATAAGGATTATTTGAAATTTGTTCAAAATTAAATGTTTAAAACATCATTGCAGGTTGCTGAGAGAGCGCTGTACTTCTGGAATAACGAATACATCATGTCGTTAATAGAGGAGAACAACCATGTGATTATGCCAATCATGTTCCCAGCGTTATATCGAATCAGCAAGGAGCACTGGAACCAGACCATAGTGGCCCTCGTGTACAACGTGCTCAAAACCTTCATGGAGATGAACAGCAAATTGTTTGACGAGCTAACGGCGTCATACAAAACAGAGAGACAAAAGTAAGAGTGACAGCCGCTGAGATAATAATTGCAATCAGCCAAAATAATCTTGTTATTATTCGTTATTGTGCATCGTCTCTGAGTTAAAGTTGACATGGATTGCTATTGTAATAAGTGCAAATTTTAATTCACTTGCAGGGAGAAGAAGCGAGAGAAAGAACGGGACGAGTTGTGGAAGAAGCTGTCAGAGTTGGAGTTGAACCACAGCAACAAAATAAAAGAATCTGGAGACTCGAAAGCAGCCGCTGGCAAGTGATAGTCAGCGCCGCCTCCGTCGCGCCCCATCAGCCGCCACAGCAGGTCGAGTGCCGTCGCATCAGTAGCAGCCGGCGGCACCGAGTGTGACATTTAAAAAAACGCAAAAACGGACCTTGGATGTGTGACCGAGAGAGAGACTGCCAAACAATGTCCTAAATTATGATTTACCTTGCCCCGCGAGCCCTACGAGCACTCCTACCGCAGATGAGAAAACGAAAAGAAAAAACTACTCTTAAAAAAAAACATGAAAAATATCATTAATAGACTCACCGTGGTTATAAAGAAAGAAAGAAATCAACCTTACAATTAGATTAGGCCGTGCTTTTCTCAGCAAGTTGTTACACGAAAGAAAAAGAAATTAATTAACAGTTAGATGAGTAAAATGTGGAAAGATGTCCTTTTTGCTGCTTTCTGTTGGAAAAGACTATTTATATAAAAAGAAATACTTGTTGAAGCCATTAACCGAAGAAATGCTGTAAGCCAGTGAACTTAATTTTAACTTGCCGAAAAGACTCGTCGCCTCGGAGATCAGTCTCTTGCTGTATTAAGAAAACGCTGCACTACCAGAATATCCCAGATTTTTTGTATATCGCTTGAAAAAGGATGAGATCCTCGAGAGAGGAAAATACTTGTTGAAAATAATAATTTTGCCATATCAACCAAACGTTAAGGAGGTGTGCTACCGAGGCGGCGGGCACTTGCGGAAAAGCCAGGGGGTTGGAAGCTACAAAAGGAAACAGTTATTTTTCTTCCAAGAAGAGAAAAACACCGAGGCAAAAATCAATCCCCTTCCGTCATTGTCCGTAAAAGTGTTTCTGTTTTAAATATAATGTGATGCAATATAAATAACTAAAAATACAAGAAAATATGTACTTGGTAAATGGTGTAGCTCAAATTATTATTATTCTTATTATTGATTATTATATTTGAACCATCAGCCGGAACAAAATAATTAAAAGAAAGAAAGAGCAACTACTCCCAGATTCTTTTGTATATGCAAGACAAAACAAAACTAATTATTGCACCAACCATGCAAGTCGCAATCATTCGTGTTACTTTCTTCTGTGAAAGGCATTATGTTCTCGTCCACTCACAAACAAACACACATCATTCTCACCGTTCAATCTAGACTCGCAGACAAACGAAAGATGTCGGTTCATGTGCAATCAATCTGCCGATCTTTGGTTTGAAAGACTAGCTTGATCAGAAATTGGAAATTTAGCTTAATGACAAAAACCAAAGGACAAAAAAAAATTGGCTGCAATTATTGATAGCCTTGTTTGAAAATTTTTGAAATTTTAATTTGATCAAAAATTACTGTTCTGTTAATATTGTTGTTTGGGTTTTTGCACAAATTAAAATTTCCTAATAATTCATATTGGGCTACAAATTTTTAGAATTTTCCAACAGTCCTTTTGATTTTGAATTTCATTCTATAAACGGTGGGCCAGTCTTTTATGATCAATATCGTCTCCTCGAGTGCCAGCTTCTTTCGGTCAATCTATTTTTGCTGCCCATTTTTAGTGTGTCCAAGAAAAGGCATGTGACGAGAAAAAGTAGTGAGCCGTTTGTAATTAATATTATGTTCCCGAGACTAACCATGTACGAGTCATAATTAATTAATTATTCTATTCGAAACTCCCTCAATATTGTACAGAGCAGAGGTTGTTTAGATGATTTCTCTGACTGATGCCGCAAAGGTTTCATTCTCTATTTTGTCCAGCACCGCGCCAAGATGCGTAAAAAAGAAGAAATTCCTCCAGTATAACCACAACTTTTCTATAAGCCAGAGGAGTTTTTGTATCTAAAAGTTAGACTTATCGTAAATAATTGAGCAGAGCGGATAATATTTTCACGGCATTTGAATCAAATTTTCCTTAATTGGTCACATTATTTTCCAAGGGAGTTGTTTTGTAACTGGAAAAAAATTATATCGAAGACAACTCACCGCCATTGCATTAATGCTATAATACCTGAGGAATTAACCAAAAATTAAATGGATAAAAAACTGCGTTTTTTGTTCTCAAAGTATTTCTTACTTAATTAAGTTTGAACAGTGGGATGTTGGAAAATGAAAAGTGTCTAAAGGACGGCGCGCGATTGCTTATTTTTCAATTTAAATAATATAGTTTTCCTCAGTCTCTCAGTTCTTGTCAATTTTTGTAAAAACAAAGTATAACGAGAGAAGAAGTGTGCGTGGGATTTTTAGCGGATTTTGATAAAAACGTTGCAAGTTGATTTTGGAATAATGAGGCTCTCTTGTGATCGAAAGAAAGAAAGTGTTGAGTTATAAATATATAAATCTCTGTGTCAAAGCAAAAGTTAAAGCGGTTTGAGTGTTGCAGAAAAAAGAACTATCCAACCAAAATAGTCTTTAGAAAAATCACACACAAACACAACACACACAAAAACACACACTCACACGAGTTGCGAAGAAGAAAAGAAGTTATGTATTATTAGTGCGGATCTTTAATCTACTTTCGTCCAACGTTCGCCAAGTTCAAAATTGTTCAACAAGTTACGATGCTTGCCAATTGTGTACTCGTTCGTAGACCTATCTGTTGTTGGTTTATAAATAATTAATTATTCTTATATAGGTATTCGAGAGCAAAATGAAAAAAAGAACCACCTATTAATTTTTTTTTCTTTTTTTTAATTTGTGGGAGAAATGTGTAATTTATTATACGCTTTTTGTCGTGCATGCTGTACCGAACGAACGAAAGGGACGTTGGCTCTCGAGTTCACTGAAACAAGCTAATTAAGAGAGACTTTTGACAAAGAAGAAGTGCTTAAGAAGAACCTTAGTGAGTGCTGAAAAACCGGTTTTTAATCTAATTAAACTATAATGTATTTGCGTATGTAATATGTGATGATTTTGTTCTACGAGAGACGACTTTTCCTCACTTTCCGAGAGTGCCAACGTCCTCGCTTTCTCCTCAGTTGTCTGTTGATCCAATTTTCAAAAAAAAAAAAAAAAAAAAAATGTTTCAGAACGCGCGATGATAATTTTTTTAAACCACCGTTGTGAATGTTTATTTTTTCTGATAGTCGAGAGTTGCTTTGAGCCGACGCGATGAGAATTTCGTTTGGAAAAGTAAAAAAACCGCAAACCCCATTTCCCCTTCATAAGCAGAGGACTCTTGTGTATTAAACGACGTTATTGCCTTAGGAACTGAATGCTGCCTCTCTTTTGCTCTCGTTGGTTGAAAAAGAAAGAAAAATCCGATGCATTGTACTTTTCAGTTTTCCGTATTGTATTTCAGGCAGAATATTACAGTGATGAGATGTATGTTATTCAGTGAACTCACTATTCACACAATCGACAAAACAAAAGGAAAGAACGCTGCTCCTTTTTCTGTACTTACTACTTCACTTGTTATCTTTTAGGGTCGGAGAAGATAAATTCATTTATTTGATTGCTTGTGTCGACAATGTATGTACGCCAAATGAATGAAAAATGAGAATTTACTAACTGAAGCAATTCGTAATTTAGTTTGTTGGTTTTTGAATAAAACATAGTTTTTTTGTTTACTGATAATTTTAATGTGTATAAAAATAATAAAAATATAAGTGAACTCTCAGCTTTTTTGTTTTGCTCCAGGCAAATCTAACCATACTTCTGATTTTAATGCAATTCATTTGGATGTTTTATAAAATGAAACTAACACGCTTTTTATACAAGCTCGTAACAAAATTTATTAAACCCCGAACAGAGATACAGAGGATATCATCATCTGTCAACTTGAAAGAAAATAATAATCATATGATCAACTGCGAGAAGGGCCAAAATAGTTCTTAATTATTTTTGCACGTGGGTCAGCAGGATGATTGGGGGAAAGGGAAATTTTAAGACAGCGCAAGAAGTTTTATCCAGCAAGAATATTTGCAGCTTCGTCAGTAAACGCGTTTTAATGTGTAAGTATTTACAACCAACATGGAAGAACAAAGTCCCCTCCAAGGACCGGAATGATTTTGCACGACCAACAAATCTGTGTGGTCCAAGTCAGCTTTTAGTCTTTGCTTTCTTTTCTTCTTGTTCCTTATCACTCGATCGTCGACATGACCACGTGTGCGACCTGTTTTTAATTATAATATTTTACACTAGGGCGCCACATGACTTCATGCAGTGTTCGTAGCCAATGAAGATGGCCGCGTTGACAGGGAAGGCGCGACCCACAACCAGCCAGAAGCCGCGGCCAAAGACTCGGAGGCCTTCCGTGCGGACACTGCTCACCGCACAGTGCAGCATGCCACGATACTTGGGCTGAGCGCCATTGTCTGCCTGCAGCCGCGACTTGATCACATCAAGGGGCAAGATCACACCCCAAGATACTGAACCTGAGGACACATTTTTTTATTAGATAGTTAAAAATATATTTAAGAAATAAAAATGCTCTTTATTATGATAGTTATTCATTTAAGAGAAGAAAAAATTTTAAATTTCTATTTAAAAAAAAAAAATGTAAAACTCGATCCAACTGAAAATTTATCTTATAATCTTTAGTTTTCCTTTACTGATTTTTTTTTTATAAAACTAGATAATTTAGTTTTAACTGCTTCGTACAGCCCAATTTTATGAAGAAAAAATATAATTTAACTTTAAGTTGAAAAAGGAATTTAAGTACATCAACATTTTAATAATAATGGTTTTTAATAAAAATCTTACCAGCCAATCCTCCAGCAAATAAGGTGTTGAGCAGCGTCGTTTTGCTGGTTTCCAAGGGTTTCAGCGCCCTGCGAGTTGCCTGGTAAACCAGCATGTATACCCCTGATGCAGGAATGTCTCTGTAAACTAAAATTGTAAAACAATTGTTCCCCAAAAATTAGTTTTGTTCACCTCAAGATCATTGGAGTGAGACCTCTGTAGAGACCACTGACGCCTTCAGCTTGGAAAACTTTGAGCAGACAGTCGACAGGGCCCTTGAAGTGGCTTGGTTGGTTGGAGCCCCACGAAGCAGACGAGCCTGAACAATGAAAATTCATACATTGATTTTTCTTGTCGATTATATACCATACCAGTCTGAATCTGCAGTTTGATTTTAGCTAGGTCAACAGGACACGCAACCCCAAGTTGAGCAACGCCCCCTATGCAGCCGGCAAGAAAGACGGTGGTCAGATTGGCCTCGCTCTCAGGTCTGACATCGTCGCTGAGCAGCGACTGCATTTGTCGCAGACTAGTTCCATAGACGCCAAAATAGAGCGAGTTCATCAGCCCGGCTGAGAGCACAGGAAAGGACATTCCTTTATAGAAGCCGAGGAACTGCAAATTTTTGAAGAAAAATTTTAGAATGCATAATAATTTAATCAGAGAACAAAAGAATTATATTCAAAATAGTTTAAAAATGGATTGTAGCACTGTGAAAAATTTAACAACAATATAGATAAGTTTGAAATAGAAAAAAAAACTTACTCCTTCATGTTTGAGAGTGCTGGCTGCACACTGCCACGCACCTGCTTGACTGAGGGTTTGTTGCCGCACCTTGATTGTGTCAGCAGGATGTCCAACCACCAATCCACAGGCACCTAAAAAGTAAATACAAAATTTTTAATTTATGTTTCAAGTCAGGAATATCAAAAGCAAAAGATTTGTTTTAAATCTAAAATAAAATTTATTTTATGTGAAATAGTATTTTAATTATTAAATAAGTTGAGTTTTAGCCCAAAAACATTTATTTAAATTTAATTTAATTAAAATAAATGGAATGTAAAAATATATTAGTTTTATAAAACAAACTAAGCAATTTTTAGCCCTGAATATAAATCCTTACAATCACAACTGGAAAATAAATAATGATTATAATTGATCCTCGGCCAATTTTGTAATGACCTTTTAACCCAGCACTAGATCTTTGTCGAAAAGAAAACAAAGAATCTTCTGATAACAGTCATGCAATAAAAACAAACAGAAACTGAAATTCCTGCTGTAAGGAGATGAGATGAATGAAGACGTCATAAAAAAATGTACCTGCAATCCATCCACAGAAGAAATCGCACGTGGCAGTCATGTCGCTTTCGAGAGTCACAGTGCATCGGAGCTGGCGAAGGGGTGCCGCAAGACGACAGAGTTCAGGGCAGCCATGGTGCCCACACGATGATGATTGCTGACTGGGCACCGAGATGCGCGCTGTTGGGCGTCGCTCGCTCCTCACACCGACCGGCGCACTCGCTCCTCTCGCGGGGAGGTGAGTCGAGAGAGGCACCAAGTTAGCTAGGAACTGGTATCACAAATATGCATGCTTTGGCCACACCGGATCACAGCAGCTCACGGCCAAGAAACACGTTGACTGACTCGACAGAATTATGGTTAGCGTTGCGAGTCTCCGATTCGAACGAACAAGGAATGAAAAGTGACTGGATGGGGCGCAAAATCTAACACAGGAATGCTCGCGAGAAGGCACTTTCACTTTTGAGGCTGTGAGCAAAATTTCTTAACATGGTCCACTCGGTTCGTTCTTTGCGTAACACACTGAAGGCGAGTTTGTCGTGTTGTTCTTTTTTTGAGCACTTAATATAGCTTTTTTAATGCAACTTAATAAAAATTAAGGAGTTCTCCAAGTCCAGCTTACACATCGACTGACTTACTTAATTCTACACCACTGACGCTTAAACGCTAAGCTCTTATGGCTACAATTGATATTGTATCTATTTACATAATTCGCTGACGGGAAAAAAATAATAACTGACTGGGGGGAAGCTGGTAGGCTGATTGATAGGACAAAGGTGTTTCGAGCGGGGACATACTTTGAGCATGGTTCAAAATGCAAGCAAATCATTTAAGAAAATAATAAATTCCAGTTAAATAAGACTTGTTGTTGAATAGTTAGAGCGGCAGAAGAAAAAATGTGTAAAGAATAAGAAAGGTATTTATAAAAGTAATGGTAGCAAAAGTAAAAGCAGCCGAATCACACCCGGGGCAGCTGCTTGGTCTGGGACGGGTTGTCGTTGGGAAGGTCCGTGTCCGACGACTGGTCGCTGTCTCCAAGCACCATGAACGGATTCTTGGTCTTCGGCACTCCACTCCCGCTCAGCATGCCACCTCCGCTCCCGCTGGTCCACTTGTTGAAAGACATGGGTCGGCCGAGGTTGAACTCTTGATCCTTCACTAAGCCACCAGTCAACTTTTTGGCGTCGAATGGGGTGTTGACCGGTTTGGGAGGTCGAGGTGTGCTTCGGGAAAATTTGTCGTTTGGGCGGTCCTGCCCCCGAGACGGCGTTCGAAGATTTGACTGAGGCATGGGCGAGGGTGGTGGCACAGCAGCCGCCTCCTTCTTGGCTTCCTGCGCGATTTCCTCCATAGTCTTGGGCTTGGCGGCCTCTCGGCGAGGTTTCCATCCACTGTCTCGCAGCTCCACGACGTCCTGCATCATGAACCTGATTCTCGTTGACGTGACTTTTTTATCCACTAGCTGCTTAATTTGTGCAAATGGTTCCTTCAGTTCAACACCCTTGTCTGTCAGGTCTTTGCCAATGGTGGTCAGAATCTTACACATGCACTCGAGAGACTCCTCGCCGCGGTCTGAGAGCAGTTCCAAGATGCAGCGTAACATGATAGCATCCGTCAATAAAGAACGTTGATACAATTCGGCAATGAACCTGTTCACGCCAACATACCTGTAACAAAGGAATTCTTATTTAGTCGAGGTGTTTAAAAATGAATAATGCCATGAGCCTGTGATATTTTAACTATTTCCATATCCCAAATCATGACTTTCAAAATTCACATTTCCCACAAAAATTAAAGTTGAATTAATTACCTGACTCGCTTTTTCCTCTCCATTTCAGCAAGTTCCATTTCAAGCTCTTTTTTCGAATCACCAGTGGCTTCCTCTATTTTCTTAACCATCTCCTCTTTCTTCTTGTCTTCAACCTCATTTTTATTCTGCTTCTCAAACTCCTGTTGACACCTTGTGATCAACAGTTTTTTGAACGAGACCAAAGTTTCTTGGCCTTCCAGTTCCGTCCTCAATTTTACATAGCATGATAGTTCATGGCACATTTTGGCGTATACGTGAGAAAAGCTGGGTTCGTCAATCGCCTTTAGGAAGATAAGGTTGATCACCCCATCAAGTTTTTCCATTGTATCAATTTTCATTTCTTTCACTTGGCCCATTAGCTTGTCAAACTTCTCGGGCGTGATTTTGTTCAAAATGCTGCGAACCTTCTTGAGGAGCTCTTCCTTCTCGGAGGCGTCATCTTCGTCACTCTGTTTGCGCGTTGATGGTTTCCATGCGTTTTCAGTTTCATTCAGCTTGACGTCGGCATACAAAGAAATGCTCTTGATAATCCGTGGGTCTCTGCGTGGAGAAGAAGAGGAAGCAAAGGCAGGCATCAGGTTGTTTTCATTACTAAATTGGAAGCCACCACCAACAGGTCTGGAGGACCTATTGGCTTCGCGCAGAATGTTTTTGGGAAGATTAACGTTGTCTGGAAGCTTCAAACTGACGGGAACCGTCTGCAACTTTTTCAAAAAGTCCGACTCATACTTTTTCTTGCCCTGCTGGTTAAAAGGGCTCCACTGGTCCTCAGCATACACTAAATTATCCATGGAAGAGGAACGATATAGTTTTTGACCTAAAAACAAAGCAATTGAAGAATAATTCGAGACCAAAACATAAGTATATTTCAGTTTATAACTTAATGGGTTTATTTATAACTTTCTATTTAATTTTATGGATTAAATTAAAAAATATATATATATCTCAGAAACATTAAATTTAGAACTTACTTGGTATCCGATTTTCAGACTTAGCCTCAGCCTTTTCTTCCTTGCCAACAGGCTCAGATGTTTCTGGCTCAACAGCTTCCTCCTTTTCCTCTGGCTGAACAGAGACTGATGGCAAACTAGCAGGTTCTTGTATCTCTTCCTTATTCTGGACAGGATCATCAGCTGCTTCAGTTGGCATATCAATAGGGCTAACGCATTTTGTCTCCTCTTTTTCAACAGGAACAGGAGTCTCAGATTCCTTCATTTTGACTTCTTCCAGCTTCTCAACCTTTTCTTTTGATTCACACTTCTCCTCCTCCTTGGTCACATCTTTAACGTCATTGACAGGGACATTTTCAACAGGTTCAGGCTCTTCAATGGGCTGGGTCTTAACATCTACAACTTCTGGTTCAGGCTTAATCTCTTCCTCCTTATTGACTGGCTTTACGGTATCAAGCTCCTCTTGAACAGTCTCTTTACTTTCCACGTTTGTCTGTACCTCTACCTTAATCTCGATCTCCTCAACCTTGGCTGGAGGGTCAGGTTTCTTCTCTTGGACAACTTCTGGCACCTTTTTCTCTTCTTTCTTTCCTAATAGTCGATCCTTGTAGCTGATGACAGCTGGTGGTTGCGGCGTTGGAGGTTCTGCTGGCTTCTCCGAAGCTGCCTTTAGGCCGCCGGCCGTGGAAGCCTTGCCCTTGGGACCCTTCTTGTCAAAGTCTTTTCGTCTCTGCGGCTGCTGCCTTTCCAGTTGCTTTTCCGGCACAGGTCTACTGTCTGTTTTCTTCTTGGAAGTCCTAGTTCTGACTTTGGCCTCCTGCCAATCTCCTCCGTCTTCCTCTGCCTCTGGAGGTGGCACCTCATGACTCTCTTGAGGTGCAGCGTGAGGCGTAACAGTCGAGGAACTTGGCTCTGGAGACTTAGAAGAAACAGGTGGCTCAGGAGTCGCGGCAGGAGACTTGTGTCTGGAGTCTTCATTGCGAGGAGCGCGCTGCTGTCTGGAAGCTGGTTTTGACTTTTTGTCGAAAGGTTTTGTTTCGACTGGTGGTTGTGGAACCTGAACAGGAGGTACTGGCGCTAGAAGAACATAATTTTAATTGAAGTATACCAATTTTTTTACCGGTTAATAATTTAAAATTTCATGCATATTGTCATGTTCTACATGATCGGAATTAAATAAAAGATGCAATAAAAATTTAAGGTTGTAATCCCAACGATAATAAATTTAAAAATAATAATCAACATAATAGGTTACCAAAATCTCATTGTCAGTTGCTAATCTATAAAGTGACTCAAAGTTCTCAGTATTTTGATAAACATATGTCTTTCAGAAATTTTGGGGATTTTTATAAACACTTCATACAAAGTTAATATAGTGATAATCTTGCAGAAGGCTTTTCAACGCATTTTCGCTGATAAAGTCGGCTGAAATTATATTTTCCAGTGAAATAAATTAAAAAAATTGTTAACCAAATTCAGTTGGATCAAATGGATAACAAATGATTTACACAATGAATTGAATAAAATTAATGTGCTGATCAAACAAATGATTAGTTATTCTTGTTTGAGCAAAATACACAAAATTGAGTTATTTAATTAGTCATTCTAGGAAATTTAAAAGCGATTCATAAGTATTTCCATTTGTTAACTAACAGAAAGCACTTATTCACAATTAAAATTTAAAATTAGCATTATAAAAAATTTAAAGGAGTTTTTTAAGTCACAATTTACGAAGGAAAAATTTAAAGATATAATTAACGTCAAATCACCTTCAGCACCAGTTGTCTCTGTTTTTCTCTCAACTTCAGGGGTTATTTCTGGACTAGCTCGTTCTTCTTGCTTCTCAGAAATTGATCCTGCATTAAAACATGATAAGCCACCTTACTAATTTTAAAATAACCACAATAATTATACTCTACCATTAACCAAAGGAGGTTCTTCGGAGGTTGGTGTTTCTTGCTCCTTAGCCTCTAGATCACCATTCAGTTGCTGGCCGGCGCCTTCCTCTGCTGACGAAGTGTTGCCCTCGCCAGCAAGGTTGACCTCTTGCATGGTGCTGGGGTCTACAATGGCAATGGCCCTCGACCGAACCTTTGCGTGTGGCGGCACTTGTGGCTGTCTGGGTTGCAGCATGCGGTTGGGGGCGGACATCGGCGTCGTGAAGTGGGCCGCCTGTTGGCCCATGGGCATCTGAATCATGCTGGCAGGGCGCACCATCGACACGTACGGAGGATGTCCGTACGAAGCAGGGTTAATTGGATATGAGTAAGGGAGGGACGTGTACTGAGGGTACACCGGAGCAAACTGCTGCTGCTGATTCATGGTGGATGGCACGATCTGGATGTTGGTCATGGCCATCCGCGGTTGCTGCTGCTGCTGCGGCTGCTGGGGCGTCGACCGCAGTTGCTGCTGCGACATGTTGGAAGAGTTCTGGCGCGGCTGTCTCGACATTCTGCTCAAACGCCGAATTAATGTGTAATTTTTTTAACCAGATCAAAGTTCGTGGCTCTCAGCGGCGAGAACGGGCATGGTGCTACGTGACGTGACACTCCTTAAATTTTCTAGATTTCCTCTTGGCCGAGGGTCGACGCTGGTTGCCACGTGTGTGGAGCGACTCTCCTCGAGCGGGTCGATAGATCTCGGTACACTGACACGAAAGCAATCAGAATTCGCTAACTGCTGCTGGGCTGTTTTTCACGTTAGCCATCTTGGATTAGTTCCATGTGAATCGCATGCAAAATTCCACGACCATGCGGTCTGTCGGCAGTCGGGAGATCTTTGGGCGCGATCGCCGCGAAATTCTTCCGTGCCAACTGCAATGACAGTTTGGATCAGCCGATTGACTCAAAAAGACGCAAGAATTTTTCAAATTTGGCAAAAACTCACGTCACTTCCAAGTTTCGTCGCGAAATCCGCAGGGCGAGACCAGGTTTTCACGCCGTATTTTTGAAAATTTTTAAAATGGATTCCCCCAATTGCCCTGTCCGGCCGCTAGGTGTCTTGGCCGTTAGCCAATGGCCCCGCAATAGCGCCAAAGGAGAATACAAAAACTACTGTTGGGAGAATAATAGGAAGGAGCATCCACTCCAACAATCCACTCCCTGCTGCCAATATGCTACGAAAACGGCACGATACACGATTTTTTGTGTAATTGCTGGCAGGCTCTGAAACGCTTGCGCCGCGTTTATAAAATTTATTTTGAATATGTTTGGAATTAAAATAATTAACAATAACAAATTACTTTAAATTACATAAAATATTTTATTATATTATTAATTTTTTATATTAAATATTGTAAAACATAAATAAAAAAAATTTCTAATACGTACATACTCATAAATCTTACATCGATTTGTTTTATTTTTTAAATCAAATTTAGTAAAAAATTTGCAATTTATTTGTAATATTTTTTATTTTATTAAATAATAGAATTATTTAAAGCAAAATTAATAAGAGGTATAATATAATGTTATGATTGATTAAATATTATTTAGATTCGGTAATTTTTCTCCGAGTATTTATTTTTAATTTAAATTATACGATTTTATTACAAGAATACAAAAATCATAATTTGATTAATTTTAATTTTTTTTTTAATATTCTAAACCTCACCTCAAAGAAAGTTTTTCCACGACGAAAAGTATGATATTATATTTTTTTTTTCTTTTTAATTAAAAAAGTGCCTGTTTTCCCATAAGGTCCCATGTATAAGAACTGAAATTAATGGCTTATACGCAGCCATGTTGCTTCCCTCTATCCCTCTGCGCATTACACCAGTCAATCAGAGGGATGAAGAGTATCTTCTCCTTCCCCTCTATGCTCCTTGGCCAGCCCGTCGCGATTCTTTCCTCACTTCAAAGATGTCGCCACCAATGCAGAGCGTGACACCAGCCGGCGGGTAAATTCAAATAATCGGTCTCCTCTCCTTGTCGCAAAAATCTCTCTTTTCAGGGCGAAAAATCGGCCGACATTAGGCAAAAACGTAATCTAGGAGGCATTGCAAGGCGCCAGGACGAGAAAAACGAATACGATGAAGCGAGTCGTCCGGCAAATGCCCAGTGCCGATGTGTGTACCACGGAGCAACTAGCCTTCTGATGACGTCACACCGGCAGGAAGAAGACAGCAGCAGAGAGGAGAGCGACGAACGAGAAAATGGCGAGTTGTCGCGGCAGGGTCGGTGTTGTGATCGCGTGAACTTGACTAAACGCGGTGGATTACTGACATTTTCATGTGGACACTTGCCACTGGCCTCGTGAGTGATATCTAAGTTAGCTCCGAGTTGCAAAATGACGGCCAACATGTACCGAGTTGGAGGTGAGAGTCGCAGCACTTTTAATTATTTCGTGTGTGTGTGTGTGTGTATGTATGCAGGCCAATGAGCGGCATTATGAGCGCGGGCGGGCGTACCTCTCATTATTTTTGCGGTGGCCGAATAACGCGCTAATTGGCATTGTTCCGTCCCGAGACGGTTCTCATCCTCTCAAGCAGCGTCCGACGTGTGTCCAAAGAGTCAGACCGGCAAAGATTTCGGCCCAATGTTTTGGTAAAAGCGTGCGGAATTGGCCGCTGTCGGCTTCGGTCATGTCATTCACTTGTACATACGCACCTCTGCGGGAGTTATCCTCGCCGGGCATCGAACGGAGACCCCGGACTCGAAAGACGCCCGCAGAGCATTTTGTTTTACCAACTTTTTTTGCCGCCCGGCTGCAATGTAAACAAAGGGTTTTACCAATTTTGTCCGTTTTCCAACTTTTCGGTCTGAAGACTTTGTTTATTTTCGATTCGCGGGACGCCGCTAATTTGATTTTGTGTGCTAATGACACTATTATTTTGCTTGTGTTAATAAACGTTTCGACGAATGAAAACATTTATTTATAGGAATTTTGTTCGAGGGCATTTGAATAGATTAATAAATATTTATTCTCGCGTTATACTGAAGCCCTGCAACTTAAATCAATACATAACCTATCATTAGTGTTCAGAGAAAGTTTTAAAATATTTTTCAAGCTTAAAATTTATTAATCTCATCACTTTTTAAGTAAATATTTAGATATTGTTATTAAAAATCTAAAATAAATTCTTAAATAATTTGAAATTTAAATTTTGGAGTTGAATTATGGTTTTAAGATTTTAGAAGGCAAAAAGTCCTTTAAAAATAGTAATGTATTCTCTATTATTTAATTATATTGAATATTAATTTATAAATTTTCTTATTTCAGACTATGTCTATTTCGAGTCATCTTCGACGTCGCCGTACCAAATAAGAAGAATCGAGGAGCTGAATAAGGTTTGTATATTTTTCATTTTTTTTCTAATCAAATTAATTATCAATAATGGATTTTAAATTTTATTTTTACGCAATGTAATATTTATTTGCTGAGTCAATTAAAACTCTTCTTCCGAGTGGCCATTTTGATGGTAATAACCACTGTGCACGTTTTCGCTAACGGCAGCACTTTTTTATGTTTGATGTGTACTCAGGTTGCAAGTTTTTTAATCAAATCACTTGCCGGTTCAATTGAAATTTGAATATTCATGTTTTTTTTCCATTTATAGACATTTTGGTATTAAACCTCTTTGATTGTAATTAAGAATAATCAGACTAATTCAAAGAAAGACATAAAAAATCGTTCCATTTACTTTCATCAAATCAATTCTGTCTAATTGCTTAGCAGGCAGGTAACTCTGCAATATTGCTTAACCACGCATTTAAAAACTAAAAACAGTAATTATTGAACGTTTTGCTATAATTAAATGGTTTTATGAAGTAGAATTAAATAAATTCGTTTAAATAAGAATTTAATAAAAAAAGGAATAACATAAATGATTGTTTTTGATAAGAATGAATATCATTGCAGAGCATTCACCTCGAATGACCTCTGATAATAAAACAGTAAAATATAATTATTTAAAATCAAATTTTTTTTAGTCATCCAACCTGATCTTATTTTTTTTCCTTTTAAATTCATTCAATTTACATGCGATAATATCTGTGATTCGGTCTTGTGGTGATTTAAACCAAGTAGAATATTATTCAAATCGAGGAAAAAAGCGCCATGATCCGTTTTGGTAAAATGGCTGCCTAATTAACCGTGAACAAAGTAATTTTCACCACTGGATCCATTCCTCGGTCAGACGATCTTGGTGCCCTTGATTTGATTAATCGCCAAAACACACTACCTGCGAGAGTGAAATAAAAAAAATTTGGACGGATGCAGACGGGAGAGTGAATTCGCACGCGAAAGCATTGCCATTCGCGGCGGCGGCGGCGGATTGTGTTGCCTGCCGAGTTTTTGGATCATGCATGCATTCGTGCCGGAGCACCAGGTTCGAGCCCTGTCCATCACGGGCGCCGCAGTCACGCCTCCTGTTGGCCCTCGGCGCAGACGGAAAAGCAACCGCCTGCTTTTTTGAAACAACAACTCACAGATATGATTCCGTTTTGTCGGCTGCGTGATTGTATGGCCGCCGCGTGAGATATCGTTCTCCCGGCCAGGTGACTGAACTCCGAAATGGTCCACATAAAACAAACCTTCAAATACAACGTGCGTGCAACACAATGCCGCGAACAATTTGTCATAAGCTCTGCACTGTTCGCTTCTGACTGATTCGATTACTAATAAAATTGCGTATTGATTGAATAATTCAATTATTTTGTTTGCCTTCCAATATTTAAAAATGTATAGATTTAAAAACTTAAATTATTTTGAAGCATACAAAATTTATGGGCCAAATTTAAATTTTAAATTAAATTTATGGGTTTACTGCTAAATAATATGCCTGATCAATTTTCTCAAAATTGAAATGGGAAGGAGAAAAGGGCTTGTAATGACCCATTCAACCATTGAAACTATGTAAAGGAGCAGTTTTTTATTTATCACAAAATGGACAAATTTTTATATTTGCCAAGTTCGGACAAATTATATTTTGCGCCGTTTTACTCCAAGCTGTGTTTTCACTTTTTTTCCCGGCCTCTTGTCTGGCATTCCTTTTTGTGTGATGAGTTATTGATTTGCGAAGGAATTTTTTTCTCCAAACACGTTGTTAGCGTAATTGGTTCTTGTTATCTCTGCTGCTGCGAACTCGCATCTTCTCTCACTATAGCAACGTTGAGTGATCGAGAATTTTCTTCTGGTCGATTGAAAGCAACTTTTCCATTGCCTTTTATTAAAACAATGGAGTGAAAAATATTTATACAAAAATCTAAACAAAGTAGCCACAAATTGTTATTTAAATAAATGCATGGCGCTTAATACAAATTTTGTTGATTAACTTGGGTGATTTTAAAAGCCAAAATTATATTATTGAAACAAGTTTAATATCCATTATTGATTATAACTTTAATTGCTGATATACCAGCAACAACTTTTAATCTCAAATCGTTTCCAAAATTAGCACCGTCTGCATCGCTTGTCAATTATTATTATTTCCATATTGCGCGGCACGTAAACGTCAAATTTGAATTACAAAGTTTTAAGCTTACTCCTTATCAACCAATTCGCTTCAAGGTTGAATTGATTTAAGAAAAAGTTCAATACTTTTATCTTGGATCGGTAAAAACGTTGTAATTGGCATGATTGAGATATTTGAAGACGAGAATTTCGCTGGTTGCAATTTTCGACTCTTTTGTCTTGTACAACTTCATTCTTTTTCTGTTTCTCGCCTATCTTGGCACCTGTGTTTCAATTTGGCTTCTATTTAAAATAATAACATGTAACATCTTGTTGTAATTGCAGACTCCGAACGGCAACGTCGAGGCAAAGGTTATGTGTTTCTACAGGCGGCGTGATCTCCCGAACACTCTCATCATGTTGGCAGATAAGCACCAAAGTAAGTGCAAAAATGCTTCATTAACTTTGCAAACTTTTTCTCTCATGTGTCGCGGCGGCGGCGACGACACTGGTGGTGGCGCATTTGGAAGTAGCGCACAGTGTGTCGTTCGCACTCGCGGCTGACAGATTATTTTTTAACTCGGTTGATAATGCGTAATGAGCGCTCCAGATTGTCCGACGAGTGAGTGCTGCACGTGCAAAAAATAAACGGTGTGACCTTTGAAGAGAAAGCAATTTCCTTCCTTTTTTATTGCAAAGTTCTTCTCTTCAAATTCCCACTGAAATTGATAGAAAAAAATTGTGATTATAATAAAAAATATTCGCAAAAGGAATCTAAAAAAAAATTGATTTTTAATGGTTTCTGATAATTTTGAAGAGATTTTATTATCTATAACTGTTTGATTCAGTTTCTTTTTAAAATTGTAGTAGATTAAAAGATCTTCATACTTCTAAAGTCGTTTGAAAAAGCTTTTCTTTACTCTGCTAATTTGATTTGAAAACTTTTATATCCCGCATTTTTATCAAATGCAATCAAGCGCAATTTATTTTAAAATGCAATTTCTAGTGTTTCGCGCACAAAAACTCAAGGAGATAGAAACAAATTAACTATCATATGTTATAATAATTTACTGCACAAGCCAAATCCTTTGAAATTTTATAATATTCCACTCAAAATTAAACCTTTATTAAAAAACAATAAGCAAAAAATAAATAGCTGCTCAAATGCAAAGCCATTTTGTGCAGAATTAGGAAAAAGAAAAGACTAATTTCAATTATGAACTCCCTGTGGGTTTTTGGGCGAAATTCCCCATCCTTATCATTGCGGTCTGACTTTAATTTGCGACCGGCGGCAGAAGGATATCAGATGGAAAAGTCACGAAAAAAGTTGCCTGCGGATCTGCCGCATGGATTGTGGCCGCACGATCAGCCGCACCAGCGCGCACATTCCTCCCTCGCCCGTGCCATTTTTGCTGGCGAGTGTGCGAAATGGCGTGCACCGGCGGGCAGGCAGGCAAGGGTTCTCTCACACCCACTTACGCTCGCAGGCCACCGACCGAGCCAGCGATCGGCCGACAGGCAGGCAAGCGTAATCTAGGTCTAGTGCAAGTGTTGGCCTAGGTCAGGGGCGCAATTGCATCGCGCCTAGACTTACCGAGCTGCAACTTGATCCACTTTTGCGATTATTGACTGCAGCAGTTTGATTGACATCGTGTGATTGACTTCTAAAAATAATTGTTTAAAAAGTGAATCTGAAACATTTTTAATGATTAACACACAAAAAGCTATTGACCTTGTAAAAAGATTGATTTTTGTGGCGTTTTTTTGTTTTGCAAAGTCCAAAGAGTTTGTTGTGTTAGTTATACAACAAGACATCTTTGAACATTATGAATCTGAAGGAATAATTCATTGACTTAAAGATAACGTCTGAAGGGCATGAATTTCATTTGAATTCACCACAAGCTTTCTAATAATGAAATTTTTGTTGGAGGAATCAGGGAACTGTTTTTAGCAATTAATCTTTAAATTATCGAAATAATTATAGAAATAATTATGCAATTATTGGAAAGAGTAAACTCTAAATTATAATTATATTTCAATAGACAAAATTAGAAAATTGTCTTTAAGAGAACATCAATTTTGATTGAAAGCCCTTTTTCTGTTTATGAAACGTGGAAAAAGCTGATGGATAGCGTGAGAAAAGTTCAGCGGTCAAACTTGCACAACAAAATTATTCATGAATGTTGCACACAATTAATTTCAGCGTGCATTTTTGCTGCCTAAGTTTGTTCCAACTTTGTCGCCAAGTGTTTATAAATTAATTTAAATTAAAATGTCAAATTGATTTTAGTTTGATAATTTGTTATTTTCTGTCAATTTTTGCATTCTTCTTAAAGGCGTTGAACTGATTTTAATTTTGTTGTTGCCTGTAAAACTAAATTTCAATATAGTTGGAATGCATAAATCAATTTTCAAAATAATGCAAGAATAAATCAATTTGCTTTTGCTGGTGATTTGAAATGTTATTCTTTGAGATAAGTTGTAGTCCATTTGATATCTGCGCAGATCTTTGTTAAGTCCTCCATATTTTGATGATTTTTGTTGATTTTATAACTTCATTTTTTTACTGTTTGAACTGATTTCTCATAAACAAACAATCACAGATACTTCCCTTAAAATTTAAATATCCACATTAGTTTTCCTTACATAATTATCTCCAAAAGTAATGTAAGTATTAATAGCAGATAAGTATGTGAAAAAAGATATTTAAAAAGTTTCTATCGGCTTTTGCGACGGGGTCGTTTGATGTCGGATCGGTCAGTGGCGATTGACCAGCAGAGTGCGGACAGTCGGCGTTAATTATGCCTGGACGCGATGGCGTTCTGCTTATGTTCTGTGTCAGTATTGATTTTAATTGCGCTCCGCTCTCTCTCTCCATAGAGGCATAACAACACGCGGGAAGCGAACCCGTGTCGGCAGGGCGCGCGGGCAGGCAGGGCGGCCGCCCGCCAGCCGCCCGCGCGTCTTCCAAGCAAATCACACATATTACAGAAAAGGGTATCCGATCGATATTTTGGGGTGTTGCGGTGTTTGTGAGTTCGCCTCCACTTTACTTGTCCGTCCTTTGATCAGCCAAACTCGCACACCTGTGCGGGCCAAACTCGGAATGAAAATAAGTTTCGCTCCGACTCTCTCTCGCAGACACCTGACTCGGACACTTTTCGGCCGCCGGCGCCTTCCTGGCAAATTAACAGTACGCGCTGCTGCTTCGAGCACCCCGCGGCGCCCGATGCCAGTTTGCGGCAGAGAGAGAAAGAAAAATAAATGGTGGCTCGGCAACAACTGGAATGCACCCTTGTTTGCACAAAAACGCAAAAATGAAACTAACATGAATTTTAATTTTAAATGGATTTCGGTTGTTTGCTAAACTTAAAATTCTTTTTGAGTTGACTTTTTGTTGTATTTTCAAGATTTATTGTTAAGTAGTTTTGTTATCAAATCTTCAAAATGTACAAACATTGCTCTTTTCTTCAAGTGATCAAAATTGTCAAAATGAGTTAAAAAAATTATTTGAATGATACATTTTAGTTTTTCCCTTTAAAAGTAAAATTTTATATTATTAATAGTGTAATACATTGAAAATTTTCTGATATATCCAGAAGTCTCTATGCAGACTTCATACTTTGCAATTTAACCTGACGCTTTTTGCAGCGCTCAGGGAACTTGAAATTTCTTAGGGTAGGCTAGAAATTGGGCTGCTCATGAAATCCCAACACATTCAATTGATGGCAGGCATAAGATTGAATGGATTGTCAATAGTACCAACTGAAGAATCAATTACCTAACCTACTTAAGAAAGTTACTAAAATATTTATTTTAACAATTTTATATATGAGGGCACATCGCTTATCTGGTATCATAAAATACCATGGACAATTTGGTAGTTTTTAAAATCTAAAACTTTTTCTGCACCTCTCTATTTTGGCAGGATTAAATATCAAATGGAAAACTTTAAAAATTAAGGTTACCAATTTTATGAGAAATTTTTCATCTGCACTCGAGAGCAAATGAACTGTTGAAAGCTAACTTTACAATTTTCACAATCAAAATTTCATCCTCTGAAATATCTATCAGCCAAGTAGTTGTTCTCTGTTTTTCTCCTTATAATTTAGCAGTGCTTCTTATAACGAAGAGCATAAAATTTAATGAGAATTGTTGTTTCAGTGGCTTCTGCGGACGAATCCCCGGTATCCGCCAAATTAAAAAAGTTGTGGCTCAAGGCACCATCTGCAGACGAGGCCGAGGCTGTTCAACCCTTAGGTGAGTTGCTCTCTTGCTTGTAGCCAAAATCCTATGTGCTGCGGCTGAAACATTATTTAATACACCCGAAAGTTGCATTTACAACAAAAGCGGCGGCAGCAAAGCGGCATCTCAACCACGCATGATCACCCCCCGGCGCCCTCCGCGATGCTTTTATACTTCTGGTCCATTATGTGACGTCACACCCCTTCGCACTATCCCCTTTCATTAAAATTGCAAAAGTTTTTCTTGCCCGTGAAAAAACGGCAGGCGGGGGCCCCGGCGTGGTGCTGCTGCTGCTGGTCAATTTCCAACGCAATCTTTCCGCCGCCGATTTTAAAGTATTTTCGCAATGTTATGTATTTCCAGAATTGAGCCATTTGTATTTAAAATTTGATAGAATTACTGAAAGAACCGTTTTCAAATGTAATTTCTAGTCTAAAAATATGAAATCTATTCTCTCATCTGATGAGTTAATTTGCTATAAGTTTGAAGAGGGTTTTCTGATTGTGTGCATAAGCAATCAATTGTTCCAAAAGCAGACAAATTAAGTGTAACAATGCAAAATATCCACCTCTTTATGCAGAAATAAAAGAAAAATTATCAATATTGTGGTAGAATTTCACGATCAAGGGTTGATTCTTGGTGATTTGAATATTAAGTCAGCTTTTCCTCGATGGGATTATTCGTGAGTTGTTTATTGAGAAGGGAAAAAACAGTTTTTTTTTCTTAAACAATAAACAACTCACTAAACCCACGGAGGAAAAGCCAACTTGAAATTCAAATTACCAAAAATATTAAAATTTAAAAGTTTTAAGTATCCAAATCTTTGGGCTCTGGCCGCTCTGGGCTGGAGATCCAAAACTAAGATGCAGCTGTTTTTTGCTGAGGCTAATTAAAAATAAGCCATTGACAATACGAACAAATTTCCTAGCAGTGCATAATGAAAAAAAAAACGTAAAATGGTATACGATCATATTTTTAATTTATTTAGCCGTTGACCTCTGGTTGTTATGTTTTCTGACAACCTGCATGATTTATTTCATTGTAGGTCATTGTTGACTCTAAATTCGCGTATTCTAAATGCTTCTTTTTTGTTTAATTATTTACGTGGTTTTTTTTTCAGAGTAAAAAATAGTCAGCCTCATTTTAACTCGCATTTTCCAGCAATTTATCTGAACAAAACATATCCAATATTGGTTGATGAATAGTATAACGATTTCGAATTTATTCTCTTTCTGAAATTGGCTAGAAAATGATCATTTTTACTATTCGAAACCTAATTTTTGCAAAAGTGAAACTGGATCTTGATTGAAAATGTGTTGGTGTTCAATTGTCGGCCCCTTCAATGAGATCGCGCGGAGTCTCTTTCTGCTCTATTTTGGGCGTCGTGAAATATTCCAATTAGCGTTCGGGTTGGTCGGTCGGTGAGTCGGGGTGGCAAATGCATCCGCCGCAGTTGAATAAATGACGAGGGCTATTTTCGAAATCGCTGCGTGATGTGGCCAAATTCGCGTTGGGTGCGAAAAACGCGTCTCAACGAGGTGCAACAATCAACTGTTGAGTCTCGGGGTCCGGGGTTTGACGCCCGAAAGTGTCGCGGGCCCGGAGCAGCGCGGCGGCGGCTCCGAACAAAAAGCAATCTCGTGTTGTGCTCTCCTAGCAGGGCGCGTATGTTTTGTGGAAACTCTCATTAAATAACTCCTGGCAGAAAGGCTACATGGAGCCCGTGCGCGAGAGGCTAGCTTATATAGCGCCAAGGAAATGAGGTGGGGGAGGGGGCAGGAGGACACATCGATTGCATGTGAAGTAATTGTCATTTTCCTCTCCCCCGGCTGGTGTAAATATCATTTAAATTAAAAACACTTCTTCTTTCAAAAAGTTTCAAAATCACTTTTTTCAACCACCCTTTTTTTCAATTTTTCCATACCAAAATTATTAATATTTTTTTTCGTCTCAATCTGTTTTGCCACAGCTAAACTTTTGTTTGGCCGACCCGCAGCTTATTACTCAATAATTAGCCACTCACTCACTTAGGCGTGCTACACGGCGCGTTAAAAATAACCTGCGCAAATGGCGAAATGCACACGACGTCTCCTCGTCGTTAACTTCTTCTTTGCTCCTCCACGTTGTATAACCACGGCGAGACGCATATTAATGCGCCGCGCCGCTTTTTGCACTCAACCAGTCTCTCAGATCAACTTTCGCCTTTTATTTTTGGAAAGAAGAAAAAATCTTTCGAAACTATTCGGAAGTTGCAGAGGATATAAAAAAGGCAACTACGCGCCAAGGCCAAAAATTTATTCAAACTTCTTCCTTAACCGTAACAGACAGGAAGTAGAGGTCGCTTATCATCACTTATCACACAACCATTAAGGAAAGACCTATGCTGATGGGCTATTTTAGTTCATGAACTCTTTCAAACATTGTAATTTTCTGCGCTACTTAAATAAGTGTTGTTGACGAGAGTTCAATCTGTTTCGTAAGGACGTTTGGAAATTTAAATTGAATTAGGTCAAGATTGTTTGTGATTATATGATGGGTTCAAACAATTTGTTTGATAAAACTTAAAACTTAAAGCATTCCAGAAGAGGGTTTTTATCTATAGATTAAAATGTTTCTGGTAAATTTGCAAAAATTTCAAAGGATTAATAATTTGTTTGCTGCTTCCAAATCCAAAAGGATTTTGCAGAAACTTCAAAAAACTTTTCCTCAACTTTTTCTCGCTCCCTGGATACGAGATCTGTTAATAAAACTTTGTTATTGCAAATTTATAGATTTCATTTTTAAACTTGTTCTTTAGCTTTGCAAATACGGCAAATACATAGTGGAAAAAACCTATTCAATTCCACAAAAAGGTAAACATGAATCAATTATTTTTTATCATTTCCAATGGTAATTTATATTTCTTGTAAAACAGGTCAAATTCATTTTTCTTTTGAAATCTACCTGAACACACGTAAAAAAGGCAAAAAAATGTTTTTAATTATTTTTCAAAACTATTTCGAGCGCCCATTGAAGCAGAAAGTCGATCGCGTCGCTCTTTTTCTCGCTGTATAAACAACACCCCTTTGCTTTGCCAATAAAAAAGCCAACGTCCTCTGGTCCTATGGTGGTCAGTTCGTCCGTCCACCTGGTCAGCGGCGCAAAAAGCGCGGCGGCCACTCGCGGGGTGTCTCTCTCTCGCTAAGCGGCGGGGATCACGTGACCGCGGGGGTTGAAGGCAAACCAGAAGCTCGGCGCTCGCCGGCATAATACATGGTTGGAGGCAGGGATGTGGCGGTATTGCACAGCAGACCCTGCCAACCCGCCGCCCCAGACCTCCCCATCGCTATTGATCCGACTCCCTCAGAGATGTGAGGAGTGTCGTTTTCTCTCTTTCTCTCTCTAACACCACACTGCTCTCTCTCTGTGTGTATGTATGAGCCTAGCGGTGGATGGCATGGGGCGGGCGCCCCCCGCCCTCCCTCCGCACCTCTAATCACTCCGACAACATCTCACCTAAACAGCCCCCCGGATTCGAAAACACACACTCTGATGATTGTTTTGACTAACCCTAATGGCGTTTGCTTTGGATTCCAACACTGAAACTAGAAAAATAAATTGAAAAAATAAAATATGTAAAATTTTGTGATAGTTTGGGACTTGAAAAATTAATAAGCATTTTCAAAATGCGCAAGTTTTTTATTGTAATGCGTGTAAAAATGTGGAATGAAACTGGTGGGTAATAAATGGAACCGTATTGGGGTGATTCGATCGTCGCTTGCACGCTAAAGAGAACTTTGGACGCCGAGAGCACGAGTCATTGCTCTCACTCGTAGGCGAAACTCATGCTTTATTAATTTGGCCATTTTTGTGTGTGTTTGCGCCTGAAATTCGTCACACTTGGCAGAGTGTGCTGCGGCGAGCAAGCAGGAAGGAAGTCGGTTGCTGTTATCAGTGATTGTGAAAAATCACCGGGTCAGATAAATCCTAGCAAGGAGTCATGCACAATTCATTTGTCGGATCTCAAACTCTATTCATTTTTCAAAAGTGACAAACCATTTTACATGAATAGAAATATAAAAGAAGAAATGAAGAGCGCAACTTCAATTTAAAAGTTAAATTTCAATAAAAAAAATATTAGTTTAGAACATAAAACTTTGCATCAAAGGTGGTTTAAATCTGGAAATATTTACATAGGAATAATTTAAAAGAGAAGTTTAAAAATTTTTGAGTGCTTACAGTTGATTTAATTACAATTTCTATGAGAGTAAACTAAATTTTTTTGTAAATTCATAAATTTTGATTTAATTTTAATGTTCAACATTGTTATCTTTTTGCAGAATCGCCGCCAGACGATGACGATGAAAGCACCAAAGGCAGCACTAACAGCGGCGACAAAGGTGGTGACGCCCTGAGCACCAAGCAGAGGCACCAGATGAAGCACCGCGAGCTGTTCCTCTCGCGCCAAGTGGAGACCCTGCCGGCGACGCACATACGCGGCAAGTGCTCCGTCACCCTGCTCAACGAGACAGAATCCCTGCTCTCCTACCTCAACAAAGATGTGAGTAAAAACACTCAGACTACTTTCAATAAATTAATTTTGTCATTTTCAGGATACTTTTTTCTACTGCTTAGTATTTGACCCGGCTCAAAAGACGCTTCTCGCCGACAAGGGCGAGATCAGAGTCGGCAGCAGGTACCAGGCAGACAATATGCCCCTTCTCAAAGAAGGAGACGCTGACGACCGCAACTCGGAAGATCTGGAGACCCTAGTGTGGACCCCGTCTCACCATCTCACCGACAGACAGATCGACCAATTTCTCGTCATTTCCAGGTACTAACATGAAGTTCAAGTACTGTAAGAATTTTTCTCATTTTGTCACTTGTTGCAGATCTGTGGGCACATTTGCTCGTGCCCTGGACTGTTCTAGTTCCATCAAGCAGCCATCCCTTCACATGAGTGCAGCAGCTGCTTCTAGAGATATAACTTTGGTGGGTTTTGCAGTTCCAAATTTTTTTAAAACTGCATTGCAAACATTTAAATAAATTCTAATTTCAACTCTTTCTAACTTAGTTCCATGCTATGGATACGCTTCACAAGCACAAGTACAACACGGCCGACGCCATCAGCTCTTTAGTGCCGTCAACGGGTCCAGTTTTGTGTCGAGATGAAATGGAAGAGTGGTCGGCATCAGAAGCTAACCTCTTTGAAGAGGCGCTCGAAAAATACGGAAAGGATTTCAATGACATCCGGCAAGATTTTGTAAGTTTGTTTCCAGTTCTTCTTGGATAATAATCTAAATTTAAAACCAATTTCCAGCTACCATGGAAGACCTTAAAAAATATAATTGAGTACTATTACATGTGGAAAACAACCGACCGGTATGTGCAACAGAAAAGAGTGAAGGCAGTAGAAGCTGAGTCCAAATTGAAGCAAGTGTACATTCCAAATTAGTAAGTTGATCAAATTTTATTAAATTGTTATGGGATTGATTGTTTTCTTTCAGCAATAAACCAAATCCTGCAGTAATTAATAACAGTAAAGGCGGCATTGTCAATGGTAACGGAAACGGAGCCGAAATCAGCAGTGGAGGAAAAGCCTGTGAATCTTGTAGTTGTAAGTGGACCAAGATTTTTTTATTGTAATGTTCTAATATTTTATTATTTACATCAGCATCTTCCTCAAGTCAGTGGTACGCCTGGGGGCCATCACAGATGCATTGTAAGCTGTGCAGCAATTGCTGGAATTACTGGAAAAAGTACGGCGGTCTGAAGAGTCCTTCAAGAATAGGTACAATCCAACTATAACTTTACAATTGCATGAATTAACTGTGAAATATTTGCAGAAGAAAATGACATTGACCTGAAGAAAAAGTCTAGTGGCAGCCTTTCAGATGAAGAGAGAGGAAGTAGTATGAATGGTCACAGGCACAGATGCAGCATTGTCAACTGCGGCAAGGTAAAAATCTTAAAATAATATTTTAATTGAATCAACTTTGCTCAGCTTTGGATCCAAGATATTAAAAATAATTATGTAAATTTCAGGAATTCAAATTAAAAGCTCATTTGGCAAGACACTATGCCACCGCCCACGGCCTGGCAATCCGTTCTGGATCTCCGAGACCAATCATGAAGACGAGAACTGCTTTTTATCTGTTCTCGACTCCCCTCACACGTGTCTCCAGACGATTGTGTCGCAACCTTCTGATGGTCCGCCACGCCGCCAGGGCGCCTTTCTGGCCCATCAACATTGCAGCCGTCAAGCAAGATTGTAAGTTGGGAAAAAATCCGTCCCGAAAATTAAATTAATTTTCATTCAAATCACAGGTCAAATGCAAATCGTTGGAAAGGGCTATGAGGAGCTCAAAGAACTGACCAAGTATAAGAAGAAGGACCGAGGCAGTGTGACAAACATAGCCACTTCCTTGGCCAAGGGTGAGCTAATCGTGCCTCCATGGTTGGCACCAACAGACAAAGCTTTGATTCCCAAGTCAGAGCAGATATCCTTCCCAAGACCACCTAAAGGACCAGGTCAGTTTTCTTATAAATTTTTTAAGAAAAAAACATGGCTAATTTTTATCTCTGAAATTCTTTTAGATGGTAGCATAATTTACGAAAGAATTCCCAATAAGCCCGAGGCAGAGAAAGTAATTCAGAACTCGCAGATTGGCATCAACAACATGTCATCGTCTTCTTCGCTTAAAAGAAGAGCCTATGAGGAAATGAATGGCATGGACCGTGAGTTAATTATTAACCTTTTGTTATTTTAAGAAAACTAAATATAAATTTAAGAATACCTAACAAATCCAGCTAATTATTTATTTAATTTTATTTAGTCTTTATTTCCTTCTGACTTCATATTTTTCTTAAATTATTTTCAATTATCATTTTTTAACTTAACTTGTTTGCAGCGGATATGCTTGAATGGGGTGAAGAAACAAACACGCCACCCCGTCCACGTTGGCCACACTCTGAGCTGAATACTTTGGCCCGCGACTTGACCAGCATTGCCGGACCCCCGCCCAGCAAGCGGCCACACAAAGATAGTGCCCCTGTGGCCACCAGCTACATGCCCAGGCACATGGGTCAGACCCCTGGGAAGGCTATCACTCGTTTGAACGGCAAAACGCAGATTGCCACTCTGACCCAGATGAAAAATGGGCAGAAGAGGATTTCGTGGTCGGACGCGCCCGATGACATGTACTTCCATGTCACAGACAACACTAAGTGAGTCCCAGATTTCTGCATTTTAACAGAGGAAACTCGATTATAAAATAGGCTGGATTTTTAACAAATTAGGTTTTATTTTCTTCCAACTTAAAATCAGGAGGTTCAAATTTTAACTATACAGAAAGATTTCTTGTAATTCTTTTCATATTTCCTAATTTTTAAGAAAATCCTTTAATACAGACTTGAGGAAAATATTTTCTGAGCTTTTTCTATTATTATTAAATAAACTTTTTTTACACTTGTTTTAGTATATAAATTAAAATTATCACACTATTTATTTTTCTATGATTTATTTTTTTAAATATATATCTAATAGTATTGCAGATGTAGTGCTAAAAATTAAATAACCAATATTTTTAAAAATCTTCTAATTTTAAATTTGAAACCTCTTATCAATTCTTATTTAGTGCTCTAGTATATTTCACTACTAATACTTAATATATTTTCCACAAAACATTTTGTTATGTCTTAATACAGAACAAACAAAAAAACAACATTGCAAATCTGACATTAAACTTATAATTTAATATTAGAGCTGTAGTTATTCAACATTGCATTTTTAAAAATTGAAGAACAAACTTATATTTTTGCAGAACCCACTTCAGAAAGCTGAGAAAGCAGCTGACCAACAGCGAGTTGCGACGAGCAGCCCGCAAGCCGTGGCGCCGGCTGCGTTGCAATGAGGCCGACCTGCTGGCCGCTGCCGTGGCCGCCGCGGCCGCGTCGTCGCGACCGATCAGCATGGTCGAATGACCCTATCAGGGCCTGCTGCCTCAGCTGCCGCCCCCGCCCCCACCGCCGCATCATCATCTGAGCACGGAGGCCGTTTTCCAGTCACCGGCGATCATGGACCTTTTGTTCTCGGCCTCCTCGATGGCACCACCTCCCTCACAGTTTTGAGCACAAAGCAAGCAAGCGGGCGGCCGTCGGTTCTTGGTGGTCTGACCGACCGACCGATTCACCAATTTCCACGGAATCAAGACTTTGACATAATTAAAAACAAATTCAACAGACTCTCAAGCTCGGACACTACACCAGTGTTTAGTGTGTGTGCGTATATGAGTAAATTTTCATCTCTTCTTAGCATCTGTAGCAACCGAAACAGTTTTTAGCTGCAGAGAATCTCAAGCAAAAGTGACGAATGTTGTTGTTGCTAGGTTGTAACAAAATGAAAACCATCTCGTAAATTGCGAATCGGGACCGGCGCCGTTTCATTTATGATTTCAAAACAGTGTGAGAAAATTTTCATGTGATCGAGTTTCAATTTCTTTGGATTGGAATCGGCCGGTCTCCCGAGAGTGATGAGTTCTGATAGAAAAACTGAGGAAGCTGCTGCTGCTTTGCCCTTTTCGGTGCTGGGAGTATGATTTTTCAATGACACTCTACTACAACTACAGCAGTAAGTTGGTTGGTTTTGATTTCCGAGCACAATTCAGCGTAATATTTTTATTATCAAGGATGAGTGAATGTTGATGAGAGAGCAATAAGTAAGCACGTAATGTTTGCTGTGGCTCCTTTCATTATTATCATTTGTTTTCTTCGCAAAATGCTAATTTCTTCGACTTAAGTTGTCCAGTAGGATCATCCTTTGTCATTGTCATTGAGTGACAATCTTGTGTTTTTCGTACGATATTTATTATTTATTTAATGATAATGATTTTCCGCAAACAGATAAATACAGAAAAAAAGGATAAAATAAATCACACACGCTGGTAGGAACGACAACCGGATTTTATATTTTTATCGCATTTCTTTCTGGAGGTCCTGTAAAAAAATTCTTGCATGTTTGTAACATAGCCGTAATTAAAAATTTTGTCATCAAATCACATTTTTTGAAATAAATCCATTTAAGCTATTAAAAAAAATCCTGAGATGCGTATTATTTACTTTATTTTCAAGCACCCAACTACGTTAAGAGGATAAGCTAACAATTTTAGGCCAATCCAAAGAATCTTATGGTATATAAATGCTGAATTAGTCTTATACAAAAATGGATTATCGGTTCATTCAATTCAATATCGGTTCACATTTATTTTGATTTGTGTCGAGAGTATAAATTTTGATCCAGTTTTTTTTTTTTAAATTGCATTGTTTGAAATATCTCCATAAAGCTGTCTAAAAAATCTTGAGATGTATTTTACTTTTTGCTCACAGAGAAACCAAACACTTGTGTCCGCTTGCCTCTGCAAAGCTCAAAGACGCAATCAATGTTGTATTTTTGGACGATTGCTTGTCGACCTTTTTGACGCACTCGGCGCTATTTCCAAGAGCACTTGCTATTGATTTTTACTATCGAGATTTATGATAGCGTAAAGGAAGCTCCTGTTTCTTGACACCCTTTGACATGTGCGAATAAATAGAATCATGACGAGACCGGATTTGCTCGCAGCTCGACGCGCTGGGACAGTTCCTCACTGTATCGATTTGGATTTGTTCAAATATGTATTTTGGTTCCATTTTCTTAAGAAAAGATTTATGATAACAACAGAGGAAAATATACTTAGTATCAAAATTTTTCAAAGCGTTGGTCTTTTCTTTAATTATTAATTAATAAAATTTTAATTCTAAGTGAGAAAGGACGAGAAGAAGTTTGTCTTTTTCTAATAATTTTTTATTTTGGAGAAAAATGGTGCACGTAATCTAAATTGTGACAATTTCTCCCTGGCGCCTGAATGCAGCCTAATGTTCTTTTGAAGTGCGTTTGAGTGAAGCAAGAAGTATTAAAAGCGTCTGAGGTGCAGCCATACTTACAACGTTCAGAGCTCCTCATCAGCCTAAACGCACCCGTTCTCAAGCTGGCTCTGATTAACCTAGGCTTAAAAGATACCAAAGCTACCAACCTCGCATAAACGTGTCATTCAGATTAGAATTGAAACCTTTAAAACTGCACATTTCTTATTTGTGTCAAAAATTCGATGAAATTAAAAGAAAGTACAGTTGATTATGATAATATGATTATTACATTCTTATATTAATTGGATTATTTATCTATTTAAATTATTTACTATCAAATTCTTATGTTTCAAGGGAAAGGAAAAATACAAAATTAATAAATAGTTCAGCACATGAAATTCTAATATTTTAATTCCGTTGATAACAGCATACCACGTTTGATAAGGTTCAAGTTCTTTCTGGCAAAAGTTAAAAATTGATTAGATACGAAGTGGACAAAATTCTGATGAGGTTCAAATAGTCCAAAGTTTTATACAACCAGGAATCCAACTCTTAAACATACATAGCAATTTAATTATAAAATCGATCACAATATGGAAAAAAACAGCAGAAAAAAGTAATAAGCTCTCAAATGAAAATCCTAACAAAACCTGTTTTGTGAATCTGAATAGTTTTCAGTGAGGATCACGTCGAAAATTATTCACGGTCAAGATGAAATTATAAAACCCACTCAAAACCAGCTCAGAACAAAAATATTCACCTTTCGTTATCGTTGCTCATGATTGGTCTCGCGGTTGTTATCTTTTGTTAGCACCCACTCCAAAATAATGATGGCATTTGAACTTGAATCTGCATAGGTCCCCCACCGCAGACCCTTTGGCTAGTTTCGCGTTTGCCACTTTCTCTGCCTCCGACTTTGTAGCGAGATCGGCGCGTCAGGTGCAGTAGGTCGCGGTCTGCCGAAGGTTGCGCTACTCAGGTCGTCGATCCGTCTCTCAGGTAGGTCTACTTTCGTGACCTTGCCCTCAATCACCTTGACACACGCCCTGAAAATAGAAATTTAGAAGCTTTAGCTGATATATTAATCATTTTTAATTTTTTAATTAGAATTTTGTAATTAAATTTTATTTATTGATAGTTACACTTAATTATAATTTCATTAAAAATTTTCTGTAAAATATTTTTCTTTTATTCATCTTATAAAGCTTGTAATCTATAAAATCTGGAAAAATTTATGAAGTTTAATAGTAAAATTGATTTAAAAATTTAGTTGCATGGCCTAAAAATTTTGAAATATGTTTCATGAAACTACTTTTGATTTTTTTTGCCATTGCAAAACTTAAATCATTCTCAAAAGGTGCACAATAACGTCGCCTATTGTTTACTCTTATGCAATTTTTGTCACTATGCTCGGAGCCTTGGCCTTTATTTTAAACAAAATTGTGCTGCACGCAACTGTGCAGCTGATAATTCTGCTCACGCACGCCGAGCTCGCGATAGCACACAATGTTTATGCATTTTGATTCTCTCCTTTCATTTTCTGTTGGCAGAAAATTAAAATCACATCAGCCTCTCTCGGCATAGCATGACGAGCAAGTTACGCTTGATTGGCTGTGACGAAACCATAATTATTCCGTATTTTCCTTCAAGACTGAAAATTTATTGCACTTGAAAGCGTTTGCAAAAGTATTTTCTTCAAAATTTTTTTGCTTTGCCTCCATAAGTTTGGATTCTTAACGTTGAAAAAGATGAATACAACACATCAGCAGCCTTTTAGGAAAACGCTAAAAGGCTTCAACTAGTTTTTAAATGATTTTACATCAAAGCAAGACTTCTTCTAATTGTGTTCATCAATATTTTATTGTATTATTTTAATTTTCTTTCATAAAACTTACAAATCAAACGTTTTGGGTTATTATTATTATAATTTTCAGTAATTAAAAGTACATTTGACTTATTTATCATTAAGTATCTTTTTTTGTCTCAAATATTGGTAAAAAAATCAATATTATTATCTTTTTTGTCAATTTTTGTATACATACGTTGCCTAAAAATATTCTACAGATTCCAAATTAATTTTTACTGGCGAAATATTCAATTTTAATGAAAATTTATTTTAAAGAACTGTAAAATAAATTTTATTTTTTTCTCCAGCGTGCTTAATTCAATGTCGTCCCAGCTACGGTGGGATGGGGCCTTAGAGGCAGCAGCCCCGTTTGCTGACGAGGAGTGCAAGCCGCAAATTTCGTATTTCCAATGGCCCGACTACGTGGTGTTGGCCCTGATGCTGCTTGTGTCGACGGGCATCGGCATCTTCTACGGCATCAAGGACCGTCGGCAAAAGGCCAGCACCGACGACATCCTCGTCGGCGGCAGAAAGATGGCCACTTTTCCCATGGCCATGTCTCTTCTCGCCAGGTATTTAAAATTTTCGATGTCACTTTGTAACTGCGTTCTTGATCATTTTTACTAATTCCCTCTCATAAAAAAATTATTGGTGTATCAATTAATCTTGTTATTGAAGCGTATTATTTCACTCTTTATCAGCCTGTATCTTTTTATTGATCCCGAGCAATAAATGATTCGTTTCCTTCTAGATTTTTTTAATAAAGAATTCCTGAGTCGATTATTTGGAAAACAACTCGCATGTTAGCTACGCACTTTTTAAAGCCGAGTTTATAGAATAATCTTGACACTGTTGCGGGCTAGTTGCTAGTTGACACTTGAAAGTGACATAAAAACGGAGATTAATCTAATCTGTTGTAATATTAGTTTCCTCCTGCAAAGTGCGTCGAGTTGAAAAAAAAATAATAATAATAAATTCAAAGCTTTAGAAGCTATTAAAAGAGGCCATAAAGTGTCTTACTCAATTAACTATTACTATTAAATAACAAAAAAATAATAGACTGCGTTCATCGTTTTCGATATTTGAATTCCATGATCTGCAAATTAATTACAATTTCTTATAAAAAATTGTCTTTAATGTTTCCATATTTTACCTTATCTACCTTTTATGTTGACAAAAACTCACTAATCTGAAACCTGCTTGAAACATAAATTTTAATGAAAAAAAATATGAGCAATTGAGGTTTCGAAAATAAAGTATTGATTAAAACCATGCAGTTATTTTTGTATAACATTATTTTCCGTATTTTTATTTATCAGATCAGTCAAAACCAACCAGATTATTTATTCTAAAAAAGAAATTGCTTGAACTTTTTCCAATGTAGTTAATTTTTCTTTTTTTGGCCATATTCTAACATTATTTGAAGTAGTGCTCAGTTTTATGTCTGCAGTGACATTGTTGGGCAACCCTGCTGAAATGTACAATTACGGCACGCAATTTGTGATGGTCGGCATCGCCTACATCATCACAACTCCCATCACGGCCTACGTTTTCATGCCTGTGTACCACAGACTGGGCCTCACATCAGCCTATGAGGTTCAAAATATTTTTTTTTATTCAAGCCTCTTGACTAATTTTGTAAATTGACAGTACTTGGAAATGAGGTTCAACAAGTGGGTGCGACTGATCGGCTGCGTTATTTTCACGCTCCATATGGTTTATTATTATTTTTTTACTAAAATCTGTCGAAAAAAATTAATTGCTGGTAATCCACTAATTCAGATCACATATATGCCAATCGTCGTTTACGCACCGGCCCTGGCCTTAAATCAGGTCACCGGTCTGAACACCTGGGCCGCGGTCAGCATCATCTTTGTCGTCTGCATTTTCTACACGTCGCTAGTAAGAAAATATATATTAATTTTATGTTTTCTTCCCTGCTTTTTGATTATTTTCAAAACTTATTGTTCCTTGTTTGTTTAAATAATTTTAAATTATATAAAGTTCAAGAAGAATAATTAAAAACAAATTTTATTTTTTGTTTATCTTGTCTTGTATTTAATGATCGATTTTATCGTGAAACCCTGTGATTCCTGATCCATTGAACTATTCCTGTATTAGATTTTTTTCAATCATTTCATGCTTCTGATAATATTACCCCTAAATGCAATGTTATTTAAATTTTAAGCATTCAGTTTTAAGAAACCTTTTAACGCATTTGATTTTCCTGCGTCTGAATTTTGAATTTCCTCAGGGTGGAATCAAAGCCGTGATATGGACAGACACCTTTCAGGTGTTGATGATGTTCGCCGGCATGATGGCCGTTGTCTTCAAAGGCACTGCAGACGTTGGTGGCTTCGACTTTGTCTGGCAAAAAACAGAGGAGTCTGGCCGAGCTGAATTTTTTAAGTAATTTTTTTCTACGAGTGTTTTTGCTTTTAAAAGGGGTTTATATTAAAATGTAGCATGAACTTTGACCCGCGCGAGAGACATTCTTTCTGGGCGATGACGGTCGGCGGCTCTTTTCTGTGGGTCAGCACTTATGCGGCCAACCAGGCGCAGATCCAGCGCTTTTTGACTGTCCGCACTGAAAAACAAGCCGTCAGGTTTGTAAATAAAATTAAACTTTCTAGATTTTATCTTATTATTAAAATCAATTGTTAGTATAAAATAAAATCTTAATATTTCACTCTCAAATATCATAACCGTAATTGCTTTAGTAAGGAAAAATTAATTTATCAACTTCATAATTTTTTCAGAAAAAAAATTTTTAATTTGCATGTAACGCTGTGAGATCAATAATTATATTTATATTATTTATATATACATACATATATATATATATATATATATATATATTATATTTTTTTAATTGAATTTTAGAGCGATTTGGATTAATTGCTTTGGCCTAGTCGCCCTTCTGCTAGTCTGTTGTTGGGGTGGCCTCGTCATGTATGCCTATTATTTTGAGTGCGACCCTCTTATTTCAGGGGCAAGTTTTTCTCATTTTTTATATCTATGAAGTTTAATTTTTCGAATTTGTGCAGAAAGTGAAAGCGTCCGACCAACTTTTGCCTCTTTTCGTTATGGACACGATGGGCAGTTTGCCCGGAATGCCTGGCTTATTCACGGCTGGAATATTTAGCGGCGCACTCAGGTGGATTTATAGCCATTTTTTTACATTAAAAAAGTAATTTAAATAAATATGTAGCACCGTTTCAACCGGTCTTTCAGCGCTGGCTGCGATCACCTTGAAAGATTTTCTCGTCGGAGCCTTCAAGATGGAACTCAAAGACTCGCGACAAGCCAGTTTGGCCAAATGGATTAGTTTGGTTTACGGAATCATCTGTTTTGGAATCGTTTTTCTTGTTGCCCAAATCGGCGGAGTTTTGCAAGTACACAAGTTTTAAAATCTAATATAAACAAAATAATTAAAATTAAAATTTTAGGCAGCCCTAAGTGTTCACGGAATGGTCGGAGGACCGATTCTTGGACTTTTCAGTCTCGGCATTTTGATACCTTGGGTCAACTGGAAGGTATTTTTTATAAGAATAAAATACATATTTTTACGCAACTCAAATATCACTAGTAATTCATGAAAAAAAAAATTAAATGAAAATTAATTCTTCTCGGAAAGGGCGCTTTTACCGGCGGAATTGTGGGTTTGATTTTCGTCGGATGGATGGGCTTCGGCGCCCAAATCGAAGCAGCATTGGGCCACGTCAACTTTCCAAAAAAGCCACTTTCCATCGCCGGCTGTAACTGCACCGTTGGGGAACTCCCGCCACCCTTTCCCCCAGGGTATGTACCACCAGTAAAATCTACCCTTATAATATTAAAAAAAATTGAACAGTTATCCAGACATTTTTCCGCTGTACGCGGTATCCTACATGTGGTATACGCCGATAGGATGGTTTGTCACCACGCTGATTGCCATTGCGGTCAGTTGGGTGACCAAGTTCAACGACCCCAGGGAGATGGACAAGAGGTTGTTTTCACCCGTACTGATCGCAATCATGGACAAACTGCCCCTCAGCTGGCAAGAAAAAGTCAACTGGCCAAGCAAATTGGCTAAAAAGGAGGTACGTTATTTAATAAAGTTAAAAACTAAATATTTTTCACCATAAACTTTGAACAGTAAAATATTTATTTCAATAAATCCACAATCCTATATAAGACGCCATAAAGCTTTTTAAATTCTTTTGTCATTGATTAATCTTTATAAAAATGATTTAAAGTCAAAAACACATTTTTCAAAAATTAAATCATTCATGTTTGGATTTCATTTTTTATAAACAGGGCCGTGAGAACGATGGATTTGAGTTCCAGGCTGAAAGTGATAAAGTACAAAACTCACAGGACGAGAGGACGCATAAATTATAAAGTTGTGATAAAATGAAATCTTCGTACTTAAATTTTTATTGTGATGAACTTTTCTGCAAATTATATATAAAAAAAATATAATAAAAAAAATAATCAAAACTGAATAAAAAAATTTCCTTTCATATTAGCACAAATGGAATCTAAATAAAAAGTTAGTTGTTTGCACAACAGAAAAGTGACGATTATGATATAGATCTTGCACATATGTACATGACCAATTAGGCTATTTCCGTCGCGACATGATTTACATTGGAGCATATCCAATTGAATTGTTTCACGTCGCAAGCTCATCTCTATCGAAAGTGCAAGACTGGGCCAACGAAAAGTTAAGCGGGGCCCAGTGACAACTCTAGTAGCAGCCCAGTCCTCACACAGGCCACAAGCACCGGCGGCCCTTGTAAATTGATAAAGATGGTGATCCACCACACCCACACGGTAAGCAAAAACAACCCTCGACAGCTCACCAATAAATTTCAATATTTTATCACATTAAAATTAATTACAATTTACAATACAAATTTTTTTTATTTTTGTTTTCTAAACTGATATTTTTTGTTCCTAAATTTTTTTCAGAAATTTACTTGCTAATTTTCCTAATTATTGTTACAAAAAATATTACGTTCAAATAAATTTTTAATAAGCCCCAATCTCCCAGTTTTTATCAAATTCAAATAGGTTTGGAAAAGGTCGCGTCAAAGTTAAGACGTCACGACATTTAATTAATTAATTACCACATTGCAAATATAGATTCTGGAATGCATTATAAATAATTTGCTTTGATCTGAATGTTTAATTCAAAATTATCTTTTTGAAATTTTGTTGCTCCAATAATAAATTTTTATTTTATAAATAGTCGAAACCCTTATAATTTTCAAAATAAATTGATTTTCGCTCTTTTTGTCTGAAGACCTACCAACCCCAGCACTACGTGGTGACGTCCAGGCCTGGCCAGCCGACTTTGGAGGAGCACATGTACTACGCGTACAGGAACAGCTTGGACAACAGCTCGTTCATTCAGTACACGAGCCCCCGTCCGGAACACATCCCGCCCAAGGGCCTCTCCTACCGCATCTACAAGAGCAAACGCCGTCCCTATACTTCCCTGTTCGCCCTTCGCTAATTCTTCCTCTGCGAACGCAAACAGCCCTAAACGAACGAACTGCTTTGATCAGGTCAAACAGAAGGAAATGATAATAATGTGAATCATAAAATTATGTAGTTGGGTTGAAATTGTGGTGTCTTCATAGATCGCAAGTTTGGTAGGAATAAAAATGAAAGGTGTAAATAAATGGTGAAATTTTTGCGTGCCCAATTCAAAAGCTTCTTTTATTTGAATTTTTCCTAAAAGTGTCTGAAAGTTGAAAAACATAATTTTTTAAAAAAGTGTTAATTTTTCAAAGGTTTTGTTTCAATTTAATTTAATAAATAATAATAATAGTAGACTGATACAAATTCCATATTATTAATCATTTTTAATGTAAATAATCAAAATAATGAGGTTTCCAATGCATATAAATTCTATATTAACAGATAAAAATTAGTTTCTTTGGTAACAATTTACTGATTAAATTGTTGACCGCTGCAAAGGAAGTAATCTATAAGAAAGTCTTAATTTTTTGGGAGTTCTGTTCAAAAAATGACCTAATATTTTGGTTTGCTTTTTTCAGGCTCAAAAAGAAAGTTGCGAAAAAAAATAGGTCAAAAAGTTCATTGGCTGTAGTAATGAACTCGTGGAAGGATGAAAAACTTCAAATAATTTGTTATCAATATTCTCAGTGAAAAAAATATCGAAAATTCCAATACTTTGCCTAATTTTTTCAATCCCTCAAAAACTCCTTTCACATTAGGCCGAATTTGAAATAGCGCTCTTTGCACAATTAGAAGTTGCTATGATGACGCGTGTACATCATCAGATCTAGCGCACATATTTTTGTCGCGACATGCAACGTATATTGGAGGCAGTCCAACAGAATTGATTCATCTCGCAAGTTCTTCTCTGTCAAAAGTGCCGACGAATGTTTTCGCGGCCCCGTGGCAGACATAGTCGTAGCCTAGCCCTCAAACAGACCACAAGCCCCCTAGAAGCCCCTGAAGAGGAAATTTTATTATGATGGTGATCCGCGAAGTTCAAACGGTAAGACATTTCCAACCGAAAATTGCAAACACACATTAAATATCCTTTCAATCTAAACAAATACGTGAAAAAAATTAATAAATAGTAAAAGAATGTCACTAAGAAATAGTTTTGAATGATTTTTTATGGTTTATAAATGACTCAATTTTTTCTTGTTTATTTTATTTTATTTTGTAAATTATAGAGATTTTCAGAAGCAGTACAAAAATTACATTAATTATAAAAATCTGATAATTTTTAATAATTAATTAAAATTTGAACATGAAATTGTAAATTGGAATATAAAATTATACATATTATAAATATTGAATTAAATATCATCTGCAACAGATTATAATTATAATCTATAGCATTTGTAATTGAAAATAATCATTTTAATTAATCATTATAATTTCCTCTTGTGACAAATTTAATGTCACCATATTGCAACAATATGACGCATGACGGTGCTTGTAAATTTAATCTCTGTACCAAAATGGAAATTAGCTATGAATATTTTTTTACTTTTTTGCCAATTTGTTTTGAATTTTATTTTCTTCTTGCAAAAGACGATCGTGCCCCGCAACTACACCCTGACAGACTCGCCGAGCCTGAGGCGTGCTCTGGAGCGCAACTACTCTTCTTACTCGAGCACCAATAGTTCGTTGTTGAGCAGTCGAGTGTCCACGTCGCGCACCTCCACCTGCTCAACCTTCGAGAGACGCACGTACAAGCGCCGCACTTACAATTACTGCGAACGCACGGCCGAGCGGTCCGGCTGTTATTCGTACTCGATCGACGGCTCGAGACGCCGGCCCGAATGCTTCTCCTACCGCAACTACTACAGTAGACGCTTCCCCTGTACAAATCTGTTCGTGCTTTATTAAATTATTCTTCTGTTAAAAATAAAAATAAATAAATAAATTGTCAGATCTAAGAGAAGGGAATGTGTGAATAAAATTATTTAACTCAGTCATCAGTAAGGATTTCAATGTGTTATTTTTTTTTAGAATGAAAGAAGGTATGAATAAAATGGTCAAATTTTAAATCTGCCAATTTGAATAACTTGTTTTATTTAAATTATCTTCATTGCTTAAAACCTTTAGTGTATCCTATCTCCATCAATTGCTTTTTAGTTCTCAATACAAGAATAAGGCACTTAAGTCCTTGTGGAATAACAAAAACAAAAGTAAAGAGCATTTGATTAAAAAAAAATTATAATGATATTTTTAAATAACCAAGAATAAAAAAAATCAAAGGCAAATTTTCCGAACTAATGAATTTGTTAAGAGTGCTTAAGATTAAGAATTGAAATGAAAATATCCATATGATGTATAATGCAAATAAAAATTTAACTTTTACAATGATGATTTTGAATTATAAATTTTCGAATCCTTAACAATAATTAAAAATTGCACATTAGCCTAGTGAAAGCGCAATTGTATACACTATAAAATATTTTAAATTTATAATTAATTTGTGCAGTTTCTAAACATGTGCATTTGCGCGCACCAGGATAAATAAAAAATTTGTTTCAATGAAATTTTTGCTATTTATTTAATAGATTTACATAAAGTTACGGAAAGCCTTTAGATTAAAGATCTCAGCTTTCAATATTCATAAATGGAATATATATAATTTTAATATCAATTATTAATTGTATAATTATCAAATTCAAAGTCAACTTGGCCAAATAACGTGGGTCTTGCTTATTTGACCTGCATAATTTTCACTTTGGCCTTGGTACGTAACAGATAAAATGATAAAAATATGAGCGGGCAGTATTTGTGTCGCGACATAAATTTACTTTGGAGCTCACCCAACGCAATTGATTAATATCTATTGGACCCATCGATATCGAAAGTGTATGCAAAATATTGGGCCAAGGCAAAGTTTTCGGGGCCCCGAAACGGCTCTCGTCGCAGCCCAGTCTTCGCACAAGCCCCCGAACGAGAAGCACCAGAAGATTAAGATGGTGTACGAAAACGAATTTTCATCGACAAGCCGCAGAAGCGTGAGGTCCACCCTGTCCACCTACATTTACACGTCAAACATCCGCGAGAAAAAGAAGTACAATTACCTGAATTGCAACTGGCCCGTGTGCGTTACGGACCGGACGAAGAGTTCGTTGCCGCGGAATTACGTCGTGTCCGACTCGCCGGCCCTGCAGCGGGTGCAGCGGGCCCTCGAGCGGAATTACTCGACGACCCTGAGCAGCCGCTCGTCCTTGAACCTGAGCTCCGCGCGCTCCTCCTTCAGGACCTACGAGAGCCGCACGTGCATCCCCAACAACTACTCGTACTCGTGCGTGCGCTCGTCACGCTCGGCCGAAGGGCCCAGTTTTTACTCCTACTCGAGCTTCAGCACTGGACGCCAACCACAGAACATCTCCTACCGCATCTACGACAGCAAAGGTCTACCCTGCACGTCTCTTTTTGTGCTTCGAACGAATAGAGCCTAAAAGGAACCTGGCCAGGTTGAGAGGAGAAGAAAATCTGTGAATTAAATTATTTGTTTATGACAAAAAAATGGAAATTAGTTATTTTCTAAAGAAGAGAGTATATAAATAAAATGGTAATTTTGTAAATCTGCTCGTCTCAAAGATCTAGTTTGATTTAAATCCTCCTAAATTTTGTATCAGCTTTTTGGTTTAATTATTTATCAAAAAATGTATTATATTTGGCAATTTTCCTTTTTCCAAATTAGAAAAACCTTGCCGAATTTTTTCACTAATTCTTGTAATTTTTATTGAAAGATTCATTATCATTTAATTTTTTTTTCTTCAGAACAAATTTATGTTATGACCATAAAACTTCAAGCGTCTGAGTAATAACTATTGGAAGATATTAAATTTATTGATCTGAAAGTAAAATTAAAAGACATCAATTTCTTTACATTTTTTGCATCTATATTCATTTAACTGTAGCAACTATATTTCTGAAATTTTTGTACCTACTGCTGTTGGCAAAATTTTACTCACTTCCTAAATATTTCCCAAAGATTTGACTGCAGATTTAGCAAAGTAAATATTTTTTTCGCAGAGCTGTTACAATTCAACACCTTTTCTTTTTATTTGTGTTCCATTATTATATATAATAAATTATATTATATTATATCTTGCTTTTGAATGTTAAAAAAGTCAAGTTCATGGATTATTGAAAAGCGGACGGCTTTACAGGTTGCATATTAAATTAATTCAACCTTGAGATAAACCGATAATGAATTTATGATAAATGGAAAGGCAATGTGACTTTTATGCAACGTTACAAAAAGTCAAATGAAATTGAAATTCAGTTCTCTGTGCATATTATCACGTAATCATATATGTATCATATAATTAAAGATTTACAAATTGTTTTATTTTTTAAAAAATGTCTAGGACAAGGTACAAAAGCTTATTTTTAACTTACGAAAAATATTAAGAATTTGATCATTGATTAATATTTTAATATTGTTTATTTATTTATTGTTTATCGTTGAAAATTCGGTTGAAGTTTTTTTAATATTGCATACAAATTGATTAAAAAGATGATTTAAGATAATTATTTCTCAATCTTCAAAAAGTTCAATAAAAACGTCTTGACAATAGAAGTGACGACCAGGATGTGAGGCACCGTTCAGATTTAGCGCATTTATGATCGGCCTGGCTATTTCTGTCACGCTAGGGATGATTTACATTGGAGCGAATCCAACGGAATTGGTTCATCTCGCGGACTCATCTCTCTATCGAAAGTGCAGCATTTTTATTTCGCGAGGGAGCGAAAAGCGCGACGAGAAGAGGGAAGTATAAAAATTGTTACGAGTTGGCGGCGAGAGTGGCCGCTGGCGTGTGACGTCACTGCCGGCCGCCCGAAATAGCGCGTTGAGGGGCGGCCAACGAAAGGTTTGCGGGGCCCCGTGACAGCTCTAGTCGCAGCCCAGTCCTCACACAGGCCACAAGAGTAGCCCCCGAACCAACAGCAGCCCCAGCAGATTCGAAGATGGTGTACGAAAACGACTTTTACACGAGCCGCAGGACTGTGCGGCCCGCGCTGGCCACCTACACCCACACGGTAAGCCACCCCCGCGCACATTCCACCACCAGCACCGGCAGAAAACAACCCTCACCACGCTCATATCAAATTCCCCGTCTTATATCACACTAAAGTTTTCCAATTTAATATATTAAATTAAAAAACTTTATCACAAAACAAACAAATTTGTCCGTTTCAAAAAAAAAAAAAAGTGTTAAATTTATTGCTTCTTGTGTTAGGACAGCTTTAGTTGAGATTGTGTGAATTATTTTAGATTTTACTGTGAAAAAGAAAAAGCTTTCATTAAATTTTACAATTAAACTGATTATAAATAGCTAATTTGCAAGCCAGTTAAAAATTATTGTACTGCATCAAAAACAAGTAAAATTAAAAAAAAAAAAAAAACTTTGAATCGCTAGTTATAAGTAAAAATATTGTATTTTCAAAATATTTTACTGGTTGAAATTGTGAAAATATTTTGAATTTGCTTATTTTCATAAATTGCTCAGTTATTTTTAATATTTCATTAAGGGAAGTCGATAACAATGTTGTATAAAAATTAAAAATTGAACTCTGATTAAAATTTATTCTAACCTTTCAGCATAGATATTTGTGAAACCACAACTGTACTAACTTTTCTAAAAATACAAATGAAATGCAGAGGCTGAATCGTCGCTGGCTCTATTTAAAGCAGTTTCAAAATAATCTCTTTCCGTTTAATTCAACATTCAAATTTCGTCCACCGCGTGTGGAAACAACAACAGTGACACACATTTCTGACGTCATGACAACAAAGCCCGTCATAGATGATTGTGCATTTAAATCCGACCAGGCCAAAAAAGTTTGAAACGTGCGCGTTGAGAAACTCTTAAGAAAATTTATTAACAAATCACTTAAAATTTTGAAAAATAACTTCACAAATTTTCAACTGGCTTGCATCTAATTGTATAAAACAAGTGTGCAACAGGAAGAATTGTGAAATTTTCCTAGCTGTTTGTTTTGTAAATTGAAGTTTGATAAATATAGATTAAATTTCTGGTTAGTTCGAATCTAAATCAAGTTTATATTTAAAAAAAAAGTCAACTCAGCACCACAGAAAAAAAACCCATAAAATGTTTATTTTAGTTATGTTTTAAAATTAAGTTCCGGATATATTTTTGAAGAAAGAGATAAATTTCGGCCTTGTCCATTCAATAATAAATCGAACCTCTTTCGGCCGCTTCTTCTCCAGAGGCGAGATTGGGTTTCCAAGAGGAGCGCGCGGCCGAGTCCAAATTTAGCGCCCGAGTCGGACGAGCTGACGACGCCGCCGCCGGTATATTTATTATTTTCATTCCGCCTCTCGCGGGCTGAGTTACGACGAGCAGACCGGCTAGAGAAATTCTCTTTTAAATTGGACACATTTATTAATCGAGCGTGAGCAGCAGTTAATTTTCTTTTCCTCCCAGGAGAGAATTTTTCATTTACTTTCCTTTCCGAAAATACCGCGAAATCGAGGCGAAAATAATTTCCCCGGAATCAGATGATGTGATTATCTACTCTGCGGAAAACTTTTTCTAAAAATGGCAAAGCACGTACAAAAGCTGACAAAGAAATGCTTATTAAAAGCAGAGGAGGTTTTATTATGAAAAAAGCAGAGCCAAAATGTGGGATATTTTCCTTCCTCGTCTTTTGACATTTCCAGCATCAAAAGCGGTTTCTCGAATCACGAGGAATTGCTCGTTCTGGGAAAGTGTCATATTTTTATATCAAATTAAAAGTTGAAACCTTCTAATCAATTTTGAAGGTATAGAAACTTTCTAAAATGAAAATAAATTACAATAATTTCAACTTTTTTAGAAAATGTGTTTTGATAAAATCAAATATATGGATCATTTAACTTTTAAAGTTTCCTCAGCACAAATCAATGCAAAATGTAATTTCATGTTGGAAGAATCAGAGGTTAAGAAACTCATAAATTGCTGTCCCAAAAATTATTCTGAATAGCGATTGTCGCGAAAAAAGTTGCCTGGATTTTCCAAACGTTGTTGCGCCCTATCAATATCCAAGATTTTTGAGAGCTCAGAATCTTGATTTAATTAACATTGTCTCAAAACAAAGTAATTTTAACTGAAAAATATAAATTTTTCATAAATATTCTATTTGAAGCAGTTAAATTTGCAAATACTTTGTAAAACTATTGATTTCCCACTTTTAAAGTAAAATCAAGCTCTGTTTTATTTTTGGAAAACTAAGGCGTATTAAAAAGGTTTCATCAGAGACCCACTTTCAAACTAAGTCGCGCAGAACATTCGATTAGTTGTTGCATTTTCGGCCGTGATCCAGTCAAAAAATAGTCGAAATCCGGGTCAATATCAATCGCGCTCAACGAATTTTGAGTCCCACCCACTCTTACCTAAGCCCGGTCAGATTTATTACATATCCGATTTTGCAAGAATGCAGCAGTTAACCCAATTCTCTGGAAATAAGCAAGCCCCACGCAGCGCATATTTCGAGTGTGAATTTATTTTTAAAGAAAGAGCAAAGTTGCTCCACTTGGCAGGATTCCGAAGCGCGCGAACAAGTGTTTGTTGCCTCAATACGAGGGCGAGGGAGGGATTCAAAGCAAATCCATCAATCCTTTCTCAACCCGTTTCTAAGAGACGGTGAGTTCTTTCGAACATAAATCTCTTCACGGTAATTGCGAGAACAAAACTTTACGTTAATTCCTTCTCGATTCGAGTTGCGTCAAACCGATGAGATGAAAAGAAATAAGGGGAGTGGGCGACTTACAAGGAATAGGCAACCTGCCAGACAGACGTGTTCGACAAAAAGCGGAAAACAACTTTCGTCAGGCGTCGCTTTGTGCCGTCAAAAGAATACACGACTAGAAAGATCCACAAGTTTTTTTTGTGTGATTGATTTTAACAAGAAAAAAGTTTTTAATTTTTTTATTGCACTTTTGAAAATAGGTAATTTTATATGAAAACTTAACAATTAATTGCTATTTATGTTCTGTAGAAAATAATTTCCAATTTTAAAATTAATTATAGCGTTACACACCAAAATTTTTGATAAAATATTTAAATTCGCTTAGTTTTATAACACTAGTAAATTCTTTTTAAAAGTTATTTCAAGAGTTTCAAAACAAAATTAAACTCAGAAACTATTCCAATTTTATGTCCACGAAATTTTAATAAAGAAAATTCAAATAGATTTATTAAAGTCTCTGTACTCATTTGTGGGAATTGAGAAATTTGCCTCTCCGTCACTTTTTCATGCGTCTTTGAAGGAATTTTATTTTAGACTTTTTTGATGTGGCTGAAGTAGCGACGAGGCGGCGAGCAAGATGTTGAGAAAATTATGAAGAACGTCAGCAGAAAAGTCTGGGCGTCTCGTTGGAATTGCGCCAGCGGGTGCGTCGCTAATATTAAAGCTGTCAAGATGAGCGCATTGCCAAATCGTCTCACTCGGGGCGTTTCCGCGATGGATTTGTTCGACAAGACGAAAAATAACCATTTCTCCCTCTCTTCAATTATAGAAAACGATAATTAGTTTTGACGCCGCTGCACCTGCTTCAAAACAAAGAGTTTGAAAGATCAAAATAAACAAATATATAAAAGCGACTGTCTGAAATACACAAACACTTCATTTAGTAAAAGCGACAGCTGCTTTTTAAAATTGTTTTAATTGAATCGCACCCTGCTTGACGTCAACTGAAAAAGAACCTTGTCTTACTAATTTCAAATGTTTCTATTTTTAATATTAAAGGAGTTCAAACTGATAATACCATAAGTGCTGGTATTTATAAAAAAAAATCCAATTTTTTGACCAGCTTGAGATTGGAATATTTTAAACATGAGCAAATTGAAATTAAAAAAAAAAAATTCTTAAAAATTTATATTTTGTTAATATTTATGAGCTCATTTCATTATTTAATTTCTATCGGAAACATATTTCCAGTCATGAATTTAGCTGAGCGCTGTTTGGAACATAATTTACTTGAAAGTTGAATTTTTGAATTTTCCTTGCGAATTCTGATAACCACATAAAATCATATTTTTAATGGATTCAATTAATCAACAAGGTAGAAAATATTTGTTTTGTAGACGAATTTCACTATCGAGGGTTGATTCAAACACCATAGCTTGTAATTATTTTTAGGAATTTTAAAACGGTAAATTTATCTTAAAATATTAAAACTGGAAATTTTCTCCAAAACTTCTGTAAATTCAATCTGAATCCCACAAAAATGCAATCCCTTTACATCAATTCGCCCACCCACATTTCTCTTCTTCATAAAACCATAACTTCAATCAAAAGTTATAGAATCAAATTTTTGTGTGCAATGAAGCACTAATGAACCAAATTAAATGATAATTTTTTTGAATGAGTGGTGGTTTCTGAGGTGGCTGGCGACTGTTTTTAGCGGTACAAGGCGCCCGAGCACCTGACGCCGACGATGCTGCGCCTGTCTGAGGTGCCGCCGCTGTTCACCGCCTTCGGAAGAGCGCCCCGAGCCCCCGGCGACGAGTCCGGCCTGACGAGCGCGTACACCCCGCCGCGCCGCACCCTGCGCTCCGTGGCCCCTGACATGCCCTCGCACCTTTACACTTTCTACCGCTACTACCGCCACTAGTGGAGCGAGCTAATCCACCTCTCTCACATTCGCATCACATTTTCTCTCACCCGATTTGAAATTTAACTGCAAATTTTCAGAAAAATGTTCCGTCCGTTTGCACTTGGCAAATGTGTAAATAATTTTATTGCTTAATTTTACTTCTGTTTCGACTTTTGGGAAAAAGGAAAACATAAAAAAATAATTTTCATCTTTATAAATAACAAGCATGTTGTTCAAATTTTTGTATTAGATTTGCAAGACCTTTTCTTCTTGATAAATTTGAAGAAAGTAATTTTAATTTAAAAGGCGTCAAAATTTTCTTTCTTAATTTTCGGCAAATATTCTTGAATTTGCCACTTAAACTATTAAATAAATTTTGATTAAATTTCCTTTCCCAAATATTGAAACGAAGGATTTCGCTTTCCAAATAAAACCAGCAACTCAGTTTTTTCTTAACTATTAAAAAATTAAAAATATAAACTTTTTCAATAAATTTTTGGGTTGAGCGTAGTGACGAGGTGGCATCACGCCCCACAGCCGTGGAATGTAGCCGTGGATGAAATTCGCGCGTGGGCAGTTTTAATGGCCGAGCGAGTTAAAAACGGCATCCGAGCCAACACGCTATTATTATTTCTCTCTCACTGAATTGGCTCGCCTGCAAAAATTGCTGCAAAAAAAAATGCAAATCGGCAATTAATATGGCGGCAGGTGCTGGCGTTTGTAAATGAGCCGAGAGCGGGCGAATTTTTGCAGGCAAAGTCGTTTTTGACTCCAGCTAGGCCATTGAAGCTCGGTCCACGCGCACTACTAAAAGTAAAAGTAAAAAAAACACACACAAAACTTTTTTACAAGAGAGGGCGCGTCACTGCGGCTTTCACGAGATTAATTAATTCGCAGACTCGCTACTTTTTGATTTTATTTTTTATTTTTCCACACCCGCTGCAAAACTTTTAACGAGAGAGCAGGTCGCATACTACTTTCATAATTATCTCTTTAGTTGTTGAAACACTCTTTCCAGCTTAAGTTAATTAACGGATTAATTAATTATACTAATGAATTAAGACGCTGCTGCATTCTTCTCTATTTATTTATATATTACACCGTTTATAGAATAAGCTCAGGTTTTGTGGTGCTGTAGGACTTAATCGAACGAATTAATGCATTGATTAACGAAACTATATATCGGCTCACTAATTGGCACAAAATAATTGTAATCGCATCTAGTTTTTGATTGGTGGATGTTTTAATTCAAACGCTGTCTGCTAATTTTTAATTAAAACAAAAAATCCACCCCCTCTACCAAAAATCCCTCAAGTCAGAGAGCCACGCGAAATATACGAAAATCGCCATAGAATTGCGTAGAATATGTAAGTCCATAATAAGAGGAATTTGTATTAATTTGCGTAGAGAAAAAGCAGAAATGAGAGGGAGAGGTTTTATAAGCAAAATAATTTTTTCGTGTCCTTTTGATGTTTTAATCAATTGCCATTTAGAACAGCAGACTGAAGGGATGACCGTTTTGGTTGTCACGTGGTGAGTAACTTTTGTGCATGTCGAGTGGGCACGACCTTACAGGACGATCTCCTGCCCCCCTCTCCGTTGAAAAGGGAAAGAAAAGGAGGAAAATGAAATTTGCAAAAACAAGATGTTATTTATGCGAGAATATTTGACAAACTGTTCTCCTCTTTCCTTCACCCTTTTTGAAACCCTCAGGGCGGCTGGGCTGATAATTTATGGAGAAATTGAAACACCTTTTTTGTTCACTCACTCTTTTCTTCTTTATCCCCCTCGACGCGACGGAGTAAAAAGAAAAAAACAGCGCCTGAAGTGGGCATATAATAAACGTGTAACGACATCCAACAAAAGAGAGGCTTGGCAAATTTAATTAGTCAGCGAAACGCGCGCGTCACGCAAATATTGGGCTGCGGATCAGCGAGACGTTTTATCGTCCCACTGCCTCGGGAGTTAACTTAATTGTTCCGCGAAGGGAAAACCCGAAGAGCTTTTAGCCACTTGCGTATAAGCTCGCCCATCTCTGGAACTGAAAAAGGCTTTCAAGCAGCAAACAAGACGCATAGAAGAGGACTTAAAAAAACCACACACTCCCATCACATCCCAATAAAATTTTAATATATAAACAAAATCAAACTAAATTCAAAAATTTAATTACTAAAGGGCATGGAAATATTCAAATAATTAATTTGAGATCTTGATGAATTTTTTAAAAATGAATTCACTTGTTTTTGTCGCTCAAAATTATTTTTTCACATAACTTAAGAGTTTATTGCTTCTGAAGTTACTTGTCTTTTAATTTTATAACCAAAAATATTGGCTTAAAAAGTCCTAAATCTGTACGCAAAGTTCCATCAGGATTTCAAACATGGAATTTTAATTTTCTGAGTTTTTATGTCCTTTTGTAATTTGTTATAAAAAGTCAAATCAAAAAGCTCAATATTTTTTCTTCATATTAAATGCTAGAGAAAAAAAATCAAATATAAACAGGCGCTGTTTTTGAAATGGTCTAAACTGTCCCTGTCTGTCTTTCTGTCTCTCTGTCCGGCCAAAGACCACCGTGCCCCGTCACTACGTCGTGCTGGACACGCCGAGCCAGCGTGCGCGGGACGAGCGCAGCTACTCTTCCTCAACGTCGTACTCGAGCACCAGCAGCTCGTCCCTGGGCGGCGACCGCTACCCCTCGACCAGTTCAACCACCCCGCGCACCTCCTACTCGACCACCGAGAGCCGCACGTCCAGCTCGAGCGGCTCCGGCCCTGGCTCGTACTCGTACTCGTCCGAGCGCTCGTCCCGCTCGTCCGACGGGCCCGGCTCGTACTCGTACTCGAGCGTCAGCACGGGCCGCCTGCCCCACGGCACCACCTACCGCCACTACTCCTACCGATAAACACACACACCCCCCACCCCTATCTGTCGCTTTGCTAACCCTTCCTGGAGCTAACCAGCAGTAGACGAGTAGTGGCACTAACCGCTATACTTATTGTTACATTTAATCGCGGTTTGGTCACGCAGGTCGACCGGGGAATCTGTCAATAAAATGATTTCCCGTCGAAAGTTGGGTTTTTTAGCCACCAGAGATTTTCAAATGTGCATTGAGATCCTGAATAGATTTCTGAGATCAAAAGCTGCCTCTTTACAACAGATAAAAATTGCCAAAAGGTGCTGCTCAACATTGTGTTAAATCCTGAGATCTTCAAAAAAGCAACTAGAGAATTAAAAATGAAAAAGTGGCACCTTCAGCACTTTACTGGCAATTGTTGACCCGGAAATTGGTTCAGAAGATCAAATTGAAAAAATTTAGTTTCGTTCTTTATAATTTTTTTTAAACTATATAGTTTGTTTTGCTGGAAAATTTTAATGTAAAATTACAATTTTCAATAAATAAAATAACTGATTAATATGCATTTTTTGGCGTTTATTTTCTCTGCATAAAAAGTTGCGTATCATTGCATTTAACTTTGAAGAATTTAGTCAGTAAAGGGACAAAATTTGTGCCCAGGAGAAACTTTTTGATTGGATTAGAATCTCGCACGGAAAGTTAGTTCATTAGTGGAGGACCCGACTTGGCCAAACGAGCGCGAAACAACGTTATTATCTCTAACAGAAGCAGATGTAGCGCGCAAATTAACAATAAAACCCCGGCGTGCGCCGGCTGGTCAATTTCTGCCCTTTGTATTTCTGTGTATGCCGAGCCCAGCCGCCCTCTGAGTGCAAAATCTCTCCTTTTTTGTGACAACCAACCTGAAATTTTCCCGTCGCGCGCGGCGGACTGTTTCTCTTTGATCGTATATATTGTCTCTGGAAACCTCTCCCCCTCAGTGTAGCCTCTAATAAAAAAAAATTATATTATTTAGTATAAATATATTTGAAAGAGATCGATTTATTTTATTTTTCTTGTGAATCGTTCTTTTCATTTTGCTGCTTTGATTGATCGATTGCTGGCTGATTGACGCCAAATTTCCGCACTCTGTGTCTGTTGTTGTAACTCTCGCCTACACGCTTCCTAAATGCCCCAGGTGCCGCCCAGGTACTCCCACACGACGCCCAGCCACCACCTCTACGCGTACGCCACTTACGCGGTAAGTTACTTTTGCGCCGACGGCCTCGATTTTCTATATTAACTTCCTCTCGAGTGCCTCCTACGTAAAGATACAAAATCATTTTCCCACTCAATTCATCAAAATGAGGAAATTGCGTGGAGGGAATTTTCCCTAGTTCAAAAATAAAGACTTACAATTACGTAGACATGAACTTCTTAAAAAGAAAAAATGTAATAAAAAGGAAATGTGATTTTTTTCTTCAAAATTTGAATATTTTAACAAAAAAATATCCGAAATAATTCATATCAAAAATTTCCATTCTGGACAAAAAAATATTTTCCCTGATCTAGATTTTTTTTTTTAAATTTTTCCATCAAATCTTTTTGTTGGAGAGCACTCAAATTATTAATTATTGTAATTATTAATCGCTTAAATCAAAGTCCATTAAATATCTTCTTGCTTCAGCATAAAATCCAGCAAAATAATTTAATCAACTTTATCCAAGCCGTCTTACGGAAACAAACATCCTTCTGTGAGAAATAACCAGAGCACAAAGTGTGACACTTTCTCATGTGACAAAGACAAAAGAGCTGCTTTTTTATTCTTATATCTCTTCATCAGGCCCTGCTTGTAGAAGAGAAATAATAATAATAATCCTCCCGAGCAACTTATTCTCCTCTCACCACAAGCTAAAAATACATAAAGCTGGCCTTGTTTGAGCCGAGAGCGACGAGACGCTCCTCTTCTCTTACTCGGCTTTCAATTAACTCTTGATCAAACCCGCTTATTATTCCAGCTGCCTGCGCTTCTGTCCGTAACCCTGGCCGCGCGATCTCCTTCTCGCGCGCGCAATAGGTAATTTTTCCCTAACAATTGCAGCCCACACACTCTCGAGCAGAGAATAGAGGCTTTGCTTGCACAATAACTTTCTGTTTGCTGTATAACCACTGCAAACTAACACGGGGGAGTAATCGGATTTATCCGAAGGTCTGGCGTGTGTGTTGGAATTACCTGATGACGATTAAAAAACTTGCAATATTTCTTATTGCTAGACTCTTAATAAAGCTTTAATAATGTTTCAAAGTGGATTGAAAAAAGGTCAGGTCAAATAAATAATGGGATGGGTAAAAAATTTGATCAATTAGATTGTTAAATTACTTTTTCCCTTCAAGCTTAACTGTTGAATACGCTTGAATTTTTCTCAATTTTAAAAAATTTATAATTTTATATGCTTAAATAAATTTATAAATTTATATTGGACTTTTTATTTTGCATAATTATTTAATGAAATTGCAAGGCACTATCATACAAGGCAGACGATTTCCCAGTCACCAAGTATTTTTGTACCTGTGCCCGCTCAATGTCAACCCTTTTGCTTTGATTTGCCTGCACCTATAGCCGCTATATATAGCCCCTGTCGCTTGATGATTATTATTTGTTGCCATAGAAACGATCCATCCGCAGCAGCTTGTTTTATGCAAACGCGCTGATTCGCTTGCATTGTTTTTCCTGACTGATTTTTTTTTTGTAAAATTTTTTTGCAAAAATAATCTGCAGTTTTTTTGAACTGTTTGTTTTGTCCTCCACAGATTCCACGTTACACCAGGGCGACTTCGCCTGTCACGCTGCTGGTAAGCAACCCGCACAACTGACGGATTTTTATAGAATTCTCTCTCATTTTTTTTATGTATATTTTCTATATATCTCTCCCTCTCTCTCATTTCGCTTTTATATTTCTGTTTTTCTATTCATCTCGCTTTGTTTACATATTATACGCGCCTAATCTTGAGGGCCAATTATTTTGGAATTTGCGGCAATATTTTTTTGCCTAATCTGCACTCGAGTCGCGGGGGCGGCGCCATAAAAGAAGGTGCACGTCGGCAGTCTGTTATTTTTGACCCGCGGCTGGGGCACAAAAATACACAGAGAGCAGAGGCTGCCTCCGGCAATGGCCCACTAAAGGTTGAAGTAATTGAATTATTGCGAAATTAAAATGGAGCAAGTCGGAACAAATTCATACTGAAATGAAAAAGCCAGGCCATAGTAATGCCACAAGGAAAGAAATAAAATTTAATTCAACTTGAAATGCTAAAAAGGTTTAAATAATCTTGAAAAGTTGTGTAATTAAGAAAATGAAAAAAAAAAACATTGACGTAAAATTTTTCAAGTGAAAATACGTAAAACATAACTAAGTTTTTGAAATATCAAAACATTTTAACCTAGTTTATCAATCAAGGGGCAATAATATGAAAATAAAAAGGATCATTAAGTTTTAACGCGAATGCTCAATATAGTACAATATTGAATAGAAATAGCGAACGCTATTATATTTTTAATGCGCTTTACCAGAAGTGCTAGTTTAATACACAATTATTTTATAGAACCCAAGATCGTTCTTAAACCATTATTAACAAGTGCAATATTGTGCCAAAGATTGATTTTGATTTCAATAAAAATAAGTTCCAAAGATTTTTTGGAACGAATTGAACATTTTGATATAATGTATCAACCCAAACTTTAAAAAGGTATGTTGGGAAATGGTTTGAAATATTTAATAAATATAGCTATCAAAAAAATTTAAAATAAATTAAAATTTGGGGTCGGGTAGTTCTTTTATATAAAAAAAAAAATATTTACAAGAACATTAACATCGATTAGCGAAATCTTACACAAAAACGTTTCCTCATTCAACGGAAGGTGGTTGGATTTTTTTGCTGACAACTGATAATCTTGCTAACACTTTCTGCTCAAAGGCTGAGGGCGTTTCAAAAGTGCCTTTTGAGCAGCTTTTTGGCGAGCAACGAACAAGAGTCTTTCCCTCGATATTAGCACACGCGAGGTCAACGTCCATATTTCGGCGGCTGCTTGAATGAAATTAGACTCTCCCGAGTGGGTGTCACCGTGACCGCTTTTGTGTTCCAAAGGAACTCACGGTGAATGGAGGAGAACAAGGGTGGGCGCACCGCGACACACAGGAAATTGTGGAGATAATGTTGTTCCACGTCAATTTTCGCAACTTCCCACGCGCCGACACAAAAACAACCCATTCAAGCGAACACTTGATTGTTTTCATTTTGGCCGATTTTTCTCCCTTTCGACGTCACATAAAAGTGTACAGCGAGCGGACGAGGAAATTCTTGCTGAAAGGGTGGCTAATAAGCAATTTTTTTCTTTCATTAAGGTCAAATTAACTTCCTTTTTAAAAAAAAATACATGACACACCTGCATCCCTCGCAAAATGAAATTTCCTCGCCGGCTCTTGATTCGCATTTGCGTCTTTTTTCTCTCTCGAGCATGATGATGGGTTTTTATTTTTTTGCGTTTTGAAGCATCTCATTTATTTCCCACTTTTCCAGTGAAAATAAAATGTAGCATTCTTGTTTTGATAAACGTCCTTCTCGTACTAACCTACTTTTCCGTCACTTTTTCTCTGGGAAAAAGCACTTTCACGGTGTTCATTAGTATCAACTTGGTTGCGCCATTTGGCTGAAAGTTTTCCCATTGAAAAATGTGTTATATTTTTATGCATATATGTGTGCCACCGACGTTTTGCAAAATAAAATATAATATTTGGAAAAATCACTTATTTTAAAATTTCAATTAACTTTTGAAAGATCTGATAACTTCGTGAAATCATAAAGCTTTTCATTGAAATATTCTTATACATATTTGAGTATAGATTTAAAAGATTCTTCAAAAATTAATTACAATTTTTTCAGAGCAACAGCTTTCTTTATATTTATAAGTAAACTTTTGAAAAATGATTTAATAACTACTAAGAAAATGTATATATTTCTCAAAAACATTTACTTAAATTTTCAAAATATTGCGTTTTTTAATTTGAAATTTTTAAATGCTTCACTAGATTGAGCAAAACGTGGTTGCCACATTCATTCAATACACTTGTTCCTCTTCCTTTCTCTTGCCAACAACTTGTGGAGTGTGTGAATGTGTTTTCTGTAAAGATGCCGGGCCACTACTCGATGCCCGCGCTGGCCCACCAACGGCTGTCCCCGCACGTGCCGTCCCGCATGCGATCGGCGGCCATCGCGTCCGAGCTCAACAGAATCCAATCCCGCAGCAGACCCAGGGTTGGCAGTGTGCCTTGTGAGGACTTTCTGAACTCGCACGAGATTACGGTGAGTGCAGAGTTCAACATGGCCCACAGCAACGAGGTCCGATCGATCATTCAAAAAAAAAGATCAACTGTTTGTAATTTTACTGTACAAAAAAATTAAAGTTTGAAAAAAACCTCTGGCATGTTATATTTCTGTCACTTTTTGTGTGAGGTTTTGCCACCGATTTTTGTCACACGCTCATCACACAATCATTTATTTTCAAACCCAAAAATTTAAACATTTTTCCAAAATCCAAAACTTAATTCTTGTTGTAATTTTTGGGAACTTTTCAATTGACTTTCAGAATTTTGAGGACGAGGCTAGGGAAATCAAAGCCCGCACCAACGAAATCATGACCCGCGTGAGGTCACCCGTGCCCAGAGGCTACCACACAGACATGCTGATTCCCAAGTAAGAAATTGAATCGTGAATTTGGCGGAATCTAATTTTCGCTTTCTTAAGGTATTTGGAAAGGGATCTGGACCCGGTTTCCCACCACTCGTACATCGAGACTAACGTGTACTCGCCTATGAGGCAGATCCATCAGGACATCAGCACCAAGTCCCGCTACTCTGAGCCCGGCAAAGCCTACATTGGTGAGCATTTTGGATTTCTTCAGATAAATCTAGTCAAAATTAAGTCTGCATTAAAAATAATTTGATAATATTGAAATTTAAATTTTTGGCAGAGCTCTTAAAATTTTTATACAAATTTTGAACAATAAATAATAAAAATTAGATATATTTAAAAAATTTAAACGAAACTTACATTTTAAAATGGTGTCACATTTCCTATTGAAAGAAAAAGCCTGATCAGATCGAAGCAATAAATAAATTCAAGGTTTGATTTTCTCACACAAAATCCAATCAGTGGTGCAACAAAAAACCGCCGCACCGAGAGCACTTTTGCGACTTTCAATTAAGCTGCCAGCAACTCAATTATTCGCAATAATGGGGCACTACTATGTTGACTTGCGCCTCATCAAAGTGCACTAATGCAGGCGCAGTGTGTGTGCAAAGTTGCATAAAAGCAGCAAGCGCTTCTTCCTAGGCAAGCAAAGCGGCGTTGCTCAGGGGCCAAAGCCTAGCTACTGCAAACGCGTGCATTTAATCATCTGATGGCGGCGGTGGCAGGAGATGGATGTCGCAGAAAACGACACAAAACAGGGATGCACTCGGGAAATGGGGGCAATTACTGATAATTGAAACTCACACGCGCGTGAATCCAGGTCGCGTGGCGTGAAATTGTGACGGGCCCCGATGAAATTGCCGGAGGCTGCATCATGAATATATTTTACTTTTTAATTTTGAGTTTAAATGAGGCTTTTGTTTTAATCAAATATCGCTGTTTGTTTTTGTAGACAAGATTCCAGTGAAAAATCTCAGATTTAGAATTGATGAGAAAAGCAATTTTTTGATTTAAGTATCTTATTGGGTAATTATATTTTTTTGCCCAATCGTTCTCAATTTGCTAGATGCTTTTTGTCTATTTTAGACAAGATTCTACAGCCCAATATTAATTAAATAGCTTAATTCTAAATTTTATTTTTCAATATTTTTAAATGTTGGTTAAAAAATTTGATTCACTCAAAATTACAGAGTTTCAAAAGTTAATTCATAAAATGGAATAGCGATTGTATTTTTAATTTTAAAATTTGACTCATAATAAAGAAATTAGATAATGGTAAACATACTGAATAATTTAAATTTTGGAGGGTGTGTTAAAAATGTATGTAATTGACTTATTTTTTTTGGTCTGCAAATGACAGGTAGGGGTCACCTGGCGTGCATCACCTTCGCGGGCGGCAGACCCATCGGCAGGCGACGTCCCCTTCCTCGCTACGACGAGGACCGCAACATCAGAGACGACGTCAAGTTCCTGTCCTACTACTCGCGCGCCCGCGGCGGCGGCGCCACCGGCACCGACGCCACCATCGAGATGGCCAAAGGTGGGTCTCAGGAGCCACCCCCGTTGGAAAAAACCTCCCCCTCTGACAACCGAGCCGAGTAGGCGATGAAAGCATGCGAGGCCAAAGGAGTGCAAAGCCTCCGCCCGAGAAACAGAGATCTTGAGTTGTCCCGTCGTGCGCGTCCAACTGCATGACCCTGTTGTTTCATTTATTTTTATCGATTTTGGTGCCGTCTTTTTCTTTTTCTATTTGCACCGTCTCTTTTTTTTTATAAAACTGTGGTTTTGTTTCTTTCTTTGCAGGGCGCAAGTAAAAAGTGTTGTGGCCTCGACAAAATTATGTCAATCAAAAATAAAATATTGCTTTTTGTGACAAACATAATTACACTAAAATCCACAAATATGCAAATGTCCAAAATTAATTAAGCGAGAGACTGTTTTTAAATGGTAACTGTTCCAATCTCACAAAGCTCAGATAGTTTTCTTTTTGTTGTCTCAAAATACATATTAATGTCATATGTCTTTGCTTCGGAAATAAAAATGTAATCGCCCGGCTTTTGTTCCACAAGTCCGTCTGCAAATTATTTCCCTCCCTTTTCACACAAAACAAAAAACAGCATGGTTTTTTACCACAACACTGAAAAATATACACCTAATCTGATTTGCTTGTAATTAAATTTGCAAGTCAGAAAAAATTTAAACATTAACACAAACACATACTTGCACCGACGGATCATTCAGAACTGGCCGCGGCTGCGATCCTTTTCTCGAGAGACGTTATTTATTTTTATTTGTGTTTTGTTGGCGCTGTTCTTCACTCGCTCATACTGACTGAGAGAGATTTACTTTTTCCATTAACCGTGACAATAATAGCAGCGAATTAGAGTCGTGTAGCTGCTTCTTTCGTTTTTTATTTTTTATTTGTGTCTGCTGCATTCGTGTTTGTTGCGATATTTTAGTATGACCTAACACGCGAGGAAGAAACGCCTGCAATTTTTCCAATATAGGCAACCGGTGCGGGACACGAAACGGGCGGGTTGCGTCATCGTGCTAGGCAGGGGCTCGCTCTCCCACAGGATGAGCCTTAAAAACAAAACGGTTGCTTCACCGCGGCTAAGTTTAGAGACTAATGCGACCGAATTTGCTAAGATGATTAGACTAAATTATACTTAAACCTTCTGTAAACATATAAAGACCCCCTCACACTCTGCCAACATTTGGAAACCATGCAAATATATAATATATTTCAATTAATTAAACACATACACAACGAGTACGTAATTAATTGAGGCAAACGAATGTGTGCTGTTCGAGCCGACCAGCCAGCCGCAGACTGCGTAAAATATTACAGTGAGTATTAATCCTAAAATATGTTTCCCCAAAGTATTAAATTAACGGTGTTATTTTTCACTCCTAAATCTCATCGCCAGTAAATAAATTGTCCCGAATAATCACCCGCAAGCCTCATATAGCTCTCATTTAATAATAATAATTTTGTTCTAATTCTCGCAAGGGTCAGTTTTCAGCGTCGCACTGGTCATTTTTGTAATTAATTAATGCGCGGTTTCATCATGTTCCCATTATGATTTGCGTCATCGGAAACAATCAGGCGTGCTTCTTTTTTCCAAAGATAGAAAGTCACCGGCTTGTGTTTATTTATTTAGCGCTTTGCACGTCATTCGCGAGAGCACAGGATGTGTATATATATGTGTGAATAAGTTATGGCGGGGTAGATAAGTTGCATGCGTGGCTTTCTTAACAAACAGTGGCGAACACCGGACACAATAGAGATAAAAAGGCATGCGGTATTAGTTTAGAGGCAATCAATGATTAATAATCTCAACTATGAGAGAGGAGTGACACGAACACGACATGACACGAGCAGTTATTCTTCACGTCTTTCACGCTACCGTGACGTCTGATGGATTTCTCAAATTGCAGCACTCCTGGCCACCAGCGCGCCACGCCACCTGGCAAGCGAGTCCGATTTGGTCTCCCCGCCCGCCACCCCTAGGGCTCCGGCTTCCTGCATCACCCGAATTGAACAGGCGCAACGAGATAGGGTAATTTATTAGGATTAAATAAAATAGTTAAAAATTACTGAATAATTGCTTTTTTGAAACTTTTGGTTCTAATGAAAATAACTGAAGTTTTTTTACATGAAAAAAAATTATTTAAGTTAAAAGCGTCTGAAAACTTACAAAAAATTAAATCAAAGATAGAGAATAAAACTTTGCGATTGCGAAAGCGCTGTATGGATTTAAACTTTTTTTATTTATCTTTTTTTATATCTGCCACCAAAAAAATATTGATGTTTTTTTTTATTTTGTATTTTGTCCTACAACAATTGAATTAATATGAAAATATTTTTAACTGAATCAAATCTCAGTTGATAATTTGATTTTCTGAATTTTGATAGAAATCAATTAAGTTGTACAATCAACGATATCATTTTTCTTTGGTCTTTAATGATTATTGCAGCGCATTTAAAAAATTTACAACTCTTCGGATTATTTGTTTTAGAGTAGAAATAAATTATTTTTTATTTAAATTTTTGTGTTGTAGAAACGCGCAAGCAATGTGGATGCAACCGTGAAGAGGCAGCCCGTTCAGGTCACGCCGAGCAACACCAAGGAATTGGCGCTGGCCAGGGCCCAGTGCGAAGAAGGTCGTGAGGCAGGACGTCAAGCCATGGCTGAAGCCAAGGCTTCCGAGCATCTGACCGACGAGCAGAAGGAACGCGCAGCCCGCAGGAAGAAGCGGCAGGACGAGGTCGAGGAGGAGGCCCGTCGCGAGGTGGAGGAGCAGCGGGCCCAGCGTTTGGAGCAGAAGCGCAAGGCCGCTTCGGAAGCAAACAGGGAGCAGCAGGAGGCTGAGGACAAAAAGAGGCGGGAGGAGGAACAGCAACGCCAGGCCGAGGAGGCCGAGATCAGAAGACAACAGCAGCAGGAGGAAGCTGCTCGCAGGAAAGCCGAGAAGGAAAAGAAGGAGCAGTTGAGAAGGCAACAGGAAGAGGAGGAGCGGAAGGCCGAGGAGGCCCGTCTTGCCGAAGAGGCTAGAATTGCAGAGGAGGAAAGAATCGCCGAGGAGGAAAGGAAAGCTGAAGAAGCCAGGATTGCGGCGGAGGAAGCCCAGAAGGCCGAAGAGGCCAGAAAGGCGGAAGAAGCGCGTCTAGCTGAAGAAGCAAGACAGGCTGAGGAGGCCAAGAAAGCCGAAGAAGCACGCCTGGCTGAAGAGGCCAGGAAAGCAGAGGAGGCACGTCTCCTTGCCGAGGAGGAAGCCAAGAAGGCGGAGGAAGCCAGACTTCTTGCTGAAGAAGCTGCAGCCAAGGCAGCTGAAGAGGCCAAACTCGCGGCCGAAGCGGCTGCTGCTGAAGAAACAGTCACTCTGGTTGAAGCTCCAGTCGAAGCTGAAGCCGAGCCCGAAGTTCCTGCAGCGGAACCTGAATCTGCAGAAGAAACGCCAGCGGCTGAGGAGCCAGCAGAGCCTGTTGTTGCGTCCGAAGAATCTGCTCCTGAGCCTTCCGTTGAAGAACCCGAATCGCCAGTGGCCGCCGAGCCAGCACAGAACGGCCACTCAGAGACGACGATTGAAGAGGTAGAGATTGCCATCGCCGGCGACGACTCGGAAGAGGCTGTTGTGAAGAAGGCGCAAGAAGCGGTCTCTCAAGAAGAGGAGACCGCCTGATTTGCCCAAGCCACACAACAAGACTTTCTCCTCTGATGTAAAATTCTCTTTGTTCTGACCATATCGATTTGTACGTAAACATGTAAATATTTATCGAGGCGGCTGATGCGTTGTTTTTAACCCTTTAAACAAGAATATTATAATTAAATATTAAATGTGAATCAGGCCCTTCGTTCGAGCAGCTACACTGTAAATACTTGAGATTAACGTACGCCCTCACATATTGTTGAATTAATAATATACATTATAATATAAATATATTTGCTTGCAGGAGTATTGCCTTGTTAAAATCGTGTTTGCAATATAATTCATAAAGTGGAACATGTCGCCATGTATTCCTATTTAAAACACAGAATAAACATAAAACCGTAAAGCTGCGGGTTTTTTTCACTTTTTTCCTTGATGCGAACCTCCTTTTGTCTCTCATTGGACTTATTACAGTATTTCTATTTAAATAATTCCCAAAAGCAATTAAGATTGAAACTTTTTAACCGTCCTAGAAGTTGATAAATTTTTTCAAAAACTGCATCCAATATATTTTTATGCATAAAAATGCGTTTTATGGTGATATTCTGCAAAAAAATTTAGAACAAAAATTTTTGTTGGATAATTATAATTAATGAATTATATAAAAATGACTAAAAAAAATTGATATTTTGTAGTAGAATTTCACGATCGAGGGTTGATTCACGGTGATTTGAATTTAAAATCGGCTTTTCCTCGATGGGTTTTTGTGAGTTTTTTTATTGTTTCAGACGGTTTCAGAAAAACAATATATCCTGCTCAACATGTTTCAGCTGCGGGCTGCAAATCACCATTTCAGTTTCTTCGAAGCGAAGCTACGTAAAAAAAAGTATTCGGACCGAAGCGATGATAATCCTGTGCGCAAGATTCTGCACTGAATTACATGGTGTTTTGCTGATTCTCGACAAGTCCTGAGTATTCTTAAAAATCTCAACTCAAGTTTTGCTTTTCAGAAACGATTCCAAGGCTTGCCTTATTTGAAGCGCGGAGTATGTAGGATAAAATTATTTTATACTCTGAATTAGAACCTTTAAAAAGAAAATTTATTTCCATGAATGAACTCAGGGCGACACTGTTTTGATTATCTTGTTTGCGATAAGTGGAACATTTCACTGTGTTTGAATTAAAAAAAAAAAATACAGAGAATAAACAGGAAACCGAAGGCGGCTGAAATATCCTTTGATATATTCACTTTCCCCTCGATATGAACCTGCTGCCGCCTCTTATCAGACCAAGAAGTTATTCCGTTCTAATAATTCTCAAGTGAACCTGTTGACCTGATTATGCAGATCGTGGCAATTATTCGCCAGTAGTGCGCTCTGCGAACAATATAAAATCAACCCAAGGTCGGTTTCACCCTCAAGCGACGCAACTTTTGTTCCAGAATCGATGCAGATGGGAAAGAGGGAAAGAAAGAAATGCACTCGCTCGGGGAGGAAAAAATTTCCAGTACAAAACGATTGATCAGGAAAAGCTAGAAGCGAGGCGATAAAATTCTTCGGACGTAATGGGCAAGGCGTAGCGCCGGATCTGATTACCGCAGAAAAGGTCGATGACTCGGGGCCATCGCTGCTTTTTATGTCACGTGTGCGCGTCATTTTTTCTCTTTCGCCGCCAAGAGATGATCATCTCGTCGCTTTTCTAACTGTCGCGTGAAAGAGAGGGCCGAGAATAGCTAGCTGATGTTTAAACTGAAATATATTCGTGCGCGTCCCTAAGAAGGAGATTCCCCGAGTCTTTTTCTTTTTATTAAGCCCGGCTCAACACACAAAGGCGGAGGGCTTCCCAACGCGCGGCTGAATGACGTCAAAGCTAATCGATGCTCTGTGGGCCAAGTACTCGGCAAATATATTATTTTCAGCGGCATCAATCAATCACGCCGGCAAAGACGACGACGCACAGCCATTGTTTTCGCCAACGGGATTTGAGCCGTCAAGGACGCGCGCCCCCCAAATCACTTCTTCCAAAGGGGCTTGAATTAATATTTCCACCCGCAGAAGATGTGTGTGTTTAAAACCCACGGCTGACAGCGGCGCTTAACTCGGAAAATTGAGCACGCTAATTAACGCGCCCATTTTCCGGCGCAGCTTTCTGGCAACCGTCGGGAATAATAATTTCGCAAGAAGTGCGCTTAGAAAGAGTGAGACAGGACAGAATTTTCCAGATTTAATCACGAGGGAAAAATTTTTCTGTTGTGTGGGTTGCCTTATCTCTATTGAGCAAAAGCAAACATCAAAATAAATGTTTCCCTTTGTCGTCATTCAAGGAAAATCGTTAATTGCAATACAAAAAGAAAAATATCTACGGACACTACTAATTTTTAAATTCATAGAAATTAAATTTGAAATTTTGTTTGCTAAATTATTCAATATGGATTTCAAAATTTGCTTCACAATTAAATTTTTTATTATGATTTATTGAATTTTAACAAATAATTCTAATATGCTTAGAAAATTTGTTTCAATTTTGATCTTGTATGGCCTAAAATGAAAATGAAACTTAACACAAAATTTGCTGTGTTAATTAAATATTTTTCCAGCATTTCATATTCATAACACTCAATTTATCCATTCAATTGTTAAAGTAGTGATTGCACATCAGCATAATAAGCAATTCATTGGTATTAAAAATAGACTCAAATTGTAAAGGACCTGTGGAGACAAAGTAAAAATATGTTTGGTTCATTTGTTTGCATTGGCTGTGGTGTAAGCTGTACTTGAAAGGCTACTGCGATAATTTCGCCCAAAAGCCGTGGTCGTCAATGTCATTATCATGTCCGAGCTGCAAATAGCCCAAAACCGATGGAAGCCGCCAAAGTGATCGAGCTTTGGATCGAATCATTCTTTCCACGCCAAATCGTCCTTCTTTCTGCAACGGGCCAATTTTTGCGCGGCGCGCTGCTCTCGTAATCTTTTTCTTGCGGTGGTGTGACACCCTTTGTGTGGCTTCGATGATGCGTGAACACCAGCAGAGCACACCGGCTGTTGTCCCGTGCACCGATTTTGCCAACCCGCTGAACCACACACCACAGCACGCTCGCAAAAGCGTGATCGAAATTCTCGTCACCTGCTTTTTGTCTGCGAGAGTGAGAAGCAAAGGTTTTTATTCGACGCTTTAATCAACACCTCCATTTGAATAAAGGCAAACTTTTTTTATCAACAATTTAATGATTAAAAACAATTAAATCGAAACTCTGGATTTAAAAAAATTTTGAATAAATAATTAATAATTTTCTACCCAAAATGTTAATTATGATTTTTTATATTAAACTCCATTTTAAGAAGTCTTTGATGGATAATCTATTTGCATTTGCAGAAGAATAATGAAAAGAAAATAATTTATTTTAAATTTTGAAATTATTAATTCAAAATTTACACACGACGGTTAAAAAAAATATAACCAGGACTTATTATTTTTTTTTTAAATTACGTAAGTGGAAATTCGGAACGCATAATAAGTGCGAATCCTTACGGTTGACATGGGTTGACAGACGAAAATAGACTTAATTTGCGCTTGTCCCAATTCGCGTCGAGGAAAACACACCCTATATAGCTGTTTGCGAATTACAAAGGAAAATTCCGACGGCTCTATTTTTAAAGATCTAATTACAGCAAGCTGTGTCACACTGTTATGTGCTCGTTGAATCAAACAGACCTGCTGATCCGACACAAAAGCATCCACAACCCTCGGCGGAGACATTGACCCCGTTGCGAGTCTTGTGAGAAAAAATGTAATTCTCTTCAGCCAGCATTTCGGCGGCTTATGCAACCCGCGCGACGCACGCGAAACGCACCTGGGCCGCTTCGGTGTGTCATTTGGAAAATTGCCACTCGACCTTGGACACGCACGAAACCGTTTGAGACCGCCGCGGTCGGTGTGGTAGTGCGTTTCGGAAATTGACCTCACTCAATTATTTGTTTCTTCATTTGACCATTCGAGTTTCTGATGCGTTTCGGATTCGTATATCTGGGGCAAGGATCGCTCAACCCATTACTTAACAGACCCTTTACTATTATTCAAAATGATTTCTTTTCATGTTATTCCTAAACTTCTTTCTCGTTCCACACAAAAATAAACCAAATAAATTTTGATTATTGGTGAATTTTATTAAAGCAAATTGGATAAATGTTTAAAATTTTTGAATTGTTAACTATTTAGAAGTTCTTTTAAATTGTTTAATAGTTTATTCTGATTACAAGGAATAAATACAGAATAAACTGATTTGTTGTTCCTGAATGTTTGAAACTCTGGAATGAAATGAACTAAAGAAAAAGAAATTCTGAACTTTTTGGTTAAAAATTACATAATATATTATTTTCAATTTCATTAAAATTTAAAATCATGATTTAAACTATATGAATATTGAACTTTTAACTCGTTTTTGAATAAATTGTAAGCTCTTGAATTGGGTTTATACTTTTTAAGAAAACAATATCTCGAATGAATTAATTTTTCTATCAGTTGCGCTTAAAATAAGAATATTTGTAATTTTGCTGTTCTTTGTTACGTAACTTTTCCCATTCGCCCCTTTTGCAGTCTCAAATTAATGAACACCTGGCTGATCAAGACAATGAATAATGAAAAAGAGCTGCGAAAACGAACGGCACACATACAAATTATTGGCCCCGGCTTTTTTACTTATTCATCAGAGGAACACACTAGTCGATTGTTGTATTGTTTATCACGAACGAATATCGGACTGTGCGTTTCAGAAACCGCACCGACCTTTTCTCTGTTTTGGCATTTTTACCTGCATTTCCTTAGCACTTGTTTATTCTCTAACCCAATTTAAAAACCGTCAACAAATAACCCTTCAGACTTTTGACGTCATAATTCGGACGTTTTGCTCGCTCGCTTCAACATTCACATGAGGAAACAAACACAGCGAAACATTATTTCGTGATGTTGTATGCATTTGACGTCAAAGTTGCGAAAACAAACTTTAGAGTTCGGTGGGCATGTAAATTAATTAAATGAAATTCACACACTTGCAAACATTTTAGCCTAAAATTAGCACATCAAAGGGGACAAAATTTTCCTCCTTATCAAACTGCCTTGTGTGGATTGTTTGACGAAGAAAATTTTCTCAAAACTTTATGCCGTTCCAATTAGGTTAGTAAAGTAAAATCAAGGGCTTGAACTAAAAATTTACACTGAATTTGGCTTAAGTTTTGTCAATTTAGAAAATCTATATTAATAATAGAAAATTTTTTGAGGAATTTAATTATTCTTTTTTAATCTGTAAGAGTTAAAAGGATTACATTATTTTTGTTCTGACTGAGAACAATAATTATAATAAAAATTGATTTTAATGGAGAATAAATAATAAAATGAATAAAAAAAATTAGTAATAAATAAAAAGATTAATTATTAAATAAAATTATTGTACTTGAATCATCACATGTATTAATTTAGCAATCTTGGAAAAGATTGGTTTGTATTGTTTTCTAAATCTTATAATCAATTTAATTTCCACTCGCGTTTCCTTGATCAAAAAAGATTCTCAGAAATTCTTTAAAGACTTCAAACTTCCTCCTTTTCGTATCAGGAAATCTATTTCCATGGGGGAAATCTGCTGATTGCAGAGCAGATTCGGCGAAAAGCCATAACTTCTCCACCCCGCGTGCATAAGTTTCGCTCGGAGTAAAAGATGCGAAAAAGGCGCAACCAAAGAGAGTGGAAGAGACGATATCAATAAGTGGACCCTGCATGATATCGGCCCATAAAAACAAGGTTTGCCGAGAGGGAGACTCGCAATGACGTCATTGGTGACGCGCACCCTCTCCGTGCCACCCCCGAGCGCCGGCGGCGGCACAGGTTGGACTGCGCCGGCAGTGACAGCAGCTGGCGGCGCGGCCACCCCGCCGCGCGAGCCCCATTCAATTTGCTGCCTGCGAATTTTCCTCTGCTACGGCTCTGTTTGAAAAGCGATAAAAAGTATAACGCTCGCACGCGAAAGGGAAAAACGCCGCCCCGTGCATTATTATTTTTGTTTTTATCCTCCAAGACGTCTCGAAAGCAGATGCTCAATTTTCATTTTACGACGCCAGCGGTGATGTGTCGCAGTTTGCCCTTTTCTTGCTCAGCGAATTTATTGACAGATTGCTCCAAATTTATGTTCTCGCTCTATAAATAGCAGCGGTGATATTTCTATCGGAGATTTGATACAAATATACAGATATGAGAGATTTTTTAAACAAAACGCTTGTAAAATCGGTTAATTTTTTTATGACAATGCGCTAAATTAAATTAAATTTCAAAATATAACTGTTGAAATTTTTAAAGAAATAGTAAATTTATTTCTGATCAAAGTGAAAAAAAAACTTTGCACCTTGTCCCAGCAAAAAGTATAAAAAACAAGAAATAAAAATGCGCTGCTAACTTTTGAATTAATTAAATATTTATTTATTTATTGCCTCTTTTAGTTAATATTTAGGTGCCAGTTTTGCATGAAAATGTTCATAATAAACAGATTACATCAACCTTCGATGTAAAATTTGTTATAATTTTTTTGTCTAAAAATAATGGAAAGGTTCATTGACGTCTTTTTGCAACCTTTTTTATTTGTACAATTTAGTTTTATTTTCCACGATTTGTTTTGCACTTTGAGGAGCAAAATTAAATATTTCAGTTGCGAATCGACGTGGGTGAGGAGTATTTTCACATGCGAGGCCTTATCGACTTGATGGACTTTTAAATCATAAATGAGCACTTCGGGCGCAATCCGATTTCGGAGAACGCAAATGGAAATAAAGTATATTTCGGGGCGGCGAAATCGAGTGGCGCCTCGTGGGGTTGGAGTGGTTCAAGTCGCAGAGAGCGCGCAGGAGAGTGGAGTGGAATTTAGCGGCGGCGGCGCTGCGCGTGGCGTGCAGGCAGGGGCTACCCCAACTTGTGGCGAGGAGAGGCGCAGCGGACTATCGCGCTTATCGCGAGGCACCGCCGCCTCCAGTCGTGGAGAACGCGAGGCATGGACTACAGCAGCACTCCGGCTCGAAACCCAACATCAGGTGAGTTATATGCACTTGCACGCTCCACTGCCTTCCCACAGCCCAATCATTTTCTCACGCAGCTTCCGCGATTATCCTCGGTCCACCTGCAAAAGTATAAGTGAAGCCGGACGTGCATGACTGCTCGCGAAAAGATTTATGTTGGCAACATGCTGCGCTCCGACGGTCCGATCGTGCAGACCAAACTTATTCCTTTCTTTATAATGTTAAAAGGTGAAAAAGTCTGGATAGAAAAAAATGGTTTATTCTGAAACCTGCTGCATTTATTTTTTTATTTTTAAATCAACGGTCTCGCATTATGTTATTTTTTAACAACATTTTTCCTTATAAGCTCAAAGTTTAATTTCAGGTCCGTCTTCATCAACATCTATTTTTGCTACTCAATCAGGAGGAATTAAAGGATATTTTGAGAAATTTTCACTATTTTCACAGAGCATATTTTAGGGAAAATTCACTTGCTTAATGACGAGGCTCCCTGCGAGGTATCTCTTTTCCTGAAATTTGATACGAATTTTCCGAATTGACTGGATTCTTATGAAAAAACGTTTAACCAGAAAAAGTGTTGATTTGGAATTTAACTTCAATACTTTTTTCCTACAATTCATTTGCTTATCTCAATATCTCCTCTTTGTTAATTTCTTTTTAATGATATTTTTTTTATCAGATATAATTGTGGGCCCAATTTAATTAGAGACATAGTTGGTGGGAGGTATTGGGAGAAATCAATTTTTAATATTTAATCGATTTAATCAATAATTTCTCTAGAAATGCATGGTTTCAGTTAATAAAAAATTGTCTTCAGCTATAACCATTTTTCAATAACGATTGGTAGGAATTTCCTCATTTTCAAATCTACGTACGTCTATAAAATAATTTCAAATTCCACTGAAACAAAAAAGAGGAAAAATTCCAAAAGTAAATATTTACCTGTGTTCATTTAAAATTAACAATGAGCTGATGGGAATGATAATATAAAGGATTTTCGGCATGAGTAGGATTTTCACCAATCCTTTCATTTTGTTATTTTTAGTCCGATTATAACCGGATTTGATCCGAGGTTACCACAACAAAGTCTAATTTTGGAACGTACCATGATATTTTTATCAGATTGAGGAAAACTGCGTCAACTGCCGATCGCGGAAATTAAAAAATTGCACCACCGGACAATCTAACTCTCTATTATTCTAATAAAAAGATTCACGTCAAACCCTCGCGTGTGAAAACTAGCTACCCCATTATCGAGACATTGCCGGTCACGTGCGCGGAACAAAACAACCCGTACTTTGGAAACGCAGTGACGTAAACTTACGAAGCACAGGGTGATTATATTTCCAGTCAAAATAAAAACTGTGCATCGATTGCTCGCGGGGACGAAAAAAGAATCGGCTCTCTCGAGTTCTAGGCCGCGCCACTTTCAATTGCAAATCTGGCCGCGCCGACGATGGAACTACTTTTCCCGGATAAATATTTATGAACGCCAAGATATAAATAATGCGATTTGGAATCGAGATGCGAGGGTGAATTCGCGTTATTGCACTCGACTTGGTCCTGCTTACATCACAGATCTATCAGATTTGCGCTCTCTCTCTCGCGCCGCAGCCGGAATCACTCTCCGCCAGAGAGCGAGAGAGAAATCCAATTACCGTCGGTCGGAAACGGCATTACGAGACTTGATTCCACCGCACACACGTGCGCCTCGCCGCGACGTGTTCGCCGTGTAAAAATGGATCTCACGCATCGCCACGCGCTCGCGGTTTCCCTTCGACGGAGGAAAAGGGTTGCTTGTTACCCAAATGCGAAAACGCCAAATCGGGCGTGCGTTATTAGCGCTTTGTACTTCAAGTTACTTTAAATATAGAGTTTTTGCTTACACCTTTTATTTATAATTTTTTCATCATAGAAGTTTCCACTAGATTTCCCATAAACAATGACACACACAGTATCAAAATACTAATCTCATCCGAAATATTTCTGTAATTCTTGAATATTAATAATATTAAAAATTACCTTATTAATGATAGTTTATAGATTTCCTTTAGTTTTATTTTTTATTCTTGATTGAGCCTAAATTTGAACCAATTGTAATTTTTTGTATTTTTAGAACAATTTTTTAGATTGAAAATTTTATTATTAATCAAAATCCTCAAAATGAGATGCAGCAATAATTAATAATTTGAAATAAGTTTGTTTCTAAATTATTGTACAATAAAACGTTTTTATTATAGTTGATCAAAAAATCCTACTTAATTTTCACATTTTTACAAAGCTGTTGTTTTCCCTAAAAATAAAAAAAAATAAAAATGAGCATTTAATTTTACATAATTTTTAGCTGACTAAGCCGTTAATTTCCTAATTCTTGTAGGTTGAAATTATTTAAGCTTATTTTTCTTTGCTTTACTGTTTTAATCTCATTTCTATTTTTTAAAATTTTAATCTGTTTTTAATATCAATTCAATACCTTTGCTCAAACTGGACCGCAACCTTCAAGTGATTCCTTTGATTGAAACTTGTTGAAACCTTAAAGCTTCCCTCGTTGTCGTTCCACTTTCATTGTTCTCTGAATCGCATTCAAAGACCGAAAAATTGCTGTCCGCGAGTGGCAAAAAACTTTTGCTAGTTCGCACTCTGGTGCGAATCGATTTCGTGCAAAATTAATTACTCGGCAGATTCGCCGGCGCTGTCAGATAGGCTTTGTGTGCACGTTTCGTCTCCTCGCTCGCTCACACCGGGCTAAATATAAAACATATCGGAGCGCCTACTCGGCATCGATTTTCGATATGCTCGTTGCTGGTCGCAAGAATGAATCTTGAAGGGAGGCTTCATTGTTTCAGTCACACCAGACTTGATAATGCAGCCGTTCGTCAGAGACCCTCCTCAGCCAGAGGCGGCCAACGCTCCCAACACTCCTTCTGGCAACAACACTCTCGGACTCATGCGACTCCATTCCAGCCTCAGGTAAATAATAATAATTTCCATTTATTTCCTGTTATATTCAATGAATTATTTTTTAAATGTAAATTATAATTTACATTTTGAATTTACTTTATATTTGAAATTTAGCTTAAAATAATTCAAAAAAACTTGTTTGAACTAAATTATCTTCAGAAATTTTGAAACAGCCAAATTAAAAAATATTTATGAAAAATTTAATAAACATCAGCTTTTTTAATGAAATTTGTTGTCATATTTTCTTGCCTAATTCGAAGAATGTTTTATTTATTTTTTAATTCCAAAAATGTATTTTGTTTTTTGATTTTTATTATATACTTTTGTTTGATTGCATATTTAAAATTTAAATTCTGGATATATGACTTATTTTTTATTTAGTTCCAAAAGAAATTTTACTAGTTTGAAACACGGAAAAATTAAATATACATAATTATTCATTCTGAGCTACAAATTAACAGAAGAGTTTTAATTAAAAATTATAAACATAAAAATAAAAACTTTTATTATTATTTACTTGTAAATGTGAGATAAATTTACAATTTTTAAAAGTTATTAAAAAAGTGTAAAAATAACCAAGGCTCTATACGCTCTATATAATTTTTGTATATTGATTGCAATAATTTTAATTCATTCTTTAGTTGTTCAAAGTTCTATGACTTATTCTAATCTTTCCTCTTTGTTTATAAATAATAACTATAAATGAATTTTTATGTAAAATAATATATTTTTTGCTTCATTGTTGTCGCTCTCTTTGCTTACATTGTTCGCGATTTTCCCTCGTGAGATTATGAAAACAACTTTCATTAAAAGGAAAAGGAAGTCGGAAATAAGCTGCTCTGTGTATTAAAAGCGGCGTGCAATGAGTTTTCTTTCTCTCCTAATCCCGTCTGATCCTGAAGGGAAATCTAATAAAGGAATTCTTTGCTTGCGGACTCTCAACGGAAGTAATAATTGAAAAAAAAACCTCATCCAGTTTATCCTTGCACATTTTCCTCTGCTCCACCACCAAGGAAAGAAAATACCTAACCTCATTATTTGTTTGTTTATTTATTCATACTCAGCTGCACGGTCTGATTGCTCTTTGTTTCCGATAAAATTATCGCCATCAGATGCATATTTCCCAGGTGTGTTGTATAAATATCGCGACCGCGCGAGCTGCACATAAATATAATCGCCAGTTGTCCGCTTTTTATGCAAACAAATGCGCGAGTCGCAAAGGTTTCTCCGCGCTCTTGGGCTCGAAAGCCAAATCAAATTTGCACCTTTGCATGGAAGGGCTCGACGTCATTGAGTTGGTAGAAAATCGAGAGCCCGCGTGCAAGGAAATGGCAAACACGTAATACATTATTCATGCGGCACAAGTGAATTTTATTGTGCGAAGAATAGCAGTTTGTGAGTGACTTTTTAAATCAGAGTGCCTATTGTGGCGATTTCGTTCAATTTGCAACTGACGAGAGAAGGAAACCAAACTGGCTAAAGAAAAGAAACGCTGGAATGAGAAAAACCTTTGGAACTTGGAATTGCGAGAGCCAAAGTATGAAAAAAATAACCAGATTCCCATGAATTATAGGCGGATTATAATTACGGATGGGCAAAAAAGTCGGTTTGGAACCTTAGATAGTCGACTATTTTAGTTGATTTATTATTTGAAAAAGTCGGCTTATAGTCGACTTTCCAACCAAATCGTTGATTAATAGCCGCTTTCAATTTTTTTGTCCTTTTGGGGGAAGGCGTGAAAATCACTGTTCGCCAAAAGTAGCTAGAAATGATCAGAATGACCTGTCCGAGATTTTTAGATGGTCGCCAGAAACCGTGAAATTTTTTTCAAGTCCCGGTGGTGGATCTAGGGTGAGGCCGGTGAGGGGTTAAAAATCACTGCCTGGGCAGTGCCACGGCAGTGCCACGGCATGCATGGGTCAAGGGGTGAGGGGGTAAGCTACCTGGCTAATAATGTCAGTTATTTTTGTTAAATTATTGCTATAGTTGAAATTATTTCAGTTATTTCGGCCAAATTATTGCTATATTTGACAATTTTGGTTATTTCCCATCTCTAAATATAATACACAAGCGCTATCAAAAATGTATAAATATAAAATGTGATCCAAGATATAGGTGAGAGGCGAGAGCCAGAAGGAGTGAACATTAATATATTTATTTGTATAGACCGATTGAATTTCCAAAATTTCTCAATCACATTTTCTACAGGAAAATGTTGACCTTCTTCAAAATTACTGATCATATTCGACTTTAAATTTTTGATGATATTCTAGTGACAGAATATATTTTTAATTTAATCTTTTTTGCTCATATTTTTTTAGAAAATTTCATCGCCAATTAGATATTAATTGTTCGTTGCTTTCTTTGGAAAAATAGTAGATCCGACACAACTTTAAAGCTTACAATTGGTATCATATTATTGAATATCACGATAGAACTTCCAACATTTCTTGGAAAATTATCTTTTGATAAAGTTTTAATTTTATTAACTTCAAAGTTTGCTGAGCGGAAGTTATTTGTATACTGTTCTGGCATTAGCAATGCCATTTTTTATATTATTTTTACCTCTGATAAAACCCATTATTTGCCCTTTTCAGTGCAAACTTTTCTTTAAACCCCCAATGTTTAGCAATTGTTTTGCTAGAGGTTTTTCCGTTTCTTAACACGCAATGTTAATTTGTGAAGAATACAAAATATTTTATTTTTATTTATTTTATTTATTCTCCATCAATTACAAAACATACAATCAAAAAAATTTACAAAAAAAAGATTGTCAATCATTTATTTAGCATTATTGCATTATTCTTATTAGCTGCCGATCAGGGAAGTTTGAAAGCTACCATGAAAAAAATAAGTACCGCTAATTCAGCGAATATCTTAGAATGTTTCCGAATCTCCCAACTTCGAGTTGTCACATTATTAAAAAAAATTGCATCATTATCCTACCTTATTTTTGTTAAATTATTCTCTCCCCAGTAGATTTTCAATAAATCAATGATCCGTGATGGTTTTGTTTCATATTATATTATATACAGACTATGATAAAAGTTCCATAAAGGTTGTGACAAAGAAAACACATCACAGGGCACAAACTCCCTCAAGCAAAAAACCCACCGTCGACCAAACAAGTCGAGATAAAAAGCAAATACAAAGATCACCACCCATATTATAATATGTATATCGGATATTATACATATTTTTCTTATGTACACACAGTGGCTCCTTGTGCTCGTTTATTGTCACTGGCGATGCGGTGCTTATTTTGAGGAAGATGGCAAAGGTCAAGGTCTTGGCGGCGAAATAATGGACGGGACGAAGCTCACACGAATCTGCCTACTTGCTTCACACACGAACGAAATAAGAAGAAGTGATTCGAGATGGGAATTTTCCATATAACGTCAGCGGCCGCGGCTTCTGACCGCCCGCGATCAAGTAGTGCCGAGTGTGCGGAGAATTTCTCACGTGACAACCGGATGATTCAAACAATGAGCCGTCTCGTGGGTACTTATTTTTTTATATGAGGAAAAAGTGTCATTTTGACTTATGATGAAGTGCTGGGTACGAGCTCCGAGGTCATCTAAATTCTGGCAGAGGTCAATGCGAATTGTGGATTTTATTTCCTCCCATCAGAAATCATCAGAGTATTTTATTTCCACATTTTAATTTTAATTTATCATCATTGGAGATAAATTATTTTAAGACGTAATATTAAAATTTGATTGAATTTTTAATCTCTCTTTTCTCTTGTTGAGGCAGAGGCTTGAATAACGCCCCAACAAGTAAAATAGATCTAAACGAAATGCATTAAATTTTACAAGCTCAGTATAATCTTTGTACTCATTATTAATTTTTGTGAAAATTGCTTATATTTTTAATCTTAACAATGAAGCAAAATACTGCTTTTCTGATTTAGTTAATTTGTTTTTCCCTTTGTTAATCAATTGAGCACAATTTAGTAATTCCAGAATTTTTAAGAATTTCTGCAACTTAAACACATATTTTTATACCAATAAATTTAAACAAAATAAAAATAAACGCTAAAGCTTAAAATTTTATTATAGTTAGATTCTTTTTCTCGTGATCTTCGTTAATAATTCCAAGTTAGACAAATTTTAAATACCCGAAAATTCACCGTTTTTCTTTTCACTACAGCGATTTTCCACATGTAACGGAACGGACGTTAATTAATCAGGCAGGAAAGCACTTTCAATTAGTGCTAATGAGATTCGCGTCCTGACAGCTTCGTAATTAGCAATTGCATCAGACACCTGACAAACAAAATGCATCTGTCTGAAGTAGAGAAAAGCGGAGCATTGATTGTTCAAATAAATTCACTACATTTTGTCGTGAATATTTCGGACGCGTTTCAATTTCTCTAGACATCGTGGAACTTTCTATGTAATCCGGTGGGTCGGCCGGGTTAGCAGCTTTTCGCTTACATTGTTAAAAGTTAACAAAGAGTTTGCGGCTTTGTTGGAGTTACTTTTTATCTCATGAGATCCTCTTGTGCCGACTAAAAATTAATAGAGGGATCAATCGTTTCGCAAGAAAAAGATTTAATTATTTTTGATAAAATTTTCATAATCCGATTTGTGCTTTATTGCCGGAAAGAGCGCACAAGGGGATTTTGATTTTTGATTGAAAAGATAAATATAAACATATTTGTATGTTTTAACCAGCTAGATCAAAGAACTGTGTTGCAGCCCCTGTAATCATATTATTTTTTTCTAACTTGCTACTTCAATTATAATGGTTTGTGCAGTGAGAAAATAAATAAATAAAATATTCAAAAAATTCCGCAAATCTTAATTACTATTGTTTCTTTAAAGGAAAATTTAAAAATGCTAAATTGATACTTTTCAGGTTCCAGATTATAAGGCATTATACAAGTTTATATGAAGAAGTTATGGCCAATTGCCCTGCAATTGTCTATTTATTTCTGCTATAATAATGCTTTTGAGATAATATGACGCTAAAATAAAACCAATAAATATTGAAATCTTGAAAACGCCTTGAACACTTCTTCAAAGGAAATGTCTGTTAAAATTAAAAAGTTTAAAAAGCGTCCACACATGCAAATTTGTAAGAACAAGAAGGCTTCATGCTTGCGAGCATATGAAAATAGCCTTAAAGCGGCCGGATGCTGGTGCGGAATGAAAACATTTTAGGTTGCACTAGGCGCACGTGCCCCAGCAGTGTGCAAATGAGGAGGCCCTTTTTCGCATCGAGTGCATTATTAATAGCTGAAGAGAGCGGCAGATGAAGATCAGAGCCAGACGGCGCGGATCGAGTCGTTGGCGTCAGAAATAAAAATATGGCAAAATATATCTCGAGTGTCCGGTCGGTCGACAGCTGCAGAAAGTATACACAAAGAGGAAGGCAAACTTGACGTTGATGAGCTTTTCTGGCGCTGTGAGAAAAAGCAGAATAAATCTCTCTCGAGCGAGCTTTCGGTTTTTTGTTTGTGTTATCAGGCCGCTTCTTATTTTCGGCTCTTTTTGCGACGACGGAGAATCATAAACTTGCGGGCGAATCTCTGCAGAAATCGCCGCGTTTTGTGCGAGGGGTGCTGACTGAAAATAGTACTTTTTTGCGCTCGCTTGATTAAATTATTCGCAACAAAATTTGGTTGTAATGAATTTCCTAAATAAAACCTGCATTTCATGATAACTGCGCTAATCTTCATAATTTTTTAGTGCAAAACGTAATTATAAATTAAATTTATATATTTTTTTAATGATTTACAAGGCTATGCAATTTCAATTAATTTCCAGTGTTCATTTTGATACAAAATAGGGATTTTCCGTGATATTTTTCTTTCTTACTGTAAAATTTTTTATAACGTGAATTTTAGAATGAAATTTTGATTACAAAAAGAAGCATTTAGGGGCTCTCCTTATTCATATTTGTCAATTGTATAATTTCTTCCCTGTTGCTCTTAGAACCATCTTCAGATAATCATTCAAATCTTCGCCACGTGGTGAGCAAACTTGATGGCAAAAGAGCTAACTGAATAGAATATTCAACAGGGCCGCCTTTTTATGCAAAGTCGGTGGAACTCATAGGACTACTTTTTATAAGAGCTCGTTTCACGAGGGTATGACTTTGAAACATCCAATTACTTCCATACTAACTTCCATACTAATATAATATATCTGTCTCTTTGGTTTGCAAATATTGAACTTTGCAAGCGAATCCTCAAAACTCGCCCCGAGTGCGCCACTCGAGAGAGTCTCTTGCTTTTTCGCGTAATTGGATAAGCGGCCTTTTTGTTGCTGGCACATCAAGTATACGAACACGTGCGCCCGCCGTTTGCACTTTCGGATTTTATAATTTGTAAATAAATCGAGCCTTGAATACGGATTCGGAGGTCAACGCAAAAAGTGACCCGATCGCCAAATGGCACCAGCAGGCGCGGAATTATAATTATTCCCGCTGGTGCCAAGGCTGTCCTGGAATAAATAGTGAAAAGTGTGTGCAAATGGACGTGGAGAACAGCAACAATAAACAGACTATTGTGTGGCGAAGCTGGCACGCGGTCTGCTTTCCGACCTTGCACATCCGCGCGCCAATTGTCACTCGTGGGGGCCAACAATGAAATCTAATGCATGCACGTTTCCTTCGCTCATGCGGCTACGTGATTTTCACTTCAAAGGAAACGATCAATACGCGTTTGTCTGTTGTGTAAATTTGTGGAAATTGAAAGTTGTTTGATAATTTATCTTGGCATTTGAATACTTTCAATTTAATAAAATTTGTCTGTTTTTTTATGGCAGAGGCAATTATTATAATTTCCCCAGTTGTAATTAAAAAATTTCAAATATTGTAGGATATTTTATAACCAATTCAATCAATTATTTTAGGCTTATCTGTCTGGATATTTAAAGATTTTTTTTTTCATTTTCCTGCCATAAAAAAATTTTAGACTAACTTTCGCCTTTTTCCAAGTTTTGATCTCTCCTAAAATTGGACAAAATGTACTTAAAGCATGATTTATAAAATTTAAAGAGAAGTTAAAGCAAAATGTTTATCAGCCTTTTAAATTTAACTCTGTTTTCATATCTTTTCCAGGCATAGATTTTTAAAAGTTTTTTGTTTTGTGCAACTTTGTAAAAAAAATCTTTTATTTTTTGTCTTTACACAATCATGTGTTCTGATAAAAGGTATCAATTTTCTTTATTTTATTAAATATTTTTCTTTTTCTGCTCCTAGTAAATGCTACTCAACCATCAACAGTTATCAAAAAATTTTCAACTCCTTATAACATAATATAAATGTTATGTTTTAAGAGTCATTAAAAATAATGAAAAGATGAAACTTGGCTTGCTTGGTTTGGCTTGGTTAAGCTCAGTTTGAATTTTTTATGAAATCCACCTAAAAGTGTTAATTTCAAATAAAAATTGATTTTGATTTTTTGTTGCGTTCATATATATTTAATATGGTCAACTTTTCTAAATGAATTTTTCCAAATCGTAAGCCGAATTTTTGAGGGAAAAAAGCGACGTTTCCCCCAGCCCTATTCATAGTATAGTTGTTTTTATAGATTCTGTACTTCTGTGTTTCTGGAAAAAGAAGTGCAAGAAAGTAATAATCTCGCATAATTAGGCTGCATTTAATTAATGAAACATAAACAAACATTGCTTTAAATAAAAAAAAAAATAAATAAATAAAACACTGTCGTAGTTTGATGTGAAACCTCAGATTTTATGAATTTGGTAAATATTTTTAAACCTATCTAGTAAAATATATTTTTTTAAATGTTCCACTTTGAAATAAATCACAGTTTACATGAAGGCACTTGGCCTGAACGTCCTTGTTACCCCTAAACATAACATAAATCCAGAGGGGTGCGACGCAGCCAGCGTGTAAAGCGGGCATGCAAAGCAAACACAAGTTTGCCGAATCATTAAAATTCGCGTTTCAGCGCTTGCCTGTCGCGCGCGCGAGTGCGAGTATTTTGGTGCGTGTATGTCTTTTGGAGAGCGCGACGAGTGATTCGCTTTGGCGTCACAACGGCCGGGCTGATTGACACCCGCGGATGACGCAAGTGGAGCAATAATTTACTTACACATGCTGCAGCAAACAAATCTAGAGAGAAAGAACATAGGAAACGTCGACACGTACGACGCTCGGCGCTCTTCGAATGAGCCAAAGGGTTAAACTGCACGCATTTTATCGAGGAGCTTTGCTGGGCCATATATAATGAGATCGATTTGCGCGTGGGTGGTCGTTTGCTCGGTGCCACGGGAACCCATCACTTGTCCGAAATTCACTCATTCGAAAAATACCTTTGGAGAAAATTGTAGTTTAATTTAAAAAAAAAGTCCAAAAAATGTTAGTTTAATGAGAAGTTTTCGGCTTTTTTGAGCTTTGTAAAACAAAAATTTAAACTGAAAAGATTTGTTTATAAAAAAATTAGGCAGTTTTTTGAGATTTTTAACTGAAATGAATAACTTGGTTGAAGAAAATGGAAAATGAAACCGGAAGATTTCCTAGCATTTTTATCAGCCCTTCTTTCAATAAGAGTTTTAAGTTATTTAATTAATACTAAAGAACCAACAACCATTTTTGGGGAAAATAAATTTGGTCAAATGAATTTCGGACAAGCGTTAAACGTGATCTCAGATGAAAATTTTCGGACAAGTGTCGGCGAGCAGGTACGACTAGCAAGAGCAATTTATTGCCCGACGTTCTCCGCTTGTAATCCCGGCAGCAACTTTTACGGTCACCCTCCGGCTCGCGACAAAAGGCAGGATTAAATCCGCAATTACACCTTAATGTCCATTGCATTGGATCGGGCGGTCTAATCTCTCGTTACTCAAATAACGACTGGCTCAAATCCCTCTATATTGCGGCGCCGTTTTATTTCCAGATTGAGAGCTCTAATATTGCAAATGGCTCCGGTTCGTGGCAATGACATAATAGTTTTATAACCTTTTATGTTTATATGGCCGCATGCATTTGAAATTCAATTATTATTAATTGAGCGTCAAATTTTTCTTTCTATTTCTAACTAAATTTCATCTCAATTGCAATCGGCTTTTATTTAAAATTTGATTGAATCCCTTAGTTTAAAAATATGATTGAAGCACTATAAAAGAAAAATAAATTAACATCGATTGAAGAAAGAAAAAATGGAAGAGAAAACTTGGAAGTTATTATATAGGACAATTTCATATAACAGAGGGAAATGAATGTCATTTTGTCCTTAATATAATTGTTGCAATTTTAAAATTAATCAATACATATATCAAATGAGCTGTGAAATAATTTGCCATTGTTAAACTAAATCAACTTGACGTTATCACGAAAGTGGAGCAAAGAGGATGGATCTAATCGCTGGAATATCTTAACACCTCTATCCAAAACGCGTTATGCCCTTTAAGAGCGTCTTCTATACAGGAGGGTGCACACGACGAGGAGCAATTTTATTCTTCCGCTCAAGAAACCGCACGTGTTTCTTCGCATCGCAAACTGTGTGAAGTGATTTTGCGCCTCACGATAACAAGCGAGCCAATTTTGCGCCATAAGTGCGAAAACCTGCAGAAGTGGCCAAACGCCACGAAATCGATCACCACCTATTTCTAGATATTGTTTATTGGATCAATTTCGTTATTGTTGGTTCATACATATTTACAAGCATTTGGGACATAAATATTTATTGTTGCTAGTTCAAATACAACTATGTAAGTCAAGAAATTTTTATTTTTCATAATAATTATTAAAAGTGTATAACTTTTCAGCAAAATTGACCTTGCTACTTCATTAAAAAAAAACGCAAGAAATGTATTTTTAAAAATGCTTAGGATAGGGAAAAACAATTTTTTAAGAAAATGTGTAATTGGAAAAAATTACTAAAATATTTTTGCGTTTTGCTTTCAGTATTGTGGTAGATGATGTGGACGAAGTGGAGTCGTCAATAAGCACACCGGGCCGCGAAGGCCCCGACTCGCCACGGCACCGACAGTTGGCGCGAAATCTGTCCGCCGCTTCGCTTACCTCGCACGAGGACTCAATGGACCAGACGTGCACGGAGCCGTCGTCACCAGGACTCCACGCCGGCACAACTCTCACCAAGCAAAAGTCCTATGAGCGACTTCAACAGATCATGGTGAGAATATTTAATAATCTATCAATATTTATTTTGGGGGTTAAAAAGTGAAATTGTTTGAAGTTTGAAAATTATAGTGGGCGCGTTGGTTGGCCAATTAATGTTAGAGTTATGTTAATTAGTTAATATTCACACCCTGCCTTTGGTCTGTCGTCAAAAATATCGGAATTGCTCAGTTTTATTTGTTCTGGCAAGAATCCAAAAATTAATTTACTTCATCGTTGCGGCGCGAATCAGTCGAGAAAATTAATGCATTTTATAAATATAACACCAAACAAGTTTAGTTCTGTATCTCTTTTCGAGAATTTCAGATATAAATTAATTTTTTAATATGAAATTTACTAAAGCTACCAAATATCAAATTTATAGTTAATCGCATATAGTCAAAATTAAATTGTTCTCTTCTCTTATTCTAAAAGGAAATTACTAATTTTACTTTTAATTTAAAGGTTGTATTACTTTCTTTGTTGATCTTTCAAATTAGCAGAAATGATTATTCATTATTTTTTCTATCAAATCTTCTGATAAATTAATTTTGGTGTTAATTTCTGCAGGACGAGGTTGAGAACCGGAAGAGCGAGTTTGCGCGCCTGCTGGAGGAGCACGCTCAGGTGGTGGCGCGTCTGAAGGCCATCGAGAACACCGGCCGAGCAGCGGCCATTCTGCCCCAAGAGAGTGCGGCCATGTAGGCCTCCTGTGTGCGTGTCAAGGACAATAAGCGTCAGAAAAAGTGTAGCCTCTCGCAGCTGATCATCAATATGAAGGCTTAACTTTTCAACTTTTGGTCACAGCCAAATTTTTTAATTGTTTTTGGTACTTCTTTCAAATTTTTAATTTTATTTCCTTGGTCTCTGGAATTTTTCAAAGTTAATTAAAAATTTTCCAATTTTCAGCAAAGAAAATTTCTGGTTTTTAAACATTCCAAGCTGAGTTTATATTTTGGGTGGAGAAAAGTTAAGCCTCAATATCTGGGACCCGATAGAAATAAGATGAGAACAAATGTTATACTTTAACAGCAAAACATTAGCCAAGCAAGATTCGCATGCGAAACACAACAGCGAGCTGTTGCGCGACGGTTTTGATGACAGGAAATTTTGGTTTGGCAAGAAGTAAAATGCATAACTATAGAGCTGTAAGATTTTAAATTATTGAGAGAGAAAAAGGCGGCAGAGAATTTTCTTATCACCAACAGTGAATTTTTAGCACGCCCATATTTTGATATATGTGCTTACGTTTTGATAAAAAAAATTGTTCAACGCAGGTATGTAGTTCAATTAAAAATTCTAACTTTTAGAGAAAACTTCTTTATCGGAAAAATTGTGCCATGCCAAAGCAGGGTTAGGATTGTAAGCATTGATAAAAAATTTAGCATTAGAGGCGGCAGCAGATTTAATATTTCATCAATAATCTGGAAAACGATCGCATTTCATTTGACGATTCTGAGCTCACAGCGTAGAGGGAAGAAAGAATTCGTTAAAATCTCCACAAATCCCTTTGCGATTATAATTTATTTTTCCTACTTGTAACTTCAGTTGTGAACAAATTAAAAAAATTATTATGTGCTTTGATTGATAAATAGTATTTGTAAAGGAGCAAGAAGTATTTTCTGCCTGAAAACTGATTGTAAAACTTGACGAATTGAAAATCAAACTGCGATGGCAATATCACGAACAGTACTTCTTGTTAAAATTCGAAAAGTAACTTAAATCAGAATTGGGTGATAATTTCCGACAGCACACAAATGGATGAACAATTGATTCGCTTAAATTGTATTGATTAAAAGCGTTAAGCTCCGAAGAGGACACACATGTTTAAGGTACCCCACATGCTATACTCTCCGACTGTATGTTATTTGCTAATGTATTGATTAATTAACTTGATGTCTACGGTGACGGATACAATTGATTCTAACAAGTCAAAATGCGGCTAGCAGATTAATGAACCAATTGGAGCGTAGAGAATAAAGTGGTTGTAAGGCCCAAAAATTAATTAAATGATTGCAGGTTTTGGTAAAAACTATAATAGAATTTAGAGGCGGTTCTTCTACCAAGGACGCAAAAACGTAAATATTTTTGCCTTACGCCAGCAGGAGATAATTTTAAGTCGCAACACCATTTAAGAGCATAAGTGAGCGTTTATTTGTAAATATGTATGCGCAGATTTGAAATTGTAGCTTGAGTAAAGCAGGATAATAATGCAAATTGTTCAAAATAGTGATTTTTATTTAAATTCCTGTTCTCGAGTCTCTATATGCATTACATTATTCCATATTACTTCTGCATGCAAAGACAGCAATGAAACATCACCAACCTTTCTTCTTGGTTAAAGATTTAAGATGCAAAATTAGCAATCCATTTCGTCGTCTGAGGCTTCCTCCTCCATGGGTGAATCCTCTTCTACCTGCTGCACTGCTGAACCTTTGGCCAGAGCCCACTCTTTTTTGCACCCCATGCATTTCTTGCTGGCACCCTTTGAAAAGTACAGTTCCAAACAACTCTGGTGCACTCGCACACCACACTTAGATGGACAAGAAGGGCCCTGAAAATAACAGTAAATTGGAGTTGTCGTAAATAATATAGTTTGTACCCTAAGAGTCATTTCATGGCAGAGTTTGCAAGTGCCAGCCTGATCCTCAAACTCATCCATCAGGTACCTCTTGATCTCAGCCAGAGCCCTTGGGCCAATGTAAATTTGATCACCGACCTACAGTTTTATTTTAAGACAATTTTAATTTAGTATTCATATTTCATTTTATTTATTTGAGAATACCTCGCAAAGCCAGTTTTGTGAAATAAGCTTTTGCAGAATCTTAGTCACATCGTTTCTCTTGATTTTATCAGGGAGATCGGCACACTCTCTGGCACAAGCAGAAACAGACACCTTGCCAGATGGACTTTTGCAGACGGCCTTGATCACAGTCTTCAAAACAGCTCTCTCGTTCCGGCCCCACTGACGGCCAGCGATTGTTCTGATCGAAATACAAATTAAAAAGAATTAAATTTTTATCAATCTTTCATCTTACTTTGTGAGTTCATTATCGCTCAAGGTATGCAGGATGTAGAACTTTTTATTGGTGGACTCACACACCACCAGCTTGATGGACAAGTTCAGGGGCTCAATTTTTGAGTTGATTTGCTCAATGAATTTGGAGATGGCCTTTTCAGCTGTGGCATCTTGGGATGGTGCTGAAAAATTTGTCAATATGAACACCAAAAATGTCATGTTGTGTAATTTTAATTGTACCAATACTCTCTTCATTGCTGCCCTGGTCTCTGCAAGTGCAATAAAGCTCAACTGCCTTCTTTTGGGCCACCACATTGTTCATGGCCATGAGGGATTTGAGAAAACGCCGATGATTGTCTCCGTAGTTTGCCATTTCCTGTCGAATTACGCGATGAATCGAATTGAATGATGGATTTTATAGTTAAAGACGAGCAAAATAATGATTTACAACAATTTAAGAGAGCACTTAGCTCTTTCCAATAGGGAAAAATTGAACAATTTACTCTTCCTAATAATTTTCTTCAGTGCCAAACACTCGGGATTCAGTACCACTGTCACGCCCCCTAAAGCGCGCGAAGCTGCCGGATCAAATGACGGACTGGTGGGGATGCGCAGCAGATCATAATCCTTATTTGTTGCTTGATGTTATTTAAAAGAATCTTTTTGACTCAACTTCCTTCTTATTTTGGGCCATAATATGCCATAATAAAACACTGTTCGGCCATATGAGGGGATTTGAGTCATTGAAAGCTGATGACGAGTGCCTTTTGTGGTTTGCCAATTCCTGTCGAATTACGCGATGAATCAAATGGAATGATCGATTTTATAGTTAAAAATGAACCATAGAATGCTTTCTACCAACTTACAAAAATATTAGTTTCTTTTCACTAGAGAAAAATTGGAAAATTCTTCTCTTCCAGATCATTTTTTCGATTCAAAACACTCACAATGCCACGCCCCCTCAGGCGCGCGAAGCTCTCCTTTTTCTTCCTCAATCACAACAAGTCGGTGCAGCCCCCTCTGTCTGTGTTGCCAACCGCATGACTAGCCCAACCAATTTTTGCGAATTCTTAGGTACAATTCTCGGTTTAAAGCGTCTGATATTTTTTGACGGAAAATCCCTCAACGTTAACAACTTCTTCCCTCCATTTTCTTTTGCATAAATATCTCATCTGCTTGTTTATTCTGCCATGATAGATTGAAATTTTCATTCTGATTCTCATGTATACATACATATGTAGCTTTGCTTTTTTGCGCTGGTTATTGTTGAAGTCTCCTCAAACCCACACAGCAGCACACAAAAACAAACAAGTGTAGACCAGGTGTGCTGTTTGGAAATCAGGTTTAATTTAATTGTGATAATTTACATTCACTTCATACATTAATGCCGACAAATTCGCGAATTGTCAGTGCAGGATATTTAAAAAAATTATTGCTTTATATATTTCAATGCTGGATCAAGAGATATGATGCAGAAGATCGATTTTTATTCTTGACAATCTAAATTTTAATAAAATGCCTTTGTTTATAGTTTGCCTTGCTGAAGAGTTCTCAGATTTTTGACTTGACCCAACGTGAGCAGGTTTTTTTCAAACAAATTCGCCAAAAATGATGCAACCTGTTGCTGGAAGTGCTGGAACTTCATCTACAGGTACAAAACTACAAAATCCTCAAATGGATTTGATTTGTTTAAATTTCCATTTCTCTTATATTTATCATTGGTGCCAGTAGTGAAGCGTAAGAAGCAGCAAAAGCAAAAGAAAGTTCAAAAGCAAGTGCAAAAATTTGGAAAACCAGAAAGGAGAGATTGGTATGTTGGCTTCAAACTTGAGGAGCTGCCTCGTACGCATGGCGACTTCAAGTACATTGATGAGAAGATGCACAGTTCCATAGTGGCCCATGACAACCATATCAAGTTCTCCAGCTATGAAATCCTAAAGGTAAAACAAAAAATGCTCTTTCCCGTTTTATGGTTTTTGCTTTTTTTTTATAAATTAAAAATTGCGGACCATAATTAGTTAATTTTATCCAATTGTGTATATAAATTTTGTACTGGTTGCGGAAATTCCATGACCGACGTCCGACCCAAGCTTATGGACAGAAAAAACAACGACGCTTTGTATTCGGTTAAATTATTAATACATAACATTTTTGTATTATTACACTGTTCATTGTGACTTTCTTCCACAGGTGTTCAAAGTCCTCAATTCCAACATGTACGAGTGTTACCAAAAACGCAGAGCTGAGATGAATCAAGAGATCATGAAGGAAAGCAAAAGTTCTGGATATGTGGAGGAGATGAGACTGTGGCATGGATCTCCTCAGGCTGAGAAAATCTGCCAAATCGGCTTCAATTTGCAGCCATCAAACCCTAACGGAATGTTTGGCAAAGGTAATACAAAAGAATTAAAATTATAGTAATTCTGAAAGTTATAAATTTGAAAAAGGAATCTACTTTGCTGAGCACTCCTCAAAGAGCAACCAGTACTCTTGGGGTGTCAACGGCGGCTGCCCAACTCACAGAGATCAAAGCTGCTACAAATGCACCCGTCAGATGCTGCTGTGCAAAGTGGCGCTTGGACGAAAGTACCTCACCCCTCAACTGATCACCAATGCACCTCCCCAAATTGACACTGTCGTGGCTCGACCTGAAACTATCAATGTTGGTCTCCGGTACCCTGAGTATGTCATCTACAACCAAGACCAGGTGCGACTTTTCCATTATTTTTTTAAAACTTATTATTAATTATTTTTTGTTTGTTAAATGTGTCTATAGGCTTACCCTGGCTACCTGGTCCACTACAGAATCCTGCCTGAAGTTTGCAAGGACTGCACGAATACACAGCCCGTGATGAAGGCCAAGCAGATCCAGCTCGCTACTCAACCACAACCTGCACCTAAAGTGGCCATTCCAGCTCAAGCTTCTTCCGCCTTGGATGGCTGCACCATCTGTTAAGCTTTGAGCCTTCTCATTTATATTCTGACCACAGAGTTAAAGCATGTCTGATAAAATTGAAAATTATATCTTATGTTCTAAAGGCTGGATGCTGACGTGCAATCCAAAAACTAAGTTTTCAATCAAATACTGTACTGCGTTCCTAATAAAAAATATTTTCAATAAAACTGCTCATAATATTTATGTGAAGCTTCTTAAATTTAAATAATTAAAATCTGCCTTAGGTATCAATGAGATATTATTGCTTCCTTTAGCAAATTTCTGTTAGCTTGTTAATTTATGTATAATCGAATTTGAGATCTACATTATCTGCGAAAATGCCACATGACATACAGCTGAAAGACAGTATCCCAGCAATTTTTTGTAACGAATCACATTGTAAATTTTATATTTTTTTAAATTATCAATTAGATGATTAAATTTAGGTGGCTTCGTGGGCTTTATGATATTTATTGTTTTTGGGTGTTTTCAATTCGTACGTCAACTATATATACCAGACCTTCATTTTGTTCTGATAGAAATTGTGCGCAGAACTAGTGTTCATGCGAATGCAATGGCAACTTAAAAATTTTATTTTATTTTAATAGCTAGATTTTATAGAAAAATATCATATTTTATACCAATGCAGGGTTAGGATTGCAAGTTGCAAGCATAATATTGAATAAGAACATCAAGCATTTTATTTAAATGAAATGTCAGCAAAAAACCGCATAAAACTATTTTCTGTTCTCTGTTTTACAGAGGGGCAAAAAACTAAAAAAAAAAAAAACCAGTGCGCCGCGCTGTATCCCACATTTTTTGGCTACACAGTTAAGTAATAAAGATTCATGTGAGTATAAATAGTATAATTATAAATATATATTTTAAAAGGAAGTCAAACCAAAATTATTTCATTTTTTGCAAATTCTTCTTTTATGTCTGCTAATTTTTCAAATCCCTTTGACTTCATCAATTTATCCCCTCCCTTTTACAGCATGCATAGCGTAAAAATAAATCCTTCCCTGTTTCCCTGCTGCCACCACCAATTTCTTGTTTTTATTTTATTTCTGGATTCTCTGGTTCTGCTTGATGTTTTTGTTTTTAATTATTGACAACTCCTACCTGCAACTACCTCAAACAGCCGCCTCTCAAAAGCAGAAAAACAAATTATAAGAATGTACAATCAAGAAGATGAACAGCGGTTTCGATCCGAGCTTTAATTTATTGTAAGACTTCCATTTTATTAAATTTTTTTTACACGAATGAATGAGATTGTGCATGTTTCATAGTTTGCCTTTGCTGCGTGATTGTGAAAACTGAAAAGTTGCTTTTTTCTGCTCTGCGACGTCAGTGAAGATTTTATTATGAAAAAAAATTGAAATATTTCACCAAAAATGATCGATGCCGATGACCACTCCTGATGGAACCTCCTGCAGACACAACATCATCTCATAGCTAGGGTGCATAAAAAAAATAGAAAATAAATTTCATGTAAGTATGTACGTATTGTCGAATAAATTTAATCTCCATTGTTGCTTTATAACACATACTATCATTTGTTGGAAACTGAAAAGCAGCTAGAAAGCGACTGAAGAAATTTGAAAAAATTCTTCTCAGAAGGACACTGAAAAGGAGAGAGATTTGCTATGTCGGGGGGCTTCAAACTGATTGAGTTGCCTCGAACACATGGAGACTTCAAGTACATTGAAGAGAAGATGCACAATTCTATAGTAGCTCATGACAACCACATCAAGTTCTCCAGCTATGAAATTCAAACGGTAAATTAAATGCATAATATGTTTATTTTGTTTTTTAAAAATTTATCTTCATAATTTTGTTTTCATTATAATAATAAATTGAGGAATTTAAGATTTGAAGACAAGGAAAAAAGAAAGCAAAAGAAAGAAGAAAAAACGGCTATTTTTTCCGAATTATATATTATTTGCTTTTTATTTTTCTGTGAATAGATTTAAATGGCTTTGTATGGTTAATTATTTTATCCCGTAGGTGTTCAAAGTTCAAAACCCCAACTTGTATAAAACTTACGAGAAACACAGAGGTGAGATGAATAACAAGATCAAGAAGGAAAGCAAAAGTTCTGGATATGTGGAGGAGATGAGACTGTGGCATGGATCTCCTCAGGCTGAGAAAATCTGCCAAATCGGCTTCAATTTGCAGCCATCAAACCCTAACGGAATGTTTGGCAAAGGTAATACAAAAGAATTAAAATTATAGTAATTCTGAAAGTTATAAATTTGAAAAAGGAATCTACTTTGCTGAGCACTCCTCAAAGAGCAACCAGTACTCTTGGGGTGTCAACAGCGGCTGCCCAACTCACAGAGATCAAAGCTGCTACAAATGCATCCGTCAGATGCTGCTGTGCAAAGTGGCGCTTGGACGAAAGTACCTCACCCCTCAACTGATCACCAATGCACCTCCCCAAATTGACACTGTCGTGGCTCGACCTGAAACTATCAATGTTGGTCTCCGGTACCCTGAGTATGTCATCTACAATCAAGACCAGGTGCGGCTTTTCCATTATTTTTTCCAATTTTAATAAATTTTATTTTCTCGTTATAATAAATGTGTCAATAGGCCTACCCTGACTACCTGGTCCACTACAGAATCCTGCCTGAATTTTGCAAGGACTGCACGGATACGCAGCCTGTGATGAAGGCCAAGCAGATCCAGCTCGCTACTCAACCACAACCTGCGCCTATAGTGGCCATTCCAGCTCAAGCTTCTTCCGTCTTGGATGGCTGCACCATCTGTTAATCTTGTTTTATTGTTAGCTTTTTCATTTATTTGCAGACCATATTCCCTTTAGCTTACGTAAAATAAAATGGCTTGCTCATGTCGATGGATTTAGACGTTGCACTTAATTCAAATACTGCGCGTGACTAATAAAAATGTTTTCATTTTGTAACTTTTCATAATAATTATAAAGCTTGTTTAATATTAATCCATTTCTAATCATGTGTTTCAAGGTAAACCGTGTATCTTTTTTAAAAGGAAATTTAGTTAATTTTAATCAAATTTTATGTTCTAAGTTTGAGATTTGAGCTAAGACACTGGTAATATTTCGGTGTGTTTGAGGGCTGTTCAGTAGTTATTTAAATTAATGAGCCTTCTCACAATTAGATGTAAATCATATTTACCTTTTTCAAATGCCCAGAAAAATGTGAAAATGAATTTGAAACAACTTGTTGATGTTCAAGAACACAAACCCAAACAACAATTTCGACTCCAAGACCAGAATAATCTTTTAGCTGCATTTGTATTTTGACATATGCAAGAAAGCAAGAGGGTAAATTTATCAAACCAAAAGACAAAACTTGCTGATGTGAAATTAAGAAAGTTGATTCCAATATTTAGTAAGTGATGTGCTCAGTTATAAATAAATATAATAGTTTCAAAATTTGTGGCTACTTAAAGCGCTTGAAGTGTTTTTTCAGCTAGACTAAGCTTTTCCATCTCGCCGATTGCTGATTCCAGTTTCTCTTTATTGGCAAGTTGTACGTCTGCTGGAACTTTACTTTCATAGTCCGGCTTGGCCATGTCCTTCACCAGCTTGGTCACTGTTGACTGAAGCAGGTCTCGCTTTTTGGCAATTTTCACCAACTCCTTGGCAGGATCAATCAAACCCTAATAAAATTAATAAATCAATAATAATCGATTACATGAAATTAATGTTTTGGTACCTGAAGAACAAGATGAACTTCACACTTGTCGCTGACGGTCAGAATTGCACAGCCGGTAGCACTGGGGGCTTCTTCAAACTCGACTTTGCTGCAGTAGCACAAGGTGCTGATCACAGAGCTCAGCGGCTGGAGTTGGCGCTTAAGTTTGGCGTCCGAACATTTCACAAAGACTGCAAAGTTAAAAATTAGATTAAAATCAAAATCTTATTGAATATTCAATAGTAATACCTTCGGTTTTGACATTGTTGAGCAAATTGTAGTTTGATCTGGCAGACCGAATTTCTTTGACAATCTTTTGAGTAAAGTCCACGTCGTTTTCAACATTAACATCTCTCCAAGAGCACTGTCATGATTATTTTTAATTAAAAATTATTCATTGAAAATTTAAGAGACTTATCAAAAGGCATTCTTATTAAATCTTACACTTTCTACTTCTGGATAAGATGCAATGCAAATGCTTGGCGTTGATGATTCATTTCTTCCTGGCAGCCGCTGATACAACTCTTCAGTCAGGAAAGGCATGAAAGGCGAGAGCAGTCTCAGGGACACATCAAGGGTGGTGTGGAGAACGTTTAGGGCTGCCGTCTTTGCTTGCTCGTCGCCAGAACTGAAGACCGGCTTCAGGCACTCCAGGTACACGTCACACAAGTCGTAAAGCCACAAGTTGTAGCACGCAGTAGTGGCTGCCGGGAAATCATAATTCTCAAAGCCCTTGTTACATGTTTCAACAGCGTAGGCCACACGACTCAGCATCCACTTGTCAATGGACGCCAGTTTCAGGCCAGACACATCCTAAAATTTTTAAAACTATGTGTAAATAAATTAAATTACAGTAATATAGAAAGATTTGATTTACATTTAGAGTAATTATAATTACTATATGCTCGTTCTTGTTAATTTATTCCTACTCAGATTTGATTCATGCTTTTATTTTAGTTGTAAATTTTAATTGCAAAAGGAAGCAGCTTTAGAAATTTTGACATGCATGCATGGCCATTGTTTTCCACCTTTGCAGATAAATTTGCTGGCTTGGTCTGCGCGTCTTTACCAAAGCTGGACGCATGACGAATCCATCTGTTTAAGTTTACATACTCGGACGAGGCACTCGGGAGAGTCGATAAAAGCTGAGAGTCAAAGGAGGAGTGCGCAAAGCCCTTGATGTAGCTGTGGTCGGCAAAATAGTTATCTAGCTGAGAGGTACTTTTGATTTGGGCCAAGCCACATTTGGATAGAATATTTAAAGTCTGAGCTGATAGACCACCACCACATGAAGAATTGTCAGAAACGAAACTCACTGCAGTTGGTTGGAAGTCCGCGCTGAAGTGAGAAAGTGAGAATTTGGCGGCGTTCCACAACTTGTTGCAGAAGAAGCGGTAGCCTTGCACACGTAAAATGTCCAAATTAATGTCACGACCTGTGTCAATACAGATTATTAAAAAATTGAAATTCATTAACAAAAAACATCAAACCTTGGCCCAAATAAGCACAGAGAGCAAATCTGAGAGCGTCGACGCCACATTCGGGAATCCCATTTGGGTAATCCTGTTTTTGGCCAGCCTTTGCCTTCTCCACTTCTTTGGGATCCAGATTGCTGCCTTCGAGAGTTTTGTGAAGGTCCTAAATAATAAATAAATTGATACTACAGACTTTCGTTGAATTAGTAATTTACCTCTAGCGAAATTCCAGTGATCACATCCATTGGGTCAATGACATTTCCGAGTGATTTGCTCATTTTGCGGCCATGAGCGTCTCTCACCATGGAATGTAGGAAAACCTCCCTATCAATTTATAAGTGCAGTAAAATTAAAAATAAAGTTCGATTTTTTACTTGAAAGGAAGTTTTCCCAGAAGGCGCTGGCCAAAGAACACCATTCTCGCCACCCAGAAGAAAATGATGTCATGTCCAGTTTCCAACAGAGAGTTGGGGTAGAAGAGCTCTAGGTCTTGGGTCTATAAGATTGTCAACTACTGTAAGAAAAATTCATTTTCACAACTTGAGCCAACAAACCTTATTTGGCCAGCCCATTACAGAAAACGGAAATAGGCCAGACGAGAACCAAGTGTCCAGTACATCCGGATCCTGCTCTAACTTGAAGTTCTTGTGTCCAAGCTTGGCAGCTGCCTTCTCAAAAGCCTCAGCGTCTGATCTTGCACTCACCCAAATCTCATTACCATTGTCCTTTAAAAATAAAAAATTAATTAATAAAAAAAAAATAAAATAAGTAAATTTGGAGCAAAAAACTAAAAATGAAATTATTTAGTACCAATGCCTTAGATCCATCAGACAAGAAGACTTGATAAGCGGGAATTCGGTGGCCCCACCAAAGCTGCCTCGAAATGCACCAGTCCCTGATGCCCTCCATCCAGTGGTTCCATGTTTTGATGTGGATTTCAGGGATGATTTTCAAATCACCGTTTTTCACAGAGTCAATGGCTTTCTGGGCCATTAAGTTGCATTTGACGTACCTGCACAAAAGGTAAAAATATTTAATTACATTATAATTAATAATAATAATTAAATTCAATCTAAATTATTAAAGACGTACCACTGAGGTTTTATGAGGGGTTCAACAACATCCTTAGAACGACTGCACATTGGTACAACCATGGCATTGTCTACAGTTCCCCGGTACAAACCCTTGGCCTCCAGAGCTTCGAGAATCGCCTTTCGGCAGTGGAATCTTTTCATTCCCTAAAGTTGATACGAAATAATAAATATTATCTTAAAAAAAAAAACGTTTAAGAAATAATTTACAGTGAAATTGCCGTAATCGCCAATGATGATTCCGTCATCACTGAAAATAGTAATGAAGGGCAAGTTGTGCCGCTTTCCCACTTCGTAATCATTCGGGTCATGGGCAGGGGTGATTTTCACAGCCCCTGAAACATTATGAAAATTGAATAATATAGATTTTTTTCTTTCGAATAAAAGAGCTAACCAGAGCCGAACTCTCTATCCACAAAGTCATCACAGACAATGGGGATTTTCCTGTCACAGAATGGATGCTGGATGAACTTTCCGTGCAGGTGCTTGTACCTGGGATCTTCTGGGTGGACAGCAACGGCCGTATCACCGAGCATTGTTTCCACTCGGGTGGTGGCGACCACAACCTCTCCGCCAGGGCCGTCTCCTCCCCCTATCACTTTGTAGGCAAAGTTGACCAAAACTCCAAACTCAACCTTCTCCTCATAGCCAGGGATGGACAGCAGAGTGCGCCCGGGCAGCTCAACCTTGTCCACTTCGATGTCAGAGATTGCCGACTTCAAGGTGCAGGACCAATTGACCAAACGGCTACTGCGGTAAATGTCACCTTCATCGTGTAGCCGAACAAAGGCTTCCACAACAGCCTTGCAAAGGTCAGGGTCCATGGTGAAGCGGGCGCGCGTCCAGTCGTACGAGGAGCCCAGTTTCTTCAACTGATGGTAAATTCGATCACCTTTCCTAAGTTTATAAGTATAATTAATAAAGAACAGAATTTCAGGTTTCAATCAATATCATTAAATGCTTATATTTCTAATTAATTTCTAAGCGTACTCATTCTTCCATTCCCAAACTTTGTCAACGAAATTCTCTCTTCCCAAATCATATCTTGTGATTTTACTTTCCCGCCACAGTTTCTTCTCCACAACGACCTGCGTTGCAATACCGGCGTGGTCACAGCCAGGCACCCACAGAGTCGTCTTGCCTTTCATTCGATGCCTGTAAATTTATATTTAATGAAAATAAAATATTTTACTAAATAACTACCATCTGGTGATGGCGTCTTCAACGGCATTGGTAAGTGCATGACCCAAATGCAGGGAGCCGGTCACGTTTGGCGGCGGAATGACCATCACAAATTTGCCCTTTTGATTTTCTATGGACAGGTCTCGTCCGTACTCAGGTCGGAAGAAGCCCTGCTTCTCCCACCATGCATACCAAGCCGCCTCCACGTACTGGGGACTGTAGGTCGACGGCATTGCATTGCTTGTGTCTTTTTTATCGCCTTCTTCAGTCGGAATATCATAAACAGCAGCCTCTGTAGGTGCCTTTTTCACCTTCTCTTTTTTCTGCAATAAGAATTATTATAAATATGTTTAAACAAAAATTCTAGGCTTATAAAAAAAAAAGATTTTTGTATTTTCAATTAAAGAATCGGCATATCCAGGCATAATTAATCATAACATAAATACATAAATATACCTCAGCCTTCTCTTTGGTTGGCTGCGTCGTTTGGACACTTTTCTTGTCCTGCTTTCCCTTGAATTTCTCTAACTTTGCCAACTTCTTGGCTTCCTTCTCCAACTGCTTGGCAGTCTTCACAACCGGCTCACCCTCTGCGTCAGCCATATCACCTAAAAATTATTTTAAATCGTAAATCAGCTAAAAGGTATGATGAAATATCTCTAGTAAGTTGTGCCATATGGGCACAGCACCAGATTTGTTATTAAAATTAACTAGCGTAAATTACGTAAATATTTATTTAAAAAAGGTCTGCCGGTTGCAAAGATTAATAACATACCTAGCGGTATTTTGCTTAAATTCAAAATCAGAACAAAATGCTCTTGAAATTAGATTCTCCAACGACGACCAAAAATTTTGCCACGATTGTTGTTGCTGCTGAAGTGCACAGCTGTTAAGGTGAAGCATGTAGAGAGAGTAGAAATGGGAGACGCGAACGACCAACGCCCCCTTTTTCGGCACAATACTTACACCAATCAGCGACGACAAGACAAATGACTAACGCCATCGCTGATTGGTGTAAGTGTTGTGCCGAAAAAGGGGGCGTTGGTCGTTCGCGTCTCCCATTTTTACTCTCTCTAGAAGCATGGGGGAGTTGCATGGGGACTATTGGGAGAACAGCACTTAAGAAGTATAGTAAAGGAGTTTTATGATATCAATTATTTTGCAATGAAATTATTAATAAGGTATGAGTTGCAAATTTTTAATCTTCACATTTACCTATTTTATGAATTTAATTTTGCATTTGAGATATTTAAAAGAGAGTTCAATATTTTGATACAAATTTATCTTACTCTTAAGTACACGCCATTTATAATTTTTCCGGCAGTTGCTAGATGGTGCTGAGTCTGAGTGTTTGCCGTGGTTCGCCCGACCCACACAACAAGGACCCACACTTTATGGAAAAAATCATGTAAAATTTTATCAAATAATGTCACTGGGGCCAATGATGTTTGGAACTAAGAAGTTTTAAAGGAAATTTATAGACAGACCAACATGCACATTGTGTAAAAGTTTCATTTGTATATTTATTAAATAGCTATATTTACGTAATTTGGAAATCTAATATTTACAAAACAGCCAAGGGAATGAAGTAAAATAGCATAATATTATAATCATCCAAAGTTCTCAAAGTGGTGGATGAAGTATGGCAGCTTGCGTCCTCGGTTCACATCCTCGCACGCAGTCATCACGCTTTTGGTCAGCGGCCGCGGGCCACAACTGAACACGCCAATCTTGCTGACATAGCTGTGCTTGCGCTGCACAAACTTGAGGAACGAAGTCATGTCTGGGCGCCCGAAGTGATTAACTGCTTTGAGACCAGTGAACATGGAGGTGTTGGAGAGGCGTTGGAAGTGGTTCTCACAGATGTACTAAAAATATAAAAATTTTAAGTTTTAATTTTTAAGATATAAACAAAATACTAATTTAACTTACCAACATAGTTGTACGCAGATCAAATTTGTGGAAAAATTGAGTGATGAAAATGTGGATTTCTAAAACTGAAGTGACATCTTTCTTTTCCACATCTCTGAGCACATCGATGAACCACTCGAAATGTCGGTGCGAGGGACAAATCCACAAGAAATACACCTTTTGAAAATAAGAACAATACAAAATCTGCAATTAAAATGAAAGCATAATAACAAACCTTTTTGCAAGCAACGCCAGAATATCTGTTGGTAGAGGTGCCAAAAACAAGATCATTGAGAATGGAAGCGTACGGGGTGACACCGATGCCGCCTCCGACCATCACAGCAACTTCAAATTTGTACCAATCTTGATTACCCCCTCCAAATGGACCTTCCAGTCTTATCTGAAGACCGAAAATTTAATTTAAATTATCTTAATTTTAATAAATTTAGCAACCTTTGGATTGTCATCCTCGTTAGGGGTGAAGTTGGCTGGGTCGAAGAAATTTCTCAGTTTCCAGGTCCACGGGCCCTGAGCTTTGATGTGACACGAAAGGAAGTTTTCATGAGGAGCAGAGGTGAGGGTGAACGAGTGAAACTCTTCGCTTTTGAAGGCCGTGCATGACAAGCGAACCCACTGGCCAGACAAGTACTTGAAGTTGGGAGGACGGTAGAACTTGATTTTGATCACATCGGAGGGCAAGAGTTCCGTTTCCAAGACGTCGAGTTCCATAAATTTGGTTCTCAATGAAACAACCTGGAAGCAATTTATTTTTATAAATTTAAATGAAGAGAACAAATTTAAAAATAAAAAGACCTTATCCAGAACGTAAATCGTTCCAGGCACAATAAGGAACATCCAAAATCGAGGTGGGCCTGTCAGCCGAGCCAGGCCGTGCAACAGGCAGAGGACGTAAAGGGCTATGTACAGGGAGTGGGTGGTCCAGAAAAAGTTGTAGGCGCGCTTGCGAATCACAGGGTGGGCGAAAATGAAAATGATCACCATTATAATAAATAGCATCACTCCGGTCAGACCTTGAATTTAATTATTATTAATTTTAATTAAATATAAAAAAGTCAAGTACCTGTCAAAGTTTGGAAGAGCCAGAAGGAAATGCCAGGCCGATAGTCTGAGGCAAAGTGGACTTCTCTGGTGAGACATCTGAGATGCTCGATGGGCTGCGTGCTGATGTGGTAGAAATTGACAATGTGTCCGACTGAGTGAATGACGGAGAACAGCAGAGCAGTGCAGGCTACAATTTTGTGAAACTGGATGTGCGCGTCCAGCGGAATGTACTGCTGCACTGGGAACTCTTTGAGTTTGGTCAACAAGTTTCTGGACATGGTGAGCAAAAGCAGCGAGTAACAAAACGACAGGGAGGCAGCTGAGCCTCGGGTGATGGCAATTCCAACGCCCATGATGTGCCTAAGATCTGTGTGCTCAGCCATGAAAGAGTAATCTAAAAAAATTATAATTGTAAATTTAAATTAAAAAAAGGTTAGTGTTTCTACTTACGAATGAACCTCTCAACAAATAGAGCCACAGTGATGACGTAGAAAACAAACAAATAAAATATGTTCTGCCGATTTTCCTCCAAAAAGGTGGTGAGGGCATCCCACTGACGGAACACCCAATTCCTCCGACCTTCATGCATGGTTGAGTCGACATGGAAGGATGTCATTCTGAATTATTCAAAAATAAGTTTGAAAAAAAAAATTACTGCAAAAATTTCCTTCATACCTGGCCACATTGGTTGAGGTGTCCAGGAAGTTCTGTTTGGCGCCTTTGCAGTCGAGACCAATTGCCACAAAGTCGCCCTTGTACTCCTTCATCATTACCTTAAAGTCTTGATAAGTGAGATGCTCTTTGTGCTCAAGACCAGCATCAGAAAACATTCCATCAATGAGTTCGGTGACGCTGTTGTCTGAAAGACTTGTGGTTTTGGCGATTTCGACCAGCGAACGCAGCATTTCCGACAATTCTCCTTTATCGATGACTCCATTGCGATCATTGTCACACATGTCGAAAATGATACGCAGCTTGTCATCGGTTTGTCCTCTGGAGAAAAGGACCACGGTGTCTAAGAATTCCTAATTCAAAGGAAATATCTGTTGAGTTTCAATAGCTTAAAATTTAATTTAAATTTACCTGGAAAGAAATTCTGCCGTCTCCGTCCTTGTCGACAATTTGGAACATTTTGCACACAAAAACAGCGTCAGATCTCATTCCAAGGGCAGAGGCAAACTCGGCTCTGGACAGAGAGGTGCGCATGACCATCATGACGTCACTGGTGACATCCTCAAGACGACGCTTCTCGCCAGGTCGGAGGCCAAAGGTCAAGGCGTAGGCCTCCCTGAAGAAGTGCTCCAGACGCTTCTGGCGCCTTTCCCTGGTCTCAGCGTGTGCCAACACTTGCTCCCTGGCTGCAGGGATCACTTCGAGTTTCATCTTGTGCGAGGTGAGGAACATCTCCAGCTTGTTCATGAACTTCTTGCGCAGGGCCAAAGTGTCAAACTCGAGCACCAAATCATGATCCTTCGGCACCTATATGTGAATAAAATTGCGTTAACTAAATAATTCAAAAGTTTCAGGTGAAAAATAATTACTCTGATGAGGACCATCGGTTTCTTCCTAGTGTCTGCCGTTTCCTCAACAGTAATAGTGTCCGATCCAGCAAAGTCTGCCTTACGGAGTTTTTCTCCCTTTCTGTCTACAGTGTAAAGGGACTGCTCAGGTCCAAATTTGAGTTTGACCACACGCTTGTGGTTGATGTGCAGCCACTCTTTCACAGCCATTTTGTCCACACTCTTGCCCTTGTCATTTTCTTCCTGCCGCATTTTCAGCCGACGCCGTCTGCCGTTCTGCAGCTTGACAACGCCATAGGCAGCTCCGGCGCAGAGGATGGGCACAAAGCCGAGGAAGACGCAAGCATAAATGTACACTAGTTCACTTCCCTAAACATTAAAAATCAACAAGATTTTTCCAAATACATTCCAGTGGCTTATTTTTTACCTCAAAGTAGTCATACCCCTTCAGGTACTTGCACTTCTCCAACACCTTTGGCTCAATCTGCATCTTCTGCGGACACGGATCCCCATCTTTGAAGAAGAATACATTCTTCTGGATATCTTCAGGCATAATTGAAGTGCTGTTAATTATGACGTCGTACATGGTGATTCCCCGAATTTCCGCAATTTCTTCTTTTGAGAAAATTCTAAAAAAAGCATTCAATTTAAAAAAAACTCTAACTAAGCTCAAACAAAAATTTATATTGGCCTACCCATTATCTTCATTTTCGAACCAAAACCGATCAGCGTCTCTGATCCTAGAAAACTGGTCAATGATGATGGCTGAGAAGAGGGGACCAGGACCGTCTTGGCTTTCCAACATGCCTCCGATGTAGAGGTCAATGTCGTCAAGACGACCGCTGTAAGCTTCCTTTAGTTTCTCAATCAGCTCCGGTTTCTCTTTGGCCAAAACTGGGTTTATATCGGTCCAGTTGCTGATTTTGGGCAGGTGGAATGCATGTCTGACGGTGTTGTAGTCCGGAAGGCCGTTGTCACGGCCACGCATGATGTTCAGGGCGCCAAGATCGCGTCGAGAAAAGTCCATGGGGCCGAACAGCTTGTCTCTTACATCTGAGCATAAAATCGAGTCTTCCCGCTCAGCAATTTGCGAGGACATTCCCAAAACGAGCTCCTCCACTGTGCTGGCAGCCAGAACATCCTTAATGAATTGATAATCAAATTAAAACAGAACTTTTAAGGCTACTTTAGATGTCTTACATTTGAATCCCACCAAGTCGAGCAGAGTCTGATAGCTTCGTAGTTCATAGACGTTTTCCTAAACTCGCATTTGGTGTTTCTCCTCAAAATACCAGGTGGAATAAGAGTGTGGCCAAAGCGGAAAGCTGCACTCTGAAAAACGTGGCTCACTCCTGGGTGGACGTCCATGTTGTAACCTTTGTACTTAGGCACCTCTTTTCCCAAAAAAGCCGGCAGGTATTCATACATAATGATATTCTAGAAATTAATTTAGTTTTAAAAATTCCTATATTTCATACAAAAACAAAAAAAAAATAATGAAAAATATCCAACCTGCATAGTGGCAATAACAATCCGCCTGGCCCTTTGGAAGACTTCCTCGTCTGGCCAGTCCGGGTTTTCCTCCTGCACCCTTGATGCAATCACATTGTGGTAGCGGAAGAACAAAATTCCAAACGACAGCAAAGCCGGATTCTGGTTTGTTCGAGGATCACCCAGCACTGAAAATACCAAAACATATAATTAATCATTTGTTTCACAAAAATTCCTGAAATTTAATACAGAAAAGTCTCTCAGGGTCGAACATCCGGAGCACATGGGGCGCCGGAGAGTTGAACAGCGGCACTCTGGCGTGGTTTTTCGGAGGCATGGAGAGTTCGATGCTGGCGGCGTCCGCCTCGTCCTTGTCCTGCTCCTCCTTGGTGTTGTTGGTGGCACTGGCAATCGGCTCGGCGGCCGCTGTGAGGAAGGAGCCGTTTCGGAAGGAGCGCATCGCGTTCACCCACGCCTCGGAGGTGCTGTAAATGAACGAGCCGTCGATCCAACTGGACATGCGGTTCATCTGCTCCCGAGGACTGTTTGGACTCTGGCCGGTGCTCTTATCGTAACCGGCCCGGTGGAACGGAATGTACTTGTCACCGCGGCACTCAGTGTCGTACATCTCGTCGCACCGCTCGATTGGAATCTTGTGCACCTCGATCGGGCACCCACTCTCGCTGGCCATCAGAATCTCACCTGAGACGACCTGACCTAAAATTTTTAATGAAATAAATCAGAAAAAAAGTTAAGTTGAAGGTTGAAAAATTACCAAAAAAGGCAAGGAGGGCAGTTCTGTTTTTCAGGGACGGTAAACCTTCCTCTCCCTTCATAAAAAGCTGACTTAGAATCCTAGGGCTGGGTCTGTGCTGGCCAGCCAGCATGTAGACACCATCTGAGTAAGCTGGGGTCACCTTTCTGGTGAGTCTGCTCTCTGGAAAAAATTTTTGTTTAGAAAATTTTTGAAAAGAATTAATAAGCCTAATAGGCATTTGTAACGAAATAACTTGAGAAGAATAAGTACAAATTTCATTTAATAAGAATAGTCAATTTTATTATTTATAGCTCAAATATGAACAAAATTCTATTGCTTAATTTTAAAATTTTTATCTTCTCTGATATTTTTTTAATTTTAAAAAGTAAAAGGAAAACAATGATAAAAAAAATGTTTTTGAATCCAGAGAGGTCAAATGTTTCAAGTACATTATTTAAAAAAAAACCTTAGAGTCTGTTAGCAAAAAATTAAAGAGACGCTAATAATTGTAGATATGTCGCAAGTAAAGGATTCATCTCTGATCTCTCTCCTTGGAACAGGTCATCAGTAACTATAAAAACTGAATGGACCCGCGGCTGACACAACCATCTCCATTTTTCATGTCGCGGTTTGAATTAATTGGTGGTAATTAGCAGGTTATTGCGCCGGGGGCGAAAATAATCTTTGGCGTGAGATAAATCTGCCGCTGACATAATATCTATCTCATTCAAGGCCGGCGATCTCCGCGCGCTAACTTTCTAGCCGGCTGATCCACATTTTCATTTTGATCAGTCGCGAGAGAGACAGGTCAAGTTCGGTCTAGAGATTGTGCAAGGGAGACCGGCAGACAGACACAAAAGTGACACCGATCGACATTCCCTTCTATTATGTGGGGGCGCAACAGATTAATTTTTAAAACACAATCGGCACACCGAGACTGACAAGGTGAAACGTCAAAATCCGACCCGTGTGCAGCGATCAGAATCGCATTTCGAAAAGCTCCACGAATTTCTCAACTGATAAAAATTCGCACGGTCTCGTGAAAAATGCCACAAATTACCTGTCGAGCCCCAGTCCGGGTGCGCCAAGTTGTTGAACCAGCCATCGTAGCGTTGTCGCTCCGAGTAGCTCTGCAGATTGGCTGAAACGAAAAAAAAATGGAAATTGTTAATACTGTCAATGCTGAAAGGTTTATTGCTCCAAATGAAACTTGCACAACCTGATCTATTTTCAAACACGCAAGTGTTATTTAGACTTATTGATATGATAATCTCTTTTAAGCGGTTTTGCCTGCAGCAATCTCTTGTGAACATGCATCACTGCAGTCACTGAACAATAAGAGTAAGAAAAAGTTCAAGCAAAGTAGAATAAAAAGTTACGGCGATGATTATTTGAAAAAGTTTTTATATTTTTGTAGAAATATTAAGTGAATAATTAACAATTTTTATTCTATAATTGTGAGGAGAAACTTTGGCTAATTTGCCAGAACCGGATCAATGAAAAAAAAATATGGCCTCTTGCAAAACTGTGCTCAGTGGTCAAACAACGCAAAAACAAGGCTGCCTTAGAGAAAATAAATAAAAACGCCCTACTTAACTCTATTCTGGCCAAATGTGGTAAAAAAAATGCTTTATAAAGTCGATTGGTATGAGCTAATTTGGCCCGCAAAATTTATTTACTCTTCCCTTGCGCTAATGAGACGGTTTTTGGTAATTTCAACGCGCGGTCAGATTTTTTTAACATAAGCAATAAAAATAAAAGCGGAGCTCCATTTTTTTTGTTAATTTATTGCGTTCCAGATTTTGGAAAATACAGAGCGCGTAAACACTTCCATAAAAATTCCTAGCTTGACTTGATTAATCATTTTTGAGGCGAGGAAGGATTAATAAGAGAATCAAATTGGGCGTGAAATTTAATTAAATTGCCACTTACGTAAGAGAAAGCCTTGAAGCTAACAGGGGTCAAATTGCACAGATCTGAATAATCGGTTGACAGAACCAATTTATTACTATGCAACCTGTATAGGCTATTTTCGCAGTTCACTCGGACAGATGGAAATGAAGAGATTATTTTTCGCCGAATTGAAAACAAAGTCAAGGTGAAAGAGATCGGCCGAAGGTGTGAATCAAGCCAATGATTCAGTAACAAACCAGGAATGGGGAAATTTGTCAATGTATTACATATTTCATGCCCGGTGTTTAGTCATTTTTTGAAGACGTAATTCTGGTCATGTTCAAGGTTTCAGTTCTACATTTGAGCTCTGCTTTAGCTTAGATCAGAAAACTTAGATAAAAATGGTTTTTCTCGTTCAGATAAAAGTTAAATTACCTTAAGAAAAAGTTATACTAAATTGTTGAAAGTTTAAATTCCTCTCATGCGGAATTCCTGCATAAAACATCACAGGGCCCATCATTTTTAAAAAGAACCATCATGCCGACTGTTGCGACGATGATTTCTCTTTATAATTGAGTTCATACGCACACACTGAATAAGCGGAGTTGCAGTAATGAGGTGCCGTTATGCAAAGAAAATAATGGCACTGAGAGTAAACAATTCACGGCGATAGTTTCAATTTTTTTTCTTTTCGGGTGTGTCAGAGAAAGGCGTAAGTCTGATTGTAAGATAAAATACTGAGACTGAACTTTACCTATATTATTTTTTATTTAGGCGCTAAATTAAGACTTGCAGCTCTAATTGTAAGCTCTTTTATCAAAACCTCTAACTACAAAAAAAAAGATTAAAAATAATATAAATTAAAAATTAATGCAACCCGCAAGACAACAGTAAATAAATTTATCAGTTATTCTGGGTTTTTTTATCGTTCACATTTTTACTCCATCAAATTAGTAAAAAAAAAATAATTCATATTTCTAGGTGCAGCAGGAGGAATGAGTTTTGATTTGGCGGAAATTTAAATATTCTTCCGAAGACATTTATAATGTGGCTAATTTTATGTATAGGTAATTAAGTGCAAGTGTTTGTCTCCAAAGCAAAATGTTTAATGAGAAATGTTTCTTCAAGTTATATTATAGTATGGTGGAGTCAACGATACAAATTTTCAAATAGAATCAAAAGCAATTAAGTACCTTCAATTTCAATTATTTGTATCAAAAATAGCTACAGGCAAATTATTTAAATTTAAAAGACAATAAAATTTATTGGATTGACCTTGCATCTTGGAATTGAAAATTAATAAAAGTGTTCATTTAAATTATGCCGTCTATCAATCACTTTGTATTTAACTCAGTTCCGCATTGCCACAAACTCATTTACTTTGACATAACAAATCAACATTGAAAACTCTGCGTTTGTTCGTCATAAAAAGCAATCACGTGCTGCGATCACGATCGCCGCGTATTGTGATCAATCATCTCGCGATCGATCATTCAAGTCTCTCGCGGCAGTAGCAGAATCATAAAATTCATTAGCGCATCTTCAGAAAACTACTTCTTGTAAAAAAAAAAAAATGTAAATTAAATTATGGTTATTTTCACAGAGATCGTGACCGGCTCTGCAATTACTCATTAATTAAAAAATCATCCCGGTCGTCCCGAGCATCCGTGCGAAACGCCGAGAGTCCGAAACCGCGCGCGCGTGTTCATTCATTCTCGTTACGGCGAGAAGCAGGGCGAAAGGCACGACCTTGGCCAACAGGAACCAAGACCCAGCATGAGTTTTGCAAGCGAAAATCAATTACATACGAGAAGGAGGAGGAGAAAAATTTCGCCAGGTGCTCGACGGATTGGTCTGGAATTTAATTAGAAATTCGAGCCACGTGAGAAAAAGAGAAGAAATTTGGAATTGCTGAAATTGCAAGGCGGATTCCGAAGAGAATTCCGCAAATTGCAAGAAAACTTACCAGAAAATAAATGTTTTCCTACATTTTCAAAAATCTTGTCTTGTTAAATTTCATTTAAAAATATAATTTATTCTTATTAAACGACAGAATTTACATTCCTTTCTTACATAATCCAATAAATTGTACAGCTTCAGAAAAAGATCTAAATTTTTGTTCAATTTTAAAATTCAAGCAATATAAAAAATAATGAAAATTAAGTGATTTAAAAACCTTAAAATATAACAATATATCCAAGTAATTTATTTATAATTTCTTTAAGCTGCAGAGTTTAGAAATTTATCTTTGAAATTTAATGGAATTTTAGAAAACCGCGGCATTAGTGAATGAAAAGTAAAACTGAAATGTCAAATCGAGCCTCTCAATCTGCAGCTCTCTCGGCGTGCTCGTCATTTGAAAGTAACGTAACGGGGGCGGACAGTCTGCATGTCTTGTGGTGTGAGACTGACCTGCGGAGGCGGAGGACACCAGCAGCAGCAGCAAGAGGAGCCCCTTGAGGGCCGGCATGGCGGGGTCGAGGGCCCGCCGGGTGGGCCTTTGAGCCGAATTCGTAGGTGGGTCGGCCGCGGGGCACTCGCGTGGTTCTCGTTGCTCGGTGGTGCTCAAGAGGAACCGCTCTCACGACTCTGCGTTGCACCACGGCTGCCTACCTGTACCTGCCTGCCTGCGCCAAACTTTCACCTCTTGTCTCTCGCGAGTGACGTCACCGGTCCCGGTGCCCACCTTTTCGCACAGATGGCGCGACCTGCCCGACCATCTACCAAGAAAATTCAATAAGCATAAGATTGTGGTGCTTAATTTTATAATAAACGATAACGCATATTTATTAGTGAATGTTTTTCTTCTTTTTTTTTCATTCAAACTCACTGTTATTCTATTGTAATTTCAAGATTAATTTTCATTTTAAAATGATTTGTAATTATTAAAAACGTATTATTTTTTATTTTGCAAATAAATGTTGTTTGTTTTTTCGAACAAAAAACAAAAGCTAGGCCAACAAAGGCTCACTACGGCGGATGGGTTTATTGATATGATAACTAAGTACAATTTTTGCTAAGCCAGGTTTTCCAGCAATTCACAATTTTTCCCTCCCAACTTTGAAATCTATTTTGTTTTCAATGGGAAGAATAAACAATAGAAATACAATTTTAAATTTAAAAAATTTTATATTCCATAACTACTGTTCCATAATATTTGATTGATTGATTTTTTTTAATCTTGTATGTAGAAAAAGGAAATTTTTACTAAAAATGACTTCAATTTCAATGCCAGAAAAAAATCAACAAGACATACAAAGTCAAGCCGAAAAATTAATGAGAATGAATTGTTGAGAAAACGTGCATGCGCTCCTCTCGGCGAGGAGTGCGCCGATGAATGATAATTTTATTCGTGCGGCAAGGTCGTTGCGCACGTTGGCTTTTTCCCAGACGCGTTTAATGCAGAATTTATATGCAGCACTCTTTTTCCTATTAATTTTGCAAAGTGCGTGTTGCAACTTTTGTATTTCGTGTAGCAATAAAATGCAGAAAGTTAAATTGCTCCGATTAAATAAATACAACAAATTGAGGGACAAAAAAACATGCAAGTGCAGTAATTAATAATTTATAATTGAAAACTTTGAAAATTATCTAAAAAAAAAAAAATTAAACACCTAATAAAGGTGATAATTAAAAAGGGATAAAACGTAACATGTTGCATCAAAGAAAATCAAAGTTTTTCTTTTTAAAAATTCAAAATTTTACTATAATTAAATTATAAGCAATAGATTATATTTTTTTGTATGTCTATAAACGGTAGCAATCCTCCGTCTTTTTATCCACAATGATTATTATCTGAATGATTTTATTGTGTAATAAGGATGATATATGTTGAGCAGGACAGCTGTTTGCGCGATGAACCGCAACATTCACAACATGACATTAACGGCGTATACTGCACGTGCGTTATATAACATTTCTTGATTGCAATTTGAATGCCGCTTGACTCACTCGTTTTTTTCCCTCCGTGCGCTGGACATGAAAAATCACCTTGGCAGTAATAATTTTTCTCGGAACGAGTGTGAATATGCAGACGACTCATTTATACACAAAATCTTCTCTGGCCGCAATCACATCGAAGAAAATGGCAACTAGGAAATTATTCGGTGGGTCCTCAGAAAAAAGAGCAACCTTAGCCAAGGCTAAGCAACTCGTTAAACAATAATACAAGGGTCGTAAAAGAACTCATTAAGAGCTGCGGAGACACGCGAAAATAATTTACTTAATTGGCGGTAGTGGTTTCGGTGGCGATTAGTTTTGTCTATAATTAATTAGTAGCAACATTATTCACCGAAGCTTTGATAAAGAATGAGAAAAAGGAAAACGTGAGAACTAGTTATTAAAACTCATTTTTTTCTATTCTTTCGGGAAAAAAACAAGAAAACAAAACGTTCAGTGTATTAACAATTCATAAAGTTGTGTTTTTTTTCTAGTTCAAAATAATTTTTACATCTTTAATCAATGGTAAAATTTTTGAGAAGATATTTTGTGAGGTCAAAAATTAGGTACATAATTATATTTTTATTAATATTGAATTTTTTAAACGAATCTTTCCTCATTCTGATGTTAATTATGCAATGTAGAATCCAGTGTAAAATATCAGGCTAGAAAATGGCACTTTAATTAAATTTTTTCCTTGGAATATTATAATTTATTGTTCATTTATTTGAAACATAAACTTTTTAATGAAATTTAAAATTAAAACTTTTTTCACCAGTCAAGTGCACTGTTTTCAAACTCAAAAAATCTTAAATTCATTGAAAAAATTAATTAATTGATTAATAATCAATTTTTTTTCCGATTTATTCCAGTAAAAATTAATATTTTAATCCATAATAGTGTAGATTTGAAAAGTGCTTTATAATTGAGACACTTTTTCTCTTTTTCGAGCCAAGCACCGCACAAGGTCCAATTTATTTTCGTTGGAGACGACCCAAGTCAAATGTCAGGCACGCTTGTCGGGTGTTGCCTAACGGCGGTTGCGGCACAGCACCCGAATTACCGTGATTTCGGTCGCAATTTTAATTTTTGTGTGCTTTGTAGTAATATTTAGCAAGCCACCCACGTCTTTGTTTGACCAAAATACAGACAAGAATATCGAACGAGGCTGTTTTCAAGAGCGCGGCGGAAGAAGTCGCGGCGCTCGGCAATTTGGAGCCGAGGCCTTGCACTCTCGCGAATGCATCCCCTGAGGCACTTTCACTTGAGCACTGTTGCGTCACAATTATTAATAGGCTGCTGATAACGGCGGCGGCGGCAAGCTTACCTCAGGAGGATCACGTAGCTCGGCGTTGGCGCAACGCCCTCGCCGACATGCTGCGCGTCCTCCCCACGCTTATTCACTTTTCCTCTTGATAAATTATTCAAATTCACGCATAAAACGTTCATTCCACGTTACCCGCTGTTTTTTATGTGGAGCAGAGAATGAGCAAGATGCGGGCTGATGACGATTTTTTTTTCAGCTGAGGAATGCTGCAGCAAAAAAGAGAGCGTCCTTGCATAATTTCCAGATATAATTTGACAAAGCTCGATTTCAAAATTATTTTTGTTAACCGACACGAAACTGTCAGAAATGAGCTTTTGATGGGACAAACAAATTCTGATGGTTTAATTGTGGTTTCCGCCCGTTGCCCAATATTTGCTTCAAGTATTTCACATTATAAAAATAATTTGACTTATAAATTATTGAACGTAAATTTTTTCTGACAAAGATCCGCTCAAAGGGAGGACGGAATAGAATGTGCGAAGTAAAAGTAACAAAAAATGACCTCATGACTAATTTTGTACGGCTCGCTTTAAGTGAAGAGCTGTTCTCATTTTGCGCTGGCCATTTACTTTTTTATAGGAAGGAAATTTATAAAGAGCAAATTTATTGAATTAAATTTTTGAACAAATGGTGCAAAATTTAACAATTGGGTAGAGATTAGAATAAATAAGAGTGACTTAACTATTTTAAAAATTAACACTTAAAGTCAATTTAAGCTTAAGCTATTCAATTTTAAGCAGATTGCAAATTCAAAATTGACTTTTCTGTATACTTTTTCATAGAAAACTAGTTTTTTTTACACGTCTAAATACTGATATTTCTGAAATTAAGATTCCATCATATTTATAACAGAATGTTCTTCCGCTAAATGATAAGCTGAAAATTTTGTATAGTGTCGGACTCAAAAAAAAGTTTGTAGGTTTGAATAAAAACGGAATTCTTAGTCCTAAAAGATCTCAGCTGTGATTATCATGGCTTGAAAGTTTTAAATGGATATCTTTTATTTTCAAACGAGAATTAAAATTAGAAAAACTAGAAATACAATCGACCTTTTGCCGACTAATTTTCCCAGCTCTAATTCAAACTTGCTAATCTTCAGCCTGCTCTGGCAATCCCCAGAAGAGTTGGAATTTTTGTAAGCTTTATAAAAACAGCATATATTTGTACAAAGCATTATCTTCTTTGCCTTTCTGTACACCCAGTCAGCTGGTCGGCCGTTTTAACCAAACGGGAAAAGATTGACGAGGATCTGCAAAAAACTGGTTTGGCGAAGGGATTCCCTTTCGGTGATGCCAACGCGAGACAAAAAAGGTCAATCGCGCCCAGACGAGCCGGCAAACCCCATTTAATAAGCAAGATCATCATTTACAGGCACAATAGAGGAGTAAGAAGTTATTTTTGAAGGGAATTATTCCACCTGCAGCGACGGCAGGGTATAAGCAACGAGTCTGCATACATATGAGGCCCCCGCACTACTAGCTCAGGCCGCTTTCACTGAGCCGTGAGAGCTCCGCCTCTGGTGAAATCTTCCATCTAGCCAGCAGTCTCACTCGCTAGTGCCTCCGAAGGAAGACAAGTTGCCGAGCGGCTCTTCACGCACAACGAAATTGGATGGGCCTGGGCCGCTCAGGGCCCCTCTCCCAGGGCCCACACTGACCCAGGTAAAAATCTGACCAAAACTCGAAATTTCACAGACGAAAATCGGTCAGGCGGTTTCGATTAGTTTCTAATTAAGTGTCGCCAGAAATGGGCGGCCCGCGTGTCGCAACGATAAATCGCCGATTTATACCTGCAGCTGCAATGGCACGTTCGCCGGAGCAGAGTGATGCACTTACAAAACAATGAGAAAGTTGCACAACAATGAAACTAAATGCTCCGGTCGAGCAGCGCGAGTTGAGCGCCGTATCGGGTTAATTGTGCAAACGATTCGGATAACGGACACTTTCAAAACTTCCAAATTTTCTATCCCCAAAAATGTAAAGTTTGAATAGCTTGAAGCTGGAACTCTTAGAAGTATAAACAACGTGCTATGCCTTGTGCGAATTTTTACGCGCCGTTTCACACAAATCCGCGCCAAACGCTGCAGTTTGCTAACTCTTCTGAATTGTCGTTATGCGCCAACTTTTTATCGCTGTCATCTATTTTGACGCGCGCAAAATGTAAATGAATGTCCCACTTTTTTGTTGCTGCAAAAAAATTGAATATAAAGTTTTGCGAAAGGCGTTGGTGTGTGACCTCTGAATATTTATTTATTTGAAACAATATCCATTGTGAATGTCAAAAGGAGTGTCACGTCCTCCCCGCCGAAATGCCGAGTGCCCCCGAATCGGAGAAGATCGATTGATCGGCGGCTGGTCCACCTGGGGTCAGGTTTGCTGCGTGATTTCCGCGACCCTGGCCGCAAGGTCGCGACCTACAAGGCCCGAGTGCCAGGTGAACGAGGCCGCCTCTCAGTTTCACAGTGCCCTGCATGCAGGCAATACGCGGCGACCGCATCACTCCGCTCAGGTGAGAGAACATAACCCGAATTTTACTTTGAAAAAGCTCTCAAATCGCTTATTATTGCTCAAAAGAAGAGGCCAGATTTATTTCAGTTCCAGGAATTAATCATTTAAAGAGTTTTCCTTGGTTGACGTAATTAAAGTCTTGTAAATTAATTTTTGGTTCTCGGAAACCAACAATTTTATTGCATTACCCGATTTGAATTTAACTAATGAAAGGCTGATTAGTTTGCGTGTACCAATCGAGCTGGCTGCTTTATGGCGGCTGCATCTCACCTGTGAGAGAGTGAAACTGAAAATTTTCATTTCGTCTCGCGCATATTTCACGAGCTCGATTAGCGAGAGGCACGGAATGCGCCCGAGAAACTCGATTTTATACGTATCGTAGCAACATAGACGTAACGCCGAGTGAATGTATTGTGTGGTGCTAGAGATTCAGAATTCACATTTTATATTTTACTCACTCAACCGTGGCAAGAAAGTCCAGCCGCTCGTTGATTGTTGGACACTTGAATCACTTTTCATCGGTGGCTTTTTCAGAAAAATATTAACGATAAAATCGACAGACAATTGGAATTAGAGGCGGGATTTCTGATAAAAATGTTTTTGCTTCCCTGTGGGTCAATTCAAAGCGTTGGTTTTAATCGTTTTAATTTTATAACGTTCAAGTGTTAAATTAAATTAAATAAATTTGGTGAGAAGTGATATAAATTTTAACATCAATTCCTTGGTTTCTAATTTTAATTCTAGAATGAACAAACCATTTTGTCCGCTTACCCTTTGGCTATTAAGTTGCGAAATATCTTCAGATTGCAAAAATGACGCACTACCTGAATTTGCACATCTTCAATATCACAGCGCAAAAAGAGCCGGTGAAATTGGCACCAGCAAAATTATTCAAAGTGCCCATCTCGCATGACATTGTAACGTTATTATAACAATTTGCTGCCACCGCTTTTTGCCGAGCTATGATCTTGAACGGGGAAAACATACATGACTTCACACATTCAGTCATCCACCTGTGGTGAGATGCTGCGCGAGATGATTATTATTTCCAAGCTTATCTCATTACCATGCTGCGGAGGTCAATGGTAATGGTCTCGACGGCAATTTCCACGAACGCTTCACAAAACAAGCGGCTAGAATTTAAAATTTCGCCACTCGCGTATATGATTCACTGTTGAGGAAAAAGAGTCGGCGAGGAAGAAAAATAAATTAAAATATAAATTCCGGGAGGAGGCGAGAACGGCCGTGAATTCATTCCGGTTGATACAAAATCTCCGGCTTGTGGGTTCGTAAACACATCCGCGTCTCAACAGAAAGAAAAAAAAAACACTGAAAATTGAATACGGCTAACGCAGAGCAATCGCATCTGCATGTGGCAAGGTGCAATTAGTGGCCCGGACAAAATACCGATTGAAAAGCCCGCAGGCCGAAAAGAGAGATCCGCGTTGAAGAAGAGGCAAAAAACTTGAGATCCTTTTTAAAAAATTTCTCCGACTTTTACAGAGATAAGCAGCGACCGGGAGTGCAGAAAGAAGAAGAAGTGCCATGAAGGGCTGGTTCGACGCGTTCCGCACTGATGGCGGGCCCACCCTGTACAGCCACTCCAACAGGACGGCGGTCACCGGCGACTCCGACCTCATCACTGTCATCGTCGTTTTCGGCACCCTCTTCCTAGCGTTCCTAATTATCTACCCTGGCGTCCGAAAAGAGGTGAGTTCAAATTAAAAAAAAAACCTTTTTCTAATTTAAAATCTACTAGACACCAAAATATCGCAATTTTTATACAATGCCTGCACTGCTTAATTAAATAATTAAATTTAAAGTTAATAATTAAATAATTTAATAAATGATTTAATTATAAACTTCAAAAGGAAGAAACAAAAATTTGTAAATCTGAAATACAATCGTTATAAAATGACTATCTGAGCAACATATTTTTTCTCACAATTAATTTTGGATTAATTATTTCAAAAAATCGTCATAAAATATTTATTTTTGAAGATTTTAAAAACGTCAAGAAAATAATAATTGTAAAAGATAATTTTCAAAACAATTTTGAATTTTTCTGCTCAAGATTTCATGCAATACAATTCCTTTTAAATATTCTTATATGGTGGTTGCCTTACACCAATCTACGTAGAAAGAACTTTCAAAAAATATTTGTAAACATAACAAGCTGTTGGGAGCGACCTTGCCGGACTTTACGTCATCATTCAGACCCAATAATAAACAAATAATTACAAATTCCAATCAGACCAAACCGGAAACCCTCGTTTTCAACTTAACCGCTTCAAAATACTCGCATTTAAGAAATAGCCACAGGAATTGACGTTTTTCCGTTTGGCGCCAGACGAAGCGTGCGATCGCCCTTTGCAGTTTTAAGGATTTTTTTTAAGCAATAGCGAACGATTCCGGCATTGCAGTGCGGAATTCCCTGTCTCGTGGTGCACGTAGGGCACACACGCGCTATAATTGAGCAAGACCAGCGGCAGATCGCGACCTTGGCTGCGACGCGATCGAGTTCCTGCTGCAGGTCCTGTTCCTCGGCAGAGTCATTGTCCTGAGGGAACGCACGATTCTCTCTCTTTGCGGCTCTATTTCTTTTTAAGAATGCATATATATGTATGAGTTGAATAGAAATAAAAATGAACTCTTTTGTTGCAGCGCGTCTCAACCTTCATGAGCGTCACGCTCAGCCTCTTCGTCGGCTCCTCCATCCTGGGTGAGTTTTTTTTTTTCAAAAGTTTTCTCCTTTTTTTGCTCCGCTTTTGTGTTTGCTCGAGTTGTGGAAAATGTCGGAAATTGAGATGCGGCGAGGTTGGCCGTCGTCGCAGGAGCATTTTGCTCTGCGTGACAATGACCCACTTTCGGCGCAAGCAAGGATGGTTCTTCTCACTTTCATTTTCTCACAGCCACCGGCGCCGTCGCGTTCGGATGTGCGCGTTATTAATTGGCCTGTGCGGGAAATCCTTTGAGCAGAGGCAGCCACTTGGAAAGTTTCTCATTTTTAAAATTTTGAAAAATAAATAAAATATGTCACTTCTGCTGGCGTTTGGAGAATTTTGCACTTTTAATTTTTGTTCAAATGGAGACGTCATTGTTTGTCAACCTCGGTAATTAGACTCGTTGAGCTAATTGACCGCGTGGGCGCCAAAAGTGGTCCAAAAAATAGTGGACAAGTACCATAATAATAATTTCCGCCGGTCGGAATGCGCAGCAGTTCACTATTTAGTCCCGAAGTGAGTGGCGTGTTTGTTATAAAAGTGAATGGTTCACTGACATTGAGTGGAGGAAAATTACTTTTGACCTTCTGCTCCCCCCTCGCACTGATGCAATTCCTCTTTCTTTCTTTATTTGCTCATTTTTTTCGGTCCACATCGCCGAGTATACGAAAATAAATGAAAATTTATAATATATTATAAGCGGCGTCGGTCTGCAACTTTTTTCACACTTTCACTGCTCGTGCATTCCTCCATGATACAGCAGCATTCAAATTCCGAATAATGACCGTGAAATCGGATTATCGCCGTTTTTGTGCTGTGCATGAGGAAATATACTTTTGCGGTTTTCGGCCTTTGTTCAAATTCATTTGGACTCGATCGAGAAGATTCGATTTTCCACACTTGTACAGCACAACTGGTCTTTGGAAAGAATCTACATTGATTCTTATGTAGCGTCTCAAATTTTGCAACTTTTCCTTTAAACTGCTTTCCTTGTTGTCTTTAATTACGTAATTGGATTAAACGGGGACGATTATATTCTAAAATAATATGTCATGCAAAATGGCAAGAGCTAAGTAATTTTAATTGAAAATTATGAAACATTACCTAAATCAAAATATTTGAAAAAGAAAATTCTTTGTTAAATCAAAATGAAAAAATGTGAGATTTGATTGCTTTCCTTAAAATTTCTGCGTATCTCAATTTTCTATTTATTTTAAACAATCGTGATATGTTATTATTTAAAATTTATTTATTTATTTTTGTATATTACATCATCTAATAACTAAACAATTAAAAAATTATTTCCGATTCTTTTCCTTAACATTGTTCTAATCAAAAATTGCATTACATTTACCTCAGATCCTAGAAATATTATTTTTTTTAAGCTTTTACCTTTTTGAAATTTCAGCAAGTCAGTGCGGTTCAGGATGGCACGTGGCGTGCTCGCCAATCGTCAGCGCGTACCAAGCGTTCTCGCGCGAAAAGATCTCAGCCTCGCTGGGGGCGTACGTGGGGTTGAACCACATCAACGTCACCCTCAACGCCCCGCAGGTCAATGGCTCCGATGTCAACTTCAACGAGCGGTTCGCGTGGTCGGCGCCAAACGAGATGCAGGACCGATACCGGGACGCCCTTTACCGGGGACTGCCCTTCCCAGTGCTCACCGTCGCCGAAGTCCTGCAACTCGACCAGGAGGGCTTTGCGTGGGGCAGGAACTACCGAGCTGCCGGATACTACACTTGCATCATGCTTTGGTGAGTGCAATTTTCTATTAAATTTTTAAACTTGGTAATGCTAGTTGCATAATTATATATTTTTAATTAAATGAAGATAATTAAAAGTTAAGGAAGCAATCTCATAATTTATTAATAGACGAATGCTAATTCCGTTATTTTTTTAATTCTTCTCATTGTTTGAATAAAGTGTTAATTAAAGATACAAATGTTTTTCAATTATTTTACAAGAAATTAGAAATTAATTTTTCAACCAATTGTTTATCTTGAGGTGAAATACTCAATTTTAGCATTAAAATTACAATATTATTATTATTATTAAATTTCAATGAAATATAGTTATTAAAATTCAATGTTTAATCATAAATTGAAAACCAAATTATCTTAAATATTAAAGAAATTTATGTAATTAATAAAAATAAATATACATTTAATTAAATTTAAATATGGCATAAAAGTTTTCTTGTGTCGCAAACACTTTATGAGAAAAACTTTTCAAAACTCTCTATTTAAAATACAATATAATGATCTACGGCTAAAACTTGTATTATTTATTAAATTTTCAATTAAATTTCATAGGGCCGCTTTCACGTCTTGGGTCCTGATGAACATTCTGCTGATGGTGGTGCCGCGCTACGGCGCCTACACGATGGTCCTGACTGGCCTGCTCGTGCTCAGTGCCGACCTGACGTACCTGTGGCTGCTGCCGGACGCGCCGCTGCAAGTCAGGTTTGAGGTCGGCATTCTCAAGTTCGAGCTGGGATGGTGCTTCTGGCTCACACTAATTGCAGGTGCGTTTTTTGTTTGCTCTCCGATCGACTTGGAGGCCGACCGACTTTTTTGTTTCCAGGCGCGATTTGCTCAGCCATCGGACTGGCGATCGCCTGTCTGGATCTCGTCTTCCCGCACCACTTCTCGACCATCCTCGAGGTCGACTACGACACCCCGTACGACAGACACGTGATCATCGAGGACAGTCGGTACCGAGGACGCAAGAAGAAGAGCGGATCCATGTCCAGCAACAAGTCCGGCTCCCTCGAGGAACCACGTTCGCCCTGGAGCACCAGGATTCTCAGGTTCGTAATTCAGATATAGTGAAATTTAAAAATATTCATTATCTTTAGTTTAATTCAAAAGATTTTTTGATACAGACAAAATATTTAATGTAAAAATTAGAATGGGAAAACTGGAAACATAAAAAAACTTTTTAGAAAATTATATAATTTATTTAACAATTAAATGTTTCAAATTAATTATAAAAATTTAAATAAATCTGCTTGAAAGAATTTTTTTATATTTAATAGTTTTCACAAAATTGTGATGAATACAAAATCCTTCAGTTCATTTACTATTTCATCATACCTTCACTGGCGTGAAAACCAGCGTAATTTTTATAGTTCTTTATAACAATCTAAAGCTCATCAAGGTAGCGTCCTGAGCTGTTGTAGGTTTCAAGTCATGTAATTTTCAGGGACTTTTCGCCTACGCTGTTATCTAGTTATATAACTATGATTTATTAACAAGCTACTAATTTATTTATAATTAATATCAAAACTAATACATTTTTCTTTACTAATAAATAGCTACATTTTACATTAAATACATATTAATAGTTTATTTTTGAAGATTAAACGATAAAAACATTATTTAAGGCTCAAAACACTGAATTATAAAGGCCGAGGTTATAGTTTGTTGCACCCTTTAAATGCGTAAATAATTGATTGAAAAAGTTGGTGCCCCAGAAACACTCATCAACAATTTTGGCACATTTGCATGCCACGAGCAACAAAAGTTGTGGCACAAAATCAATGCGAAATTAGTTCAGCAATGCAAAGCAGCCATAGCAATTTCCGCCCTATTCAACGGCCACAACTTAAGAAGTTTCTTGCAAATCGAACTTGATCTCTCAGCACCCGTTAATAGTTTTTGACCACGCACTCGGCGTGAAATTATAGATGCAATCGCGGCTCGCCTGATTCGAAAAGTTTATCGCCCTCTGCGGCCGTCGTTGGATAAAGAGGGAACTCTGCGATTTCAATGACCGATGTAATTGTAGAAGACTTGAGTCGACCTAGCAAGGTCGCCTTTAATAATAATACGTTTAACGGCTTCTGTCGAGACACTGGCTGTAACTTTCCTTTAAAAATAAATTTATTTTTATTTTATAAATGTGCGTGCCTGCTGAGATCTTGTGCAATTGATAGTGCGAGTTGAAAAATATTCTGCACTTTTAACGTGTTTAGCCACTCAAGTCGCTCAAACTTTGAGTTTAGATCGTCAGTTTAGATTCAGCAATTAATTTAAACAAACAAGAATGTAGCGCGGGGGTCAAAAATCAAGGAGACAAAAAGAGTTATTAAAACTAAAAATAGAAGTTGAGCGCGTCGTAATTAAAAATGTCAGACAACCTCGAGTTTAAATAATGATGAGAATAGCGCGTAAAGCTGTCATATTCTAAAAAAAAGGGGTATTGCAGACTGAGCCTGTAACCTCATTAATTGTTTATTCTATTGTTATTTGAAGAAATTATTTAATTCAATACTTTTTTATTTAGGAATTCTTATTTAGAAAACAAAGGTGCGGATTTCGGCGCCTAGTTTAGCTTAAGTCGTTCGATTTTCATTATAATATTTTATTATGTATATTTTTTTTTTTACAATTTATTCAAATTTTAATCGTATTTTTAATATTTTCTCGTCTTAAAACCAATCACAAAGCTCATAGAGGAAATGTAAATATTTAATTAATAAGACTTTCTATTTGTTTTAATTAATGGCTAGAAATTTAAAGTATATATATGGATATTTTATCATTTAATATTTTTTCACAGTAAAAATTGTCAAAATTTTGCTAACAAAGAACTCCTTTTTCAGGAGACTGAGCAGCAAGCAGAAGTTGGAGGGTGTCCAAAACGCCGGCTTCGAGAGGGACGCGCCCAAGTCGCCGTGGAACTACCCGCACCTGATGCGGCACCACGAGGCGGCCGCCCCGCCCCACCGTGGCCTCTCGCGAGTCTACCCTGGCAAGTTGACGGCGGCCGATGTGGCCAGGCAACGCCTCGAGGACTGCCGGATGCCGGCGTTCAAGCGGCAGGACAGCAACGACAGCATGGCCAGCTCGACGGGCTCGTCCCTAGGCCTGGCCGTTCTGCTTCGGTCGGGCTCGTACACGACGCGGCCGCCGCCGGCCAGGGCCACGTCCCAGCACTGACGGAAGCAAACACGATATTTATTTATTGTATTCTTGTGATCGACCAGTCGGTCTGCGCGGACCGACGATTCCATTCAAATGCTCTTTGCTTTAGTCATGTAAATGCCAAACGAGTGATTTTAATTTTTCTGATTAAAATAATTATACATTATGCGCGTGTGAGAGGGTGACTAATTTGCTGCATGTAAATAATTTTATAGAACTTGCTAGTGTGACGAAAATAAATTTAATTTAATTGAAAATTTCAAACTCTCGACTTTTATTGTAATTAATATAATATGTATGATGGAAGTGGAATGCAGTCAAAACTGGAGGGTTATGCAACCTTTGCGACTCCGATGAAGTGGGGTTGCATAACGTTTATTTGAGCAGGCAGGTTAGAATCGTTCAGCAATAGGAATTAATTAAGTTGAATTAAGTAATGGATAAAATCATATATGCGTATTTCCTTGATTGACTAATAAATTTTCTTGGTTTATTAATTTATTGTATTTCATATTCTATCTGAATGGAGAATAAATAAATAAATAAATAAATAATAAATAAATTAAGCTAAGTAAATTTAAATTAAATAATATGGAAATTTCTATGAAATTGGAAAAAATGGCTGTCATTTGATGACTAAAGCCACGTTGTTTTATGGAAATTTAAATTTTTTTAAAATGACATTTTTTTGAAGTTAATTTTGAGATTTACTATCAAAAAGAGTTGCAAAGAATTTAAATTTTGTTTATTTTTAAATTGAGAATTAGAAATTTTTTACACTCGCGTTAAAAAACTTACACAGAAAATCTTTTGAATGAGCTCCCTGTAGTAAACTATCAGGGCCTCATTAACACCATTCGAATTTTATTAATTTGTATTTAATTTTCTTTTTGGGGAAAATATTTAATATTTAAAAGTGCATTATCTTTCCACATCAATTACACTCATCATTATAAAGTGCTTTCAGATATGTTCCCTATATCGTAGCAAAATTATTAAAAAAAATATATAAATATCAAATGAGATTAAAGCGCTAGAAATACACAAAACGAAATATTTAAACAAATCTGAACCCTAAAACGCTAAATTTTCAAGAAAATAATTTCTTTTTTCTGTTTCGAAAAGTCACTATGAATTTAGATGAAAATCGAATAAACAATGCCCATGATTGTCGTTAAAAGTTGGACCCTCGTTTGGTGCAAGGACGTGAAAACCACCCCTTTCTATTTTACGATCGCGCCACCCGAATTCCAAAGTAAGGTCAGCCCGTGTGGTGTTTTGGTTTATTTTGGCCGCCGCGTCTTAATTGCGGCAGGTCAACTTTAATGAGCAAGGTCGAATCGATTAAGCGCACCCCTTGGCATAGACCGACCCGAAATAATTTCACGTGTGAGAAAGCGGAGAAAATCTCAATGGGTATAATGAGATGCGTCCAATTATAAATTTTGCCGCACGTGTGACAAAGGAAAAAAATTAAGGCGAGAGAGAAAGAGAGTGCAGCAGCATCTTATCAGCGTCGTGTTTTATTGAGCCTCGTCCGCATGTCGCCCGCTCGCTTGTTCTCTCAGCCATCTTGCATATACACGAGTTGAATTACAGCATGTTGCGTGTGTGCATGGCAAATATGTAAATAGCCCGGCAATAAATCAGCCCCACCGCCTCTTATCAGCGCGCATATAATACCCTTGGCTCTTAATTGTGCGGCACCACCGCGTCGCCCAGCTTAGTTCAATTGCAAGCTAGGTGCAGCAACTAATTAATGCCGCCGGTCGGTCGCTTTTCCGCGGAAAGAGCAGCCGTGGCGTGAATGGCGACAAGAGAATTTTTTTTGTATATTTACGACCGGGACAAAGGACATGGTGGTGTCGTGTGTGTGCCGAGGGCAATTTACGGGCGACGGAGATTTGTGCGATAATTTTACGTTGGGGTAATTTAGACAGAGTTCGGCTTTTTGGGTGTTAACAAGAAAGCATTATTTTCCACTCAGCATTCCGCTTGAATGGTCTCGATTCACGAATGACTTATCACTCGATCAGATAGCAAATAGATTTTCCAAATGGAGAAAATTGTTGAAGGTTTCCGTTTTATTAATCGCAAGTCTTTTAATTGGAGAAAAAAGCAGTTCATAAAAAATCATAAAACTAAAAGGGAAATACAGTAACTTTGATGAAATAATTGAAATAAAAAGTTGTGGTGTTCCAATTTTTTTCTTCTCAAATTTCTTAATTAATTGAAGTCAATTTTCCTTGCTTACAATTAGATCATAACCGGAAATTGAAATAGAAACTTATTGTTTTTAATAAACAATATCTATGTAATTTCAGTTAATGGTTGAACTACACTACTGTACAGATAGACTCGTCATTTTTATAAATTTAAAATCGATCACAAAATTGAAAAAGTTGAAATAAAAAGTCTTCTTCTTGCAATAGAATTAATAAAAATTCCAAACCTTGTGGTATCAGTTAATTTATGAACATTCAAAGAAATTAAAAACATTATAACTTCCCTCCTTATACTTTGAGAAAGAAAATTTTACAGTTACAAAAAAAAAATTGCTTGAACGTCTTTCCCTGAACTTTTGTTTAGCAATTCGTTTTCGCATCAAAATTTTTACGATTAACGGCCGGAATAAATTAACTTTGTCCTTGTCTTAAAAGCCAATTGAAAGGAAAATGATCCGTCATTAATGAATTTTATGATTCATTAAGAGCAAGGTAGTTATTGCTTTTAAAAACGAACTCAAGGATGTTCAAGCAATCAAGTCGGAACTGATTGTGAGAGTGCAAAACTCGAGTCATTTTTCCACGTTGGCTTTTTCCGCATGTCAAAACCGAACACATTCGCGAATGTCGTATGATAATTATAATTGAATTCGACGGTGTAGCACGCACGAGACGAAAAATGAAAGATGGAAGTGGGTGATTTATGCGGCGGCAGACCAGGGTCTTTTGATAAAATTCACGCTCCCTTAGAGAGGCGGAACACAACAGAGTTCACAACCTCGGCAAGTGTCGCTCCATCATTTGTCACCGCACAGGTGCGAAATGAGTTATTCGTCGGATCGATAATAAAGGACGTGTGGCTATTGTAAAGGCTCCACATAACAACTTTCAAAAGATCGGAATTCCAGAGTTCTGTGATACGTAAATCTTTACGTTAAGGTCAAAATGTTCATTAGAAAATTACAATTGAAAGAAGCTGTTGAAAATTCCAAATGAGAAACACAAAAAAATTACTTTCATTTGGAAAGAGTAAAAAATTTATGAACAAACGTTTTCATCCTCAACCATTACGCAAAGGACTATAAGGATCTTCAATACACAATATGAATGTTTTTGAAGCTTTAATATCCGCATAGGAATTTTTTAAAGCGATGAAAATTAATTCGGAGCGATTTCTCATCAGCAATAAAAGCAGCAGGTGTTTGTCGGAGAAATCGTATGTGTCGCAAGCGAGCGACTCTTCATTCATTTATCTATTTATCACAATTAATTACAACATGCAACTTGCTCAATGCAATGCAAACACAGAGCTCAGCGTACTAGTTATCTGCGAAAGATTCAAAGTTGCAACGGTAATTGCTGCGGGGAGATTGTACTGCGAGAGAGGAAGGTTATCGCTCGCTCCGATCGGCACTCACTCGTTTTTAATAAGCGGAAAAGGGTTGCAATGATTAGCCTCGCGGACTTCAACTAGCATATTATGCGAACGCGTGTATTGATATTCAATCTGCCATCAAACTGGATGAGAAATTGGAGGAAACCGTCAAGGCCGATTATTTCACATTTGCAGATCGAATTTCCCATATCGAATTCTTGTAAATTGAGACGATTAAAAGCCTAATTTTTAATTTTAAAAAACCCAGGTGATGTTGATTAAAATAAAAAAATTTTAAACTCGATATGCTAAGGAAAATAATACGTGAATAGTTAAAATTAAGAAACATTCATTAATGGATAAAATTTGCACCAGCGATGAATTTTATTAGCTTAAAATAAGCCTTTCTGTATGTAACATTTGATCATCTCAGTGATATTGATTGTGATTTCTTTATAATTTTACCATCATTTTAGAGACAAATTTCCATCATTTCCATGCAACTGAAATAAATTAATAATAATTAAGGATAAAATAAAAATTGCTCCTGAATCTAATATCTTATCAAAATTTGAGAGAGTTAAAATTGTTTAAAACTTCACAAAATTAGCTTCTTATTTTTTCACTTCAAATAATATCACAAAAATAATCTAATTTGCTTCCAAAGAACATTGAATTATAAATAAAAGTTCAGAGAAAATTCAGACTCTTTTCCCTTGAAAAAGTGCCTACATAACTTCCCCTTGGCCCCACTCACCCCTACGCGTGCGAAATCAGTTTCAACGATGCGAGAGGGCCGACTGGCTAACTCGAGCCGAACGAACAAACCCCTGTCAGGGTGGTCAGGGTGTGTTGCGCCCCGCCCGAGGAGGCCAGCAAGCCCGCGAGACAAAGGTGCCGTCCGTCGTCAGACTGAGACACGGGCGTCTCGCTCCCTGGTTTTATCAGCAAAGAGCAGTTTCTTATCAGAACAGAGACTAAAGAAAGAACCCCTTCCGTCGGGCGCTTAAAACAATAAAAACTAAGCTGGCTGGCAAACGAGTGCGTGCTGAAAGAGCACGAAAAACCGCTAGGTGGACGAGGAAGAATAATGAGGTGAAAAACGAGAGGAGATTTTCTTTCGAGACGTGCACGACGCTGCGTTTGGTTGCATCAGAAGAAAGGAGTGTGCGAGTGCATTTTCAGCCATTCATTAGAAAGACGTTTTTATCACCAATAATTGAGTGTATTTTTGTATTTTTATTACTTTTATCTTCAAAATTAAAATTGAAAAAGTTTACCAAAAATATAAAATTATTTACAAATTAAAATTTCATGAACAAAATTCAACTCTCACACATTTTCCCCTTATTGGAATTTTTTATTTCTTTATGATATTTATTTGAAAAACTATAATTTTAGAATTATTAAATTTTTCAATGACTTGACTAAAAAGTTAGGCTTTTCAAGTAGTTGATTTTGGAAGTTTTGATCTTTGTAATTTAAACTAAAAGAAAAATATTCATTTTATAAGTTTTAAAAATTAAAATTTCGATACTCAAAAGACAATTTAATTATTATTTTTAGCACTTTCTTGACTGGTGCCACTGATGGTATGTTGGAAAACTCACCCAGCAACACCACACTTTTCTTCTTGAAAATCAAATTATGTAAATATTTAATCCTTACCAATTGCATTTTTAATGTCAAGGTTGTTTCGTGAGATATTTTTAACGGAGATCATCGAATAATGCTTTCGAATTAAGCGTGACCCAACCTTCATCAAAATCTAGTTTAAACAACTTGCATTCTGGATCGATGAAAGAGTTGTAAATGCATTATGAGCTTTGCTTGCACCGACATTAGTTTTATAGATTTCCATGCAGCATATAACAAAAGCTTATCTTGAAATGATTGCATTTATATACAGATCAATACAGATCAACGCTAATTATATTAATTTTTTATAAATTATTCAACAGAAATCCATAATTTAAAATTTGACTAGCAAAAAAAAATAAATAAATAAATAGAAACTGTTTTTATTTTGCAGCTAACAACGTTTTGGGAAATTTGCTCATTGAGGCTGCACTTGACCTTGCAATTAGGTTAATAGTCATGATATAAACCCAAAATTGTTCGTTGGACTTGCACATACTCCACGTCTTTTCTGTTCTGATAGAGCAAAACTGTCTTAACTGTCGCGACAATCTGGCAATTTGCAAATTTGCCGTCGACGGGGAAAAAACAAGTCGTGTCGCATAAGAGCTGTAAACAAATAAACTAATAAATTCCACCCCTAGCTTGTAGCTCGGCGCGTCCTTGGCCTCGGTGGTCAGCGGATTGTTCATTTTTTCCGGTTCGCGTAACGCACGGCTTTGTTGGATATTATATGTTTATCAAAAGAAAAAAATAACACACGCGCTGAAACCGAACGCGAAATAAGAGAAGAAGGAAAGAAAGGGCGCGATAATGATTATAGCTGTTTACCACACAAACACGCATGGAACCCTTGCATTTCGCCAAGGACACGCGAGCCGAGCGCCGACTCATGCGTGGTGCTCGCGTGACAAGGGGTGGCTGGTACGAACCCTCGGGGGAGGTTTCCCCGCCTCGACGCGGTCATTGAGCACGGCGGTCTTGATGCCTGCACACCGGGACAGGTGCTCTGTTCTTTTCACCCTTCGCCAACCAGGTTAACTTTTTTGCTTCTCAGGGTGGCTAGGGACGCGAGGCCCTCAACTTGTCGCAGCCTGCCCAGCGCCGCGGAGGCCAAGAAGAGGAACCAGAAGTTGCTTGTGGTGAGAAAGACGATTTTGCGTGTGGCTTGCGTGTTTCGGTGAAAACGGGGATGAGTCGGATATTAAGGGAGGCGGATTTTTTTATCGTATTCAAGTTAAGCAGGAGGCGATTCATTCATGCAGGCACTAATTTTGAGCGGCTTGGGTTGGATTAGTCGAGTAAAATACAATATTATCATCATTTAAAGTCTTGGATTGTGGGTTAACTGCATATGTAGCGAAATATTTATTTAAATGGCGAAATATGTTAATTATCTTTCTGAAAATAAAATTGTGGAGTGTAAAATAGGAATCAAGTTGTTCAAAAGACTTAATCTTAATGGATAAACTTAACTAAATTTTATGTCAGAATTTCTTTGTTCACTATTTTAGTCAGCAAATAAAAAAACAATTTGAAAAAGGGCCATTCTTGACTGCTTTATTTAAAGTGATTTAATGTTTTAAGAAAGAAGAATTGATCCTTTTTAATTAAAAAAAATTAGTTTTCAATTTCACAAATAAAATTAGCCCTCAACAGTGATTTCTTACTCGAATTTAAAAAATAAATAAATAAATGACGTTTTCAATACACTTCCGGTGAAAAATGTATGGAAATATATATTTTTTTTTAAAAAAACGTATTTAATGGATATATTATAAATTTTATATTATAATGAGCCTGAAATTTGAATATGCGATATTTCTTTATGTTAAAAACAAAAGCAGCAAAATATATTTAATTGTTTCTTGTGTAATGGAATTGTAAATATAGTCAATTTTGAAAATATTTTAATAACTGGAACACAAAATAGAAACTCTAACGACGATTTTTTTTTATAAATTATCAGATCAAATTTTTTAATTTTGATTTTAGGAATTGGAGCAGAAGCAAGCGATCTTGCACTCGTTGAAATCCTACTTCCCCGCGCACGAGGTGCTCAAGCGCCTTCTGGCAGACCTATGATGTCCTACGGTCCCCCCGTCGACCTTTCCTTCCACCACTGCACCTTGGACAAGATCCTGAGCAAGGAGCCGCGCCAGGGTGCCCTGCCAGTGATCAAATCCGAGTTCGGGGGCCTCATGAGCGCCTCCCTGCGTCTCAGCAACAACCGCATCCAGAACCTGAACCTGCTGCCAGCAGTGGCCTGCAGGTTCCTGGAGTACCCTGAGGCGTTGGCCTGGCTCGACCTCAGCTGCAACCAGCTTTCCGACAACCCAGTTGAGCTCAGGTTTTTTCCAGGTACTAAACTTTAGAAATAAAAATGTGTTTTTATGTTGTCGATTGCCAAAGCCTTATTACAAAGCCCAATTAAAGGTTTTCCATTATTTGAAATTAATAAAGTTTAAAAAGTCTCCAACAGAAAAATTTTTAAGTCACTTTTTGAATTATAATTTGACTTTAAACTAATTAAAATTATGTCGATAATTAAAAAAAGTTGTTAACAACTTTTAACTTCTATTTTATAATTCCAGGGTTGCGTCTTTTGTACCTGCATGGCAATCGTCTGACCGACCTGCATGGCTTATTGGCAGTGTTGCGCGATTTGCCTCACCTCTACGGCCTCACCCTCTTTGGCAACCGTCTGCCTGAGAAGTACAGAGCGGCCGTCTTGCGAGCCTTGCCGCATCTCAAATCCCTCGACTTTTGCAATGTGAGTCTTGCAGACAGACAAAGAGCATTTCACGAAGAGTGGCATTGAACTGCCAGTTTATTTAAATAAATCTTGGTCACAACTATATTTGATCCGCTTGCGGGGCAAGTGGAAAATAAATACATTGGTTGGATGGAAGTCTCTTGAGAGCTGCTCTGAGATTTTGAGCTTCAATTGTGAGAGGAAATGTCCGCCTGAATTTTTAATCACATTTTCCAGAAAAATGTCATGGTTACGGAAACTTTTACAGACTTCAATTTCACTGCATTTAAGCTCTATGGCAATGTTAAGGTATTTTTATGTTGCATTCAGTTGCTTCGGAAGAATAATAATTTAGGAGTAATAATGTTTACCACTAAAATTAGCTTCAACAATTGGAATTGAAACTCTTATATAAATATTTGGCAGACGCAAATAATAAATACTTAAGTTTGAAGAAATAACATTTAAAAACTTTCATTGGTCTAGCTTGAAACCCAAGTTTAGGAATCTACATCAAGTGGCTTTTTTCTTAAAAAATATTTGTCCGTGCTTTAAGATTCAACAAATTTTAACTTTAAAATAATAAAATAGACAACCAATCGGACATAAATCCAGCACCTGCCGATTTGTTAGCAGCTGTGAAACTAAACCTGCCAGCAGGCTTAGATGGGTATGTCCTGAGGATCGAACTCGGAGAGAAAGTTGATGACAAGAGGCGCCATGTGCTGAGGGTCATTGAGGTGCAGATGGTGAGTGCCCTCGACCTCGTGCCTCTCCAGCCGCTTTGCTCCAGCACGAGTAGCCTCGATCACCTCATGGTAAAAGTTTTCATTGTCAAACACCATGCCTGGTTTTCCCTGAAGACATTATTGCCAATTCTCAATGATTTTGCCAATATGAGGAAAAGACACAGCAACCAAACAAAAAGCATGAGGACTTCAAAACCAAAAATATAGCTCAAGCTTGTGCAAAAAACCAAATAAATTTTGCAAGTGTGTACCAATAAAGCTTTACGTAAAATAAAAAATTAAATTGGTCCTACCTTAATGTTGAGGATCTCGCAACGAATGGCCTTGGCAAACTCAATAACTAATTCTCTGGAAAATGGAGCTAGGCCGGCAATCTTCAAGCGGACATCTCTGCAGAAGTTGAGACCGCCTGGAACGGCTGCCTCCTTTGTGCCCCTTTGCATGAGAATTTCGCAGCTCTCTTTGGTTAGCGAGCCCTGGAAATTTTGAATTTGAATTTAGTTTTAAATCCAACGAATTTATTTAACAAATTTAATACTTTGTAAGCGTCCATGACCAGGTCCATTACGTCGTCCCTCGAGTATGATGGCATTCTCTTCTCATTCAGGTTTTCATAGTCAAGGAACTTATCACAGATGAAGGCCGTGTCGGCCACTGTACGCTTTTCAGGTTTGGTAACTGGACCTGCAATGTCGATGGACACAAGTTTGTCTACGCCGTCAGGGTAGGCGCCGGCGTACATGAGAGAAATCGCGCCTCCCAACGAGTGACCCAGCAGAGTGACCGTGGGCCATTTGAAGTGTCGGACGATTCTTCTGACGAGAAGGATTCCGTCCCAGTAGAGATAGTAAAACTGCCCCTTTGGCAGGTGAGATGATTGTCCGTGGCCTGTAAAAGATACATAAATGATAATTTCACTATTTGTTAGAAAAATTCAATCAAGATTATTTTCAAGAGATAAGGCTTAATTAATTCTTAAATTTTTTAATCTGCCAATTCTTCAGGTATGGTGAAATATTACATCACATAAAAATTAAAGTAGCATATCAGCGGAAATAATAATGACAAAGCAAATTTTCCTTTCATACACCATTACATACATTAAGGAAAGTTTTTTCTCTATGTAGAATAAATTCAGAATTGTCCATTAAAACTTACTTACCGGGTAAATCAATCGCAAGGATTGAGAGGCCTTCTGCGACTAGGAGTGGTGCGAGCTTGTCAAAGGTTCCTGCGTTGTCCTGCCATCCATGAAGGGCTAAAATCGGTCTGCGACCCTCTGAACCCCACCACTTGCCTGTTGGGAAAATCAATTTTTTTTAGTTAAAAATGCGATTGAAAACTATTATTTTTGTGTTTCGTATACCACTGATATGCCCCCAAGGCACTGGAATGCTGATTTCTCGCCAACTCTGCATGTTTTTTAGGAAAATTTGCAAATTTCAGCAAGGGAGACGGTCTTATCAATTCACATGGAATCCATACCTTAATTAAAACTGAGCTGACAACCAAACAAATTTTTAATCTAAGATTTTTAATCTTAAAAAAAGTTAATTCTTCCCCGTTTTGTTTTGAATTTTCATTAATATCTCAAAATCGATTTATTATTATATTTTTTTAAGCATGCTAACAATTATTCATTAATTTTGGTAACTCTGGTTTAGTGTGATTGGAATTTATGTTTTGGTGGCAGCACTGCTTGTCGTGATTTACGTAGAAAGAGAAAACTGTCATGGAAGTCAATCAGCATTCGTAGCGTAAATAAACACAATTTACGGACACACACGCAGGTGAGTCGCTAATTCGACCCTGAACTATCATAATTAACCAAATTACGCACTTGGCCATCCAAGAATTTTCAAATTATTCAAATTCTCGGCGTGGAAAACGTCTGTTTGTTTAAAGCCATTTTGTTGATTTTGAAACTGCTGGGCAATTATTCTCGTCCCTGTTACTTCGCAATGCCTCGAATTTGTCTTCGCAGTCCAATTCTCGTTTGACTGATGTCATTTCCTCGTGCACAGATAATCGACCCGTCGCTATGATGACAGATGACGACCACCAGGCGGACATCTGCCGCGTGTGTCGGTGCGAAGGCTGCTCAGAGCGGCCCCTCTTCTACCCTTGCATCTGTACGGGCTCCATCAAGTACATTCACCAAGAATGTCTCGTCCAGTGGATGCGCTACAGCCGCAAGGAGTATTGCGAGCTGTGCGGCTACAGGTTTTCCTTCACCCCAATATACTCGCCGGACATGCCGAGGCGGTTGCCTTTAAGAGACGTTGCCGCTGGCCTGCTGTCCAGTGTAGCCACTGCTGTCAAGTATAATTCAATGCAAAAATAAATAAAATTAATTATTAAACTACAATTTCCAACAGACACTGGTGTCACTACACAATTGTCGCCCTGGCCTGGCTGGGAATAGTTCCTCTGACAGCGTGCCGGATCTACCGATGCCTCTTCACTGGCTCAGTCCACTCGGTGCTGACGCTGCCCCTTGATCTGCTGTCGATGGACAACCTGGCGGCCGACATTTTGCATGGCTGCATCGTCGTCACGTGTACCTTGTTCGCCTTCCTTGGCCTTGTGTGGCTTCGAGAGCAAATTCTGCACGGCGGAGGACCAGACTGGCTCGAACAGGAAATGCCTGCTGACCCCATTCCTGAGCCAGAGCCCCCTGAGCCGGGACTGCCGGAAGCAGAGCCAGGGGCTGTGCCAGGCCCTGTAGAAGGGATTGCTCAGATGGATATGGACATCAACTTGCAACCAGACGTCCAAAATGACGAGCCAGCCCAACAGGCGCAACAGGAAGATGCTGCAGGCGACGGAAATGACCTTGACGGAGGCGACGATGGAAATTGGAACCCTATGGAGTGGAACGCAGCTGGTGAAGAACTCACTTGGGAACGATTACTCGGCCTAGATGGCTCACTTGTGTTCCTCGAGCATGTGTTCTGGGTAAATTTAAATTTATTTTTAACAAAAACTTTAACTTTATAAGTCATCAGAATCTAATATTTATTTGAAAAGAAAACACTTCATCAATTGTTAATTTTTCAGGTGGTGTCCTTGAATACGCTTTTTGTGCTCATTTTTGCATTCTTCCCCTATCATATTGGCCACTACATTGTGATGGGAATCACAATTGGTCCGTATGTGGCTGCCTCGCATTTCGACGGCCTAGTGACCACTTTGGTCGGCTACTGTGCCATTGGCGTAATCCTGGTTTTGCTTCACGCTGTTTCGAAAGTCCTTCAACTCCGGAAGATTTGCAGGGGACTTGGCCTTTGCTATGTTGTGGTCAAGGTAAAAAATAATCCAAATATATTTCACCAGCATTCCATTTTGAACTTACCTCTCTTTAGATTTTGAATAGAAAATGAACTCAAACATGATTACTTCTTATTTAGAATTTTAGGGAGACAGAAAATTTGATTCAATACCTTCAAACATTTTAAAATTCTTCAAAATTTCTACTTTTTCAGGTGTCCCTTCTGTGCGTAGTAGAAGTGGGTGTTCTTCCCCTGGTGTGCGGCTGGTGGCTGGACATTTGCTCACTAAACATGTTTGACGCCACCCTGAAAGACCGTGAGACCAGCTTTCGCCAAGCACCTGGCACCTCCCTCTTCATCCACTGGCTGGTCGGCATGGTCTACGTCTACTACTTTGCCTCCTTTGTGCTCCTTCTACGAGAAGTGCTCCGTCCAGGGGTGCTATGGTTCCTTAGGAACCTCAACGACCCCGACTTCTCACCCATCCAGGAGATGATCCACATGTCTGTGGCTCTGCATGTGAGGCGCCTGTTGATGTCGGCGGTCATATTTGGCACCGCTGTTCTCCTGATGCTCTGGCTGCCTGTGCATTTGCTGCGAATGGTCTTCCCTGGATTTCTGCCCTATGTCGTCACTCTGAGCACAGCAGCGGCGCCTCTGGTCACAAATAATGGACAATCGTCCTTAGCCTCTTCGGTTTTTACAGGAGAGCCTCAAGTATCTCCAGCAGCAGCTGCTCATGAAGCCTCTCCGACACATGGAAGCGAACTTTCATTGGAGCTTCTGCTTTTACAAGTAAGGAGTTTTTATGACTTATTTTGATTTTATAAAAAAGTTTCAAAAGTCGTACAGATAAAAATTATTGGCGATTTATAGGTTGTTCTGCCGGCTCTTCTTGAGCAATCACACACCCGTTCATGGCTCAAAGCTAGTGTGAGGCTGTGGTGTGTTGCTGTGTCTTGGCTGCTTGGCCTCAGGTCGTATCTGCTTGGAGATGAGAACCAGAGAGAGCAAGTCGAGGGTGAACATTTTGATGGTGATCATGATGATGAAGAGGAGGAAGAAGAAGAGTTAGTCGAAAACAGAAACAACTTGAATTTTGATGGGTGAGTTATCTGCACTTTTATTGGAATTCAGTGTAAAATTTGATTTTGCAGAGATGATGAGCAGGAAGATGGAAACGAAGACAACCAGAACGAAGAAGACGAAGATGTTGATCCTCTTGATCTTGGTGCAGCACATCAGCAACAGGTTATTTAATTTAAAAAAAACTAAGTAAATATATTGAATATAAAGAAAATGATTTATTGTTAATTTACAACAGTGTAATCTTTATCCATATTATCATAATTACCCATCATGTCCAACTCAAATTTACATTTTGAAAAATTGTTTGAAACTACAAAATAATTTTAATTCCTGATTGGGACAATTTAGTTTATATTCCAATTTCCTTTTTTGTCATTCCAGGCACTGCTTCATCGAGACCAAACAAGCATGGTGAGCAATCAGCCCTACCTGAAGCCCGGCTGCTTTGCTGCCCGCCTAATGGGCCTCCTACTAGTGCTGGCCGTCTCTCTCGTTATCGCCAGTGTGGCTGTTTTAACTGTACCCGTCTGGCTGGGCCGCAGGCTTCTCTGCCTTGTCTGGCTAAGGCAAGGCGAGTCGGCAATGGCGGTCCACGAATTGTACACTGCGGCCGCCGGAACGTACATGTGCTGGGCCACCGCCAGGGCGTTTGGCTTTGTCTCTGCCTGGGCTCCACGCGGACGGGCCGCCATTGGCAAGAGTCTGCGCCGTAAATTGGCCACAGCCGGAAAGTCCGTTGTGGCTGCAGTGGTGCTGCTTGGACTGATACCATTGCTGTTTGGCACTCTGCTGGAGGCGGTGGTTGTGGTGCCCCTGCGGGTGCCTCTGCACCAAACCCCTGTTCTGTGTGCCTGGCAAGACTGGGCCCTAGGGGTGCTGTACACTAAAATTGCCTGCGCTGTCACCCTGATGGGTCCCAACTGGTGGCTCAAGGCTGCTCTCGAAAGGGCATATAGGTGGGTCAAATTTTTACAACAAATAAATCGAAATAAATGAATATATATTCAAATTTGATGATTTTTGCAGAGATGGACTGAGGGAGTTGGATCTGGTGCGAGTGATGAAAGAATTGGCCGCGCCAGTGGTAATGGGCTTCGGTCTGGCCCTGGCTGTGCCTTATATCATCAGTCAGACTGCAGTGCCACTCTTTGTCACCAGTCCAAGTATCAAGGTTTTGATAGCCCGTCGTATTTACCCATTCTTACTGCTGGCCAGTCTCTGCATTGGTGCTGGCGCTTTCCAGGTAATTTTTCTGACATTTCTATATGGATAAAACTTATTATTTTGATTGCTTTTCTTGCATTCCATTATTTTCATTTTACATTTTAAAAGCAGACTGAAATTCTGTTAGAAAATTTATTATGAATAAAATTTAAGTGAGTTTTGTTTTTTTATTCAGCACCTAAATCTTTGGTTTTGATTTTGTTTTAGGTTCGTCAGTTTAGGAGGTTATACGAACACATCAAGAATGACAAGTACCTCGTCGGAAGGCGTCTGGTCAACTATGACCAGCGCAAGAAACAGAAAGCTCATAGCACTGCGCACTAAGACGTGGAAAACTTCGCGGCTGTGTGATTTGTGTGGTGATAATTGTTTTTGAAATAATTAACAACACGACTGCTGTACCCAGAAAGACTTGTTTATTCTCGGTGTCGTTGATTTTTCTTTATATTGTTTTAGATAAATTAAAGAATCTGTCAAACTGGAGAGATTTATACTTCTGCAACTTATATTGCTACTGCTGAATGCTGAAGATTGATGTATTCTCAAATTGTCAGTGTTAATTTTTTCTCTCATTGTCAAATAGAAAAAGATTCCATTGCTATATAATTGCATTGCGTTTTACTTAACGATTGTTTATAAAAAATTTACTAACATCATTTCCCATGGACGAGTTGAGTCGTATAATTGGAAAGCCGAATAGTACTATACTTTGAACCAGAAATATAATGAAAGCCAGAAGAACGACGAGAATAGATTTCGTGATCGACGTGAATGTCTTAAGTCGGTGGATTTTGAGGGCCGCGCGTTAATAAGAACATGCGCCGAGTTAGCCGTCTGGTATTGTTTCGTATGATAGCAAGTGCAAGGAAAATTAGAGTGCGTGTGTGGACGAAAGAAAGAAAGTAGCTGCCAGACGCGAAGGCTGAAAGCTGCAAGTCGAGCATCCGTGAAGATGAACATCGTGTCTGATGCGTCGGCCAAGAAATGCGCACAAAAAGAAAAAGGAAGTATTATTATGGACATCGACTTGTGATGAGAAATTTTAATACCTTGAACACATTCCGTTTATTAAAATTACACCCAAAAACATTAAAACCCCAAATTAGATAAATATATTTGAAAAAGGAGATTTATGGAAATTCTTTAACTGTTAGCCATATAAATTATGAATTATATTGGATAATTAGCAAAATTAAAAATATTTATTAAATGCTATTATATTTTAATGCAAATATTTTCTATTCGATTTGAATTTAAAAATATATTTTAGTAGTTTGAGAAAAATTTAACAGGAAGACGTCCTAAAAGTGCGCTCCTGCCAGCCCATTCTCATAAACTCGCATTTGAATCGCCGTGTGGTAGTAGTAGTGGAATGTGTATGTTTGTATATGACACACTTTGTTGGCGCGTCTTCCACCTTTCGGGAGCTCAGTCAGTCGAGCATCATTCGCGCAACAGCACCTCTCTTCTCTCTCCGCTAAGAGACCGTGTGTCGATTCTGTGGATTTTCACTTCGCCGGTGTGCTCGACGGGCGCATTCGCGAAATTAAATCTCGCAGCGCCAGCGAGCGGAGCCGCTAACGAAGAAAGAAAAGTAGCGTTTCTGCTTTTTGACAGCGTCATCTTTGACAGCAGGTGCATCGTTCTCGCAGGTAAGAAATAAATATTTTTATCATTCCGTTTCCTGACAAAAATCGTATCGAAAAATTTCCGCTCAATGAATTAATTTGACGTAGGTTTTAATGTAAAATTATATTGCGATCAAAAACCATGCACGCTTTCCTTTTTTTATAAAGAGTCGTTCTTTCAAATAAGAACCTAATTCTTAATTAGTTTATTTACAGTTGGTCTGTGGTCTGTACATTATAAATTCCAATTTAAATTTGATTTTTATTTTTACAGATAAATAGTTAAAAAAAATATTGATTTTTTTTTTCAAGCATTGAAATCTCTTTAAAAAAATCACTGCTATTGCGGAAATTAATTTTAAATACCCAAAAAAAAAAAAGAGTTTGTTATATTCGGATAATTAAGAAGTGAATTCCTAACAAAATTGCTAACGCAGAAAATTTTCAAATAATGGTTTATTCGTAAGTGATGAATGTTAATTTGAATAATATTAAATTAATTATTTAAAAAGAAAATTGTATATATTTAATAGTCCCCTCCTGGGTCAGCTACCCTCAATTATGAACAGAACATCCCCAACCCTGATATGTATATTGAATAAAAATAAAATCTTAAAAAAAAATGCAAAAAAGTTCTGTTTAATCTACCAAAGGGAATTTGAAACTTTATTTAGTTGTTAAATTTTCCCAAGAAAATAATGAAAATGGACTAATTTTTCAGATTTACACTAGAAATCGCAAATTGTAAAGACCCAGACACATTGTATTTGTTTTCATTATAGAAAAAGACCTACTTATGTATCGCATTATGCAACGTTGATGCATTATTTAATTCAAAGAGTATATAAAATCACGATATTTCCACTCTCATTCTCCGGCAGTGACAAAAGCACTGTGAGAAACGCAATGCAAAAGTTGCACTTTTCCCACAAAAGAGCCGAAAGTAAAACCACTCTGGGACAAAAAAGGGATAAACTTTCGAATATCACGCAGCATCTTCGCTCGAGAAATTCTAATTGTGCGAGAAATATATAAATTAGACAGTGATGCGCGAACGTTTGTGTGTTATGTTCTCATTTTTTAGGCGCTGCTGCTGGCGCATTTAATAAGAAGTGTGTATCATAGGAAGACAGACGCACGCGAGAGTGTGTAGGTCATTGTTTTATATTTTATTGGTATAGAGCGCAGTGGCGCGCAGTCCTACTTCGGAACACACACACTCGATCAAGTCTGAGATGAGAGAATAAATTCTTCTCTCGCTGCATAAAAGTGTGTTTAGTGTTAATTGGCGCTTGTGGTGTCGCCGAACCTTTATTTTCAATATGTATCAATTAGACTACTTTTCACGCCGTCCGATCAATTGAATTAACTGGAAGAAAAAATACATAAATCTTGACGTGGCTTATTTAGAAATAGAAGCCAGAGACCACAGAAATTCTAGAAAAAATACTTTCGACTTTACACACACATCCTCATTATATCAAGCGATTGCGGCCTGGTGGAGAGTTTTAGATATTAAAATAATTGTCTAGTAACGCACTGATGCGTTAATTAATTAGGCTATCCAGATATTATTTTGATTGTGAGTCGTAAAAGTTAAAAGTCTTCTTTTCTGGCCCACTTTTAGTGAGTTATGAAATTAGAAATTTAATATTTAAATACTTGAATTTCATATTTGGTTGTATAGCTTGAAGCAAACACACACAATTATGATGTTAAGGCTCAAAAATTAAATAAAGAATTTGCATAAATTTAATTGGAGTGATTTATTAATGAAACATTTTGCGACAAAAATTCAATTCTAGACCTTGAAAATGCCTGAAACAACATCATTATTTCCAAAAATTCATATGGTATAATCTTAATCAACATTATCGTGTCTCATTTTATAAATATGCAAACTACGGCCCAAATTATTTGAAAGTTGAAATATTGCGGGTGATTTAAATGAATACCTCTCAGCGGTTCCGCAAGGGATTGAAGCGGTTTTGTTGCCTCTCAACTTAATTATCACGGTTCAGAGTCACCCTACCGTGTGTGGTGTGTAAAATGTGCAGCTGCACGCGGGGTCAACTTCCTGTCGATCACCAAGCGCACATGACGTGGACTCGCATCCAGCGGCCAGTCTGATCTGCGCCGCCGGTCGACATTTGTGTGTTTCCCGTTTGAGTGCAAAAAAGTTTGTAATATTTTTCTGTCAAAAATTTTTAATTCACTTATCTTGAGAAGTTATGTTTAAAATTTAAAATTTTTATTTCATTGCAATTAAAATCATTATTTCAATTGAATTTTGCTTGTAACGCCTAAGTTTCGTTGATTGTACTTGTCAAATATTAAGTAGTTAAGTTTTTTGTGACAAAACTAGATAAAACTTCTAAAAATAGATTAAGGGTTTGAGATTATTTTAATGCAAAATTTTCAAAAGAAGTATGATTTTACCTCAAAAAACACACAAAGAAACCTAGAGCTTTGATATTTTTGACAATTTGAACAGAAAAATTAAAAACTTTTTTTCCAAAATTTAAAAACAAGTGTAAAAAGTAAAAAGTGAAGACTTTCAAAGAATTATTTTCCACCGATCGGCGAAAATCCTGTTGTGCCATGTGATATGCCTGAGGTCAGCGACACCTTTTGGCGCGTCGCCTTTTTCCGCAGTCAGAACACGTGGGGTCCCGCCGTGCCCCGGCCCCAGCCGCCGGGGGCGCCCGACCTGAGGCGCGTGGACACCCTTTACGCTCCCCTTCCGGTGCCGAGACCTCGCCGGCCACCGAGGAAGTTTCCGAAAAGACCAGGGCTCGTCGGTCAATTGTTGCGCAACTTGATGGTGTGGAAACGGCCCAGAGTGAAAAAGTGGGAGCCTTCGGGGGCTGCGTCGAAAAGACCCCGAACCACAAACCGCCGGGGGCAGAGGAAGATGCTCGCCTTCCTCATGGGGCGCAGAGCTCGCAGGCACTGCGTCAAGAGCAAACCCGCCGGTGGTGCTTCTGCTTTAAAAATTCAGAACATGAGGTATTTTCACAATTTATATTTTGTTGATATTATTATATTAAAATTATTTAAAAAAAAAATTGAGGCTCATTATTTGGCGTTCCTGAAATAGATGAATTAGCGTATTATTGAAATAAACGGCTCAACCAGTTTTATCCATTTTTTTTTTTATTAAATATAATTTTTGCCTTCTTTTTGTATTTTCTCTTTTACAGAGCATGACGACAACTGTTTTCTTATTTTTTCTTTTTTTCTAATAGAACCATGATTTCAAAAATCTCCTATCAATAATAATCTCCCTTGTTTTGTTTTACAATTTTTCTACTACAGTATTAATTTTTATTCAAAATATTTAAGTGAATTTTTAAGTTAGGATCTTTAATTTAAATTACAGTGCAGTTATAATTATAACAAATGCCGTGAGAAAATTTTTTACGTGATGCGGAAATAATGCTAATTTTATGCACTTTAAATTCGACTGCAAGCCAACCTTGTGAAAAAACGAAAGAGATTGTGCGAGTTGCGAATAATTTCCAAACTAAAATTAGCATTAATCAGTGAGGTGGAATTGCGTCAGATAATTTATCCGATATTATCGGTACTAAAAATTCCTGGAGAGCGCGAAACCATTAACCTGGTTGCCAACAAGTTCTCGACTTGAGGTACAGAGAGACGTGTGAAGAGAAAAACAGTTTAATTTGAAGAAGGAAGTAGATTCTTAATTAATAACTACAGGAAATCTTGTCTTTAAATAATTTATCTGGTAGTAAAAGGTTTAATGGAAAATGAAATTTAGAAACGCACATCATCATTTTTCATGAAAAATAATACATAATTATAAATTTTCTAAATGAAATGTATTAAAAATAATTGAATATTAGTATCAATCAATTCTTATGGGTCAAATGTTTTATAACTTTCATTCTTTTAAAATAATTATTTATTATTATTTATTTTTTATCAATAATATAATATTAAATTAAAATTAGGTCTTGCGGAAGAAAAACGCTTTGTGTACATAATTTATAGAATATTAATAATTATTAATAATAAAATATCATAATTTACAACTAATGCATTTTAATTAGTTATTTTTATTATTACATTAAAGTAATTCTTCTAGGAACAAAAAAATCAATTAATTCACACTAAATTTCTTATATGAATTTTATTTATACCAATTCTTTCTGAAGGGTGTAAAAACGTTTTTAACGTAAAAATGCATATTAATAATTTTTGAAAAACATTATCATTTTTTTTTCGTTAGAGATATTTCTTAACTCTGCTGGTTTTTCTCTTAACAAAGGCTTATTGAATCATCAGACAAATTCTTTGATTGGCCGATCTTTGAAATAGGAGAGTTAAAGCAACAATTATGATTTTCTATTATCAATCAATTTTTTCTTACAACTAGTTATTTTCAAATTTTTGTTTACAGTTTTGTGAATTTTTATTGTATTATAGGATTTTACAAAGGTGCCCTAGTTTTTTTATTTTATTTCAGGCGTTTTCTCTTAAAAAATACCCAAAGTAAAGCTTATACCTTTTTATTTTCTTTGCCAACAATTAACAATTGCTGATTGAGCTCTCGTTGCAAATGAAAATAATGGAAACGGAATTACTTTATAATGAAACTGCCCTCAATGCTTATGGAGCGCCATTGTTGAGTGAAGAGTGCTTGAAGCTCTCCATTGAGGCAGAAACATTGAGTGGGCATGCAGGAAACAAGAGCACACACTAAACTTAATTCCTCTCCGATCGTTAGCGAAAAGGAAACGCCTCGCCAACTATATAAAAAATCTCAAGAGCAGGCGCTCTCCAATCAGACCCGAAAATTTTTGCACCATCACTGGCCGGCCGGACCACGTGTGTGGAAATAAATAACATGAACAGTTAGTTAAGATCTCTCGCTCCATTATATTCCCATTTGATCTCCCTCACTCGCTCACTCGCCGGCTGGCCGATTGTAAAAGAGAGAAAACTGTGCTCCTGGCGAAACTGTGCCGGACAAAGAGAAAGAAGCGCTCATTGTTTTTTTACACACGCTAGAGATGCACACAGCGAATTTATAACGAGAGATGCTCTTCTTTCTACGCGGAAAAATCATTTCTCCTCCCGAGGGTGTTCAGTGCAAACATGAGAGAAGAATGCAACTCGCGGCAGTAAATAAATAAATTCCTTAGATGGACGTGCAAAATGCACAGACGTAACATTATGTACATAGCGGGGTTTCTTTTGTCTATTTCAAAACCTGCGTATGGCGTGAAATTTCAAATTTTGATGTGAATAAATTTACAAATTCTATAATTAAATGAGTTTCTTCATTTATTTTTAAAAGTTCCCTGATAACTAAGAACTAAGTACACCAAAAAATCAGCTAATGCAAATCCATGCTCGCTTTAAATAAGATGTTGACATGCAATTAGTACTAATAAAGTGATTGAAAAAGAATACAATTACCTTTCTTAAACTTGATATTTATGATCTTATTAAAAATAAGTTTTTCTTCAAGGATATTAATTTTTAATCTTTTTTTTAATACATTAAATCTAATCCTTCATTTTTTTCTCAAATTCCGGAACAACTGTATTTATTGTTTAAAATGAAAACAAAAATTATTCATAACATGAACTTTAATTACGAGAATTATTTCTTTTCAGTTTGGTAATGACAATGACAGATTTTGAAATTAAATTAACAAGCTGGTATTTTTTTGGTTTTAAATTTCTTGAAACAAATATTTGTTATTTATAACGATTTTAATTGTATTGCCTAAAACTCGGCTTTAAAATAAGCTTAATAAGGATTAGGCTAAATCAATAAATTTAGCAAAAGACCGACTATATGAAAAGAATAAAATCTAACTTATATTTAGATATTATATGAAATAAAAAAGAAACGCGCTCAACAGTTCTCCTTTGTAGAGTGTATAGAGCGAGCATGAGAGTAGATTTTCTTGTTATAGATAGGATATACGATGGACGTGCAAAAATTAATTGTGTATAGAGGATTTTTTTAACCCTAGGAAGATCTTCACTCAGTCTGATATTGCGTTAATAAGAAATGTAATACGTATTTTGAAAGAGAAATTTTTCAAATTACGTTTAATGGCCCATTCAAAATTGGTTTCTTTTTAAATAATTAAAAAAAATAGAAGTCACGGAAATACAACGCAGAGTTTATTATTTGGAATTTGTGGTTTATTCAATCAAAACAAAAACGCGAGCTTATCTCTCATGCATGCAATTAATGCTCATTAATTAGCGGGAAGACTTTCTACCCAAGCTGTTTCGGAACTCGCCGAAAAGACCTTTCTGCCGTACGTCTCTGTTTTTAATTACGTCTTTCTCTCACAATTGGCGAACTTGCTCATTTTCCCGCGAAAAAGAAAAAGCTCGATCGGCCAGGAAACGTATAGGAAATTTCACTTACGTGCGGTCATCATTGATTTCATATCGCACTCGTCGGTGACGGCGGCTGATGAGAGTGAACGGCTGATTGCAAATTGACGAAGAAAGTTCAGGAGCTGCATTGTGCGTTTAATAAAGGATGAAAACGTACGCGCGACATTTGGATAAAAATTCCAACAAGAAGATGAGTTTCACTTTTGTCTCTTTCCTTCGAATGCTTCAATTTTCCCACATGAATTTCTCATAGTGTGAAATATCACTTTTGCGGGTTTCTCTTACTCATATTTAACAATTAACGGAAGCTAAGAAATATATATCACGCTAGAGATGCATTTGCATAATAGTAAATTAAATTTTTACCTCGTCCTTTTTATATCACCTTTGTAAACTTTAATTGTTTTTGTTCAACATATTTGAAAAAAGTTAAAATTTATTAAACAGCTAGAAAATCCTGTAAAAGGTTCCATTGTTTTTACTTTTTATGTTTTCTTAAAGGAAAGAATACACTAATTCTTTTGTCACTCTGCTCGTTAAAACAAAGACCTGCAGCGCAATTCGGCACTAATTGTTAATAAAAAGTGAAATTTGCTAACCGTCACTCTGCACACTTGGTTGATTAATAGACACGTAATCGCGACGGGCACTAGAAAAACTGGAGCTTATTCGCGGTGCATCAGCAAATACAACCGCCGATAACTTTCACGAGAGACGAGCAAAAGCAGCGTGAAAAAGAACCATCGGTCTCGTCATTTGAAACCTTTTTGCCTCACTGGCTGCGCCGACCGAATAACGAGTCGATATCGCGAGGAGATGATGACATTTTATAAACGCAAAAAGCAAAAGTCACGAGTACTTTTTTTCGCTTCATTGGGCGTCAAATTAGACAACAGAATTAATTTTGCATTCTATATTTATTTTCTATTTCTTACAGGTTTTTAAAGGAATCTGAATAAAAAAATATTTTCAAACGCAGTTTTATAGTAAATTTATTCTAATTCGTTGGTTTACAAGAAATGTAATTTGTTTTAATTCCAAACTTTCTTTTAAGAAAATTCCTACACTTCTGAATGCATTTATTTTACCAATTTACGTTATTCCCCTTCTTATTAAATTGGATCTGTTTAATCAATTTTAGTCACTATTTTACTTTTACTTAAACATGCATTTTTTACTACTTTATATGAGAAGTAATTATGATTTTTATTATTAAATCCTGGGATTTTTTAATTTAAGGATGCAAATGTTTCTCTTTGCAATTTCATTGCTTTAGGCTGTTCATCAAATTTTTTGGTTGTTGATTTGTTAAATAAGTCATTTTTTAGTCAATTTTGTGTGCTGCCGAAAATAGAAAAAGCCCTATATCGTAGCAATTGTTTTGTATAAATAACATTCAATAAATTAATTTACTATCTCAATAATCGTCAGTGAAATTAACACACTTATCAAACTAATTTTTGTTTGGGCTTGTATTTCCTGAATAAATTAATTTATTCAATTTATAAGTCTCTTTTATAAAAAATTTATTTCTTTCAATTTTTTCTATCATTCAAATCATATAATTATGTATATCAATATCTTGTAAGAAAGTATTAAAATTATTAAATTGACGGTATAATATATTAAAATTAAAAATTCTACTGCTTCAATTTTTAAAAACACATTCAAAAGATTCCCAGTCAATGATTATTTGTGAGAAAAAAAATTGTTCCCTGGTTTTTTTCAAACTTTTCTTGTAACAATTGTAAAAATAAACAATACTAATAATTTAGAAATTAAAAAAAAAAACATTCTAAATAAAAGTGAGTGATATTAATTGCATTTTCTAGAGCTTTTGAATGTTTGAAAATATTAACAATCAGTTAAAAGTTCTGCTCTGGTTTAGTATTGTGCACATTTAAAATGAAAAATTCTTAAAAATTACCAAATAATCCAAGAAAATTGAACCCTTTAAACGAATGAACCTCTAATATCTGCAGTGGAGCATTGACGATTAATGTTGGCAGTCATATGCGGCTGCACACAAACCAAACCAAATTACTCTCTGCGGATGTTTGGATGTTTTCATTGCGATGATTGAGTTGGTGTTGATTTTGTTCACAGACACGGGCGATTGCACGTGCTGCGTTGGCTCCTCTGGGAGACCAACATGCCGGCGCTCGAGCGCTCGTCGAACGGCGCCCTCGCCCTGCACTACGCCGCGGCCAGGGGATGCCTCGACTGCGTCAAAATCCTCGTAGCCACCTCACCTGAACACAGGTAAGAATAAAATTCCAAACTGCTCATTAGCGGTCGTTTTTGTTAAATCGTGTCAAACGTTGGCGGGTTTTCAGGCTGAAAAAATGATAACGGCATTTTTGCGTAGAAAGTCCGGATTCGAATGATTAATGAACGTCTCAATCTTAACAGCGTCAGGTGCTTCTCCGTTCGGACAGACAATAGTGGGGGACATTATTTCTGAAGTAAAAAAGAGGAAAAATAAAATATGCGAGTTGTCCGGCAAAATAAATAATAACAAATATTCAATTATTATTATTTTACTAGTAATTTTTCAAGTTCAAAAATATTATAATAGGGAAATGATTCACAATTATTAATTAATAATTTTCCTTCATTAAAATCAGAAATCATTATTTGAGAGTGGCTAAAAAGTAACAGTAAAATAACAGTAGAAGAAATGAAAAAAAAAAAATATGGTAGAAAGTGGGTTGTTAAATATTTCAGAACTTTTTGTCGATCATGAAAATAATGTCGTGGTCTTAAATAATTTTTCCCCGCATAGCATTCAAGTTAAACCGGACGTGTATGCGCGTAATTTAATTTCTTCCTAGCACCTTTCTCTGATGGAAAACCAGAGCGATTACCATGCACGAAACAAGACATTGGGTGCCTTTCAAAAATTATTATAGTCGTTATTCCTAAAGTCGTGTTCAACTTCTTGTACTACAGAGTATGAAATTTTCCTCCGACATGAACAACCGTGAGTGAAACAAAAGTTATTAGCCGCGTGTCACTCGCTGGAACAAAGAACTATATTTTCAGAAGCAGAGTTGTGTCTTTGCCTTCCGAAATTCTCACTTTTATGACCCAACCAGCGATCCGGGTTTTACAGTCAATTTAACACGCGATCCTCTACTTTTACAAAAAAAAACAAACGGATGTTATGTTTTTATGGCAAAACCTGTGCATGATGACTGCAATGTAGGCAACCTGGCCGACATGCGTGCTTCGCCGGTTGCATTTACGGTAGATGGGGTTAATTTATAAATTAGTTTTGTATTGAAAAATTTGACTTTTTTAAATGCAATTTGTTTCTCTCTGTCTCTTTAAAATCATAATTTTTTATTCTTTTGTATTTTCCTGAAATATATTTTCATTCATTTCTTTTGTGTGACTTAAAAAGATATTTATTTGCAGAGAATTTGCTCACAGTTTTACTAATAAAAACATTATTTTTTTATAGCAAAGAAAAACTTTTTATTCATTCTTGTATATATTGAATTTTTATTTGGAAATTTATTATTATCGTCTTCATTATTAATTGTAAAATGTGAGTTAAAATGGAATTTTTTCATATTGAACGGATCAAAATAGTTGAATAAATTACGCTTCTGTTTATAATGAATACTATTAATTTAAATTTCACTATCCTTTGATCGTCTTTTTTAAGCTTTTACTAAAATTTAAACAGAAAATCATGAAATAATTATTGATTTGACAGATTGGCACCCACGCATGCTTAAAAAATAACTGCTCTGTAAACGGTGGATTAATTTTGAAATTCCTCGTGTTGGCGCAGACAAATTAAAAAAGCTCGCAATGATTGGCTCAAAACTCGCCTCATCATCGGACGCAAAACCCCGTGACCGTTTTTGCTCTCAGCTGTCGCTGCTATACGATTTGAATTACTTATCGCCTGCTGTCGATTACATGGTAGATTTCAGTTATATGAAAGAAAGAAAGGGCGGTGCAGAGCGAGAAAAAGAAATCCGTCGCCGCTCTTTTGAAAGTTTTCTCGGTGAAAATCAGTCGCCGAGAGCAGCACAAAATTATTTTTCAAGATCTCAAGTGCCTTTTTGTGCAAGTCGTGAGAGGCTAATTATTTCCACCGTCGATGCAACGACTGACTTAATTTGTTTCACCTTGCAAAATGTATGGCGATTAATTACTTCTTAATATAATATTTATTTACTTCAAAACGGAGCTGTGTGAAATCGTGCGATTTCTCACCTTTCGGAAGAAAGAAAGAAAGCACGAATTGGCTTTTGTGTACGATTTTTGCTGGGCCAATATTTCATCACGATGTACACGCAGAATAAGGAGAAATTTGGCTCATATTGATTTCAACAGTGGCCCTTTCATCACGTTCCGATCTGCATGAAAAAAAGTATTCAGTTTAGTTAAGTGTAAAAAGAAAACCGTGTGCAATAAAAACGGTTTGATAATGAAAATAAAATTAAATGTTGAGTATAGAAACTTTTAAACAATTTTAGAATAAATAGACACTTTTCCATTAAATTTTTATATTTTCATAAAATAATATTGGCTAATTTTGTAATTTCTAATATTACTCAAAGGGAGAAGAAGAAAAGTTCAATGAAAATTCTTAATGTCACGGTTAAAAGATATACAAATTGAAATTAAATTAAGAATTTTTGAGCATTATATATTATAATAAAGATTTACCATGAATCGCAAACTTGCAAGAAAACGGAAATTATGAGAAAGGATGAGAAAAGTCATTTTTTACTGAATGAGAAATATTTTTTAATGTATGTTTAATTTTGAATACTGTTATTTTAAAATTTGAAGTTTTCTGCGCGCTTTAGCAATACATATAAAATCATTAAAAATTAAAATCTAGCACTAAAATTACACTTCACTATACAAAAATGAGACACAATATATTAAAAAAAAAACATACTCTTATTACTTAATTTTTCTAAAAGTTTATAATATTATTTAATTATTTTTATTATTGAAGTTTATATAATATTTCTAATATTTAAACAAATGTCAATTTGGATTTAAGTAAAATAATATGAAATTAAAATTTAATATAAATTATAATTTATAATTGTCACTTATTTTATGTTTACTTCCAAGATCTGGTTTATTTATCCGTCAAAAGACATCTTAGGAGATTTTTTATGAGTATAAAAATAATCTGCCAATACATAAAATATGAATCCAACTTCAACTCTTTTTAATTTGTACTTTTTCCGGTCCACCAAGCACACGGATCTGAATCAAATACTGGAAAATTGCGTGTGGTGCCGTGTGTTGCGTGGCTGCAAATGTGACGAAAACCGTACCGGGTATCCTTGAGACGATTATTTATTAAAAGTGCGAGACGCAAATTAAACGGTACCTGCGGAGCGCGGAAGAGAGAGAAAGAAAGAGCTTCTTCTTCGATGCAGCGCGCGGCTCTCTCGCGCTCAGGTGCTTTCTCAGTTAGTCGGGCGGGCAGTGCTCCACGCGGAGGATGTGTCTCTCTTGTGTTCGTCTCGCTGAGCTGAATGTGTGCTGATATGTGACTTAATTTGCTGCTCCCACACTCACTCCGCTAATTACGCGTGCCTTGGCATCGGTCTGCATTTGAGGATTATTTCGCTAAAAATGTCACCGCAGTGCAGATTAGTGTCCGGCAGGTGCAAGGCCGGTGGGCATTACCTCAGGTTAGTTACCTTTCTCAACAGGCGCTGTCAACTATTTTGCATTTAAAAATTGTTTCGAAGATTTCAGGTGAATGAAAAGTACAATAAATTTAAAAAAATTTTAATTTAATAAAAGATATTATGTAATTTTAATTTGTTTGAAGAAGTTGACACTCGAAGAGATGATCATGGAAATTAATATATCGATATTGGGATTTTTCCATTTAATTTTAAATTTGTTGTGAGCTTCAAAGATTTCATCTTTTAATTATTCGGTTTTAAATCTTTATAAACTGGAATAATAATAAATTAATCTATGTAATCATCAAACGCTGAAATCTCTTATTTCTTTTATGATTTTTTTTTTAATTTTATACTTTTACACAAATATTGGAAATAATAAAACTCTTTTGAAAGAATTTTTTTTTTTGCCTTCAAATAAAAAGAAAACTTTTAATCTTTATAGTCGGCAGAACAAAAATTAGACCACAAGAAAGTTGGTCGCCATAAATTAAACGACTTCAGAGACTTTAGACATAAGTCAGTTAATTGGTCAGAACATTTGACGACGGTTCCCTTTTACAAACCATGTTATTAAAAATATCAAATAAAAATAGTCCATCTCAAGCCGTGCGCGGAACTAGTTTTGCAAAAAAAGTCGCAAGACGACCCTGCCCTCCATTCGGCCCAAGTATGTGCGCCACTTTTCGACACAGCGAGCGCGTTTCAAAATTTATTAACCGGCCAAATTAAATTGCTCCACATAAACAAGAAACAAAAATTTGCATAATTGTAACGAGATGTTTACATTCACCTTGATTGTTGATCTGCGATGTGTGAGATATACACTGTTGGGAAAGTGGCTGCGAAATTAACTTCAATTGAATCATGGCGGCAATAGTTGGCATTGTCCGTTTACAAAAAGATATTTGCTGAAAGTGCATGACGTTTGCCGATTTGTGCGATGAAAAATCGGTGTAGAAAAAGAGAAAGGCATTGAAATAAATTCACCGAGATATGTCAAACTGGGGCATAAAAGAGACGAATCTTCAGCAGTTTGTTTTATCAGCAACGATTATCTCTAGAAACGAGATTTTTAATGCAAAAATTATGTTTTTTATTACAGGGTGCTGGAAAGAAAGTGGATAGATGATATATTTTTATATCGGCCGCGGGAGAGGTTGTTTTATTATTTAATTATCGTTTCGTTTCGGGCGATGTGAGTTGGAGAAAAATTGGCAGCATTCACTTTTATATATTCTGAAAGTTTTTAATACTTTTTTTTCGAAGATCATGACTTTCCTTTTGACGGCGCCCCTATCAATTTTCTTTTTATTGCTCAAAGGTGATTTGCATCGTTTATAATATTTGAAAGCAATCACTTTCAATTAAATACTACCATCAGATTTTTCCCTTTTTTACGTCAAGAAGTTTCGTAGGATTTGGAGAAAGAAAGAAACGAAGCGCATCTCTGAACCGTTGCATCTTTGTGAGAGCTGAAAATTCTCGTGAGACATTCACGCACATTTGCCTGATGACACGCGACGAAACCGCACAAATGGGCACCCACCCATGACACAACACCAAGGAGTTCCAAACTCCTTGCACAACACCGTGTCTCTTTGAGCCCAAAAGGCACCCACAGTCAGTAATTTCTTTACTCTTGAGATCGCAATTAATTCGTTGCAAAATTGGGTTAGAAAAAGCGACGACTTGAGCAATTTAATGGAGAGCCGATTGTGTGCGTGCGATATGCGGGCAGGAACTTGGCAGCAAAATTTTATTACACCTGGATTTGTAACTTGCCTTTTAAAGCTATAAACAACTCTTTTGTGTAATAAATTTTGTAAACGTATTTTTTAAGTTGCTGTATCAAGATTACTAAATCAGATCAGGAGTTGGCAAAGACTCGTTTGGTCAGCAATAATTAATTGATTTATTAGCAGTTGGCACTGCTGGAAAACTATTCATGATTTCAAAAACTGCAATATAGGTGGGAGGATTTATTTTAAATCCAATTAAAACTTATTTTTCGCCCAATCAAATATTAATCCCATCAACAATTTTCTCAGGAGAGATCCAAGGGTTTTGGTTATCAATCAATTCCTCATAACCTCAGTTATCTAATCAAATAAAAGTCCCTTTTAGTAGTATTTTTATAAATTTGTAAAAAATATGAAAATAATATTTATATTTAGTTTTTAACTAATTATTATTTATACCAAATTTTATTTCTTAAAGTTATATTCTCATATAAATATTTATGGGACTTTCTTAAAAAATCGTGTAATTTTATTATAACAAATATTATTTTAATATAATAGAAATTTTAATTTTAAAGTTTAAATCTGCACTTTAAATAAAGAGCATTCAAAGCCAAAATAATGTAGTGAAGTTTTATTGAGTTTTATTAAATAACTTGATTGTAAAATCTATATCCGTATATTAAATCAGGTTAATGAAGACTAACCTTTTCCAATTCAAATAATTATGACTCACTGCTGCATTCTCACATCACTTACATTTCATACTCCGCAACTCGGCAGGAGGTCTCGAACGTCTTGATTCCTTTTCGCAACATTATCATCCAGGCGTAAAAATTGAGCAGCCTGCACATGAGAAGCGCGCGCGTATCATCTCTCTCGCATATAATTTTACCGTTTTCTCGCGCAGTGAAAAGAAACTCGATCGTTCCCTGGCCAAGGTGACCCAAATTTGTATAAAAACACTTCATTTCCTAAAACAAACCGCCTAAGAGATGATTAATTAGCCGATAAAAAGTACAGTTCTGTCTCATTCTCGCTGATCAAATTAAAAACTTTAAAAATTTTTTCGGTGCCGTCTCATCGCCGCTAATTGCAAAACAAGTTTTCAACTAATGAGCGAATTGAGCGTAAAATTGACGAGGATGCGATTCTTTGATTCAGTAAAAATAATAAATAATTCTGTTTTTGAATGAAGTAATGTTGGCGGGTGCCAGCTGGACGCGCAAGCAGCGGCGCACCGTTACGTCAAAATAATCGCTGCTGCTTCGTTATGCCTGACGAGCTGTCGAAAAACACAAAGAACCCACGTTGGCCGAGGTTTGCGCAGTTTTGTTCTCAAATGCGGTCTTTTACGTTTGAATGCTCAATCAACTCTAATTGAAGTTTAATTGTGGAAACGCACAAAGAGTTTGTTGCCAAAATTGGTGGTTGTTAAAATCCTGTTACATTCTAGGAAAATAATTCCTAAAATTTAACAAAGTGACCTAGATATCCGGGGAAAATTTTGGATTCAAAGAAGTTTATTGACATAAATCACCAGGCATTTTCCTCCCAAATACATCATTCGAGCATTCAAATTAATTCAATTTGCAAAAAAATCAAGAGGGGAACCTACAATAACTAAAATTTTACAAATCAATTAGATATAAAATAATTAATAAAAAAAATTTAATCTACAATATGAAAAATAATTTAAGTTGTATGATATTACTTTTAATTGTTGATTATTGTTTACAAGCCTTCATTGAGTCCTTACATTGAAAAATTATGCTGATAGAGAAATTCTTGAAATTGACACTTTTCCTGTGTTAAGCGAATTCCAGACATAATAAATATTTATCATATTTATCTTTGTTAGTAACAAGAGCTGAACAAGAGAATATACCTTTAATTTTTTATGCAACTCGGCATCTTGATGTTGTTGAAACGCGCAATCCATTTTTATCTCACGCTAAGGCACGTCTCTTTGCATTATTTCCTTCACTCATTTCTTAATGTCCGCTGTACAGGTATCAGACTGCTCTTTTAGGTACAAGTTAATTAAATCTATCAAACTACCTCAACTTTCAAGACATATCCTTTTAAATTTTATTCGTTTAAAAAATTAATTGATTAATTTTTTTAAATACAATTTGACCGTTTGATAAAATTGCAGCTCAAAAATCATATTGAAAAGGTTTATTTGTGTATATTTTGTTAACTTTGTAATCAGATGGAAATATTACTCATCACCGAATAGAAGATAAATAAGATGGGTTTATCTTTTTTACTAATTGACCGCTATATGATTTTGAATAGTTAAAAGAATCGTCTCCTTACAAAATATCTGCTAATTTACGTTGAAATTGATGAACTGAAATTTTTGTTTTAGTGCCAATGCCCAAATGGACAACGCGGTGACGCCTGTGTACCTGGCGGCGCAGGAGGGTCACCTGGACGTCCTGCGTTACCTGGTGACCGAGGCGAGTGGTTCGCTGCTGCTGAGGGCCAAAGACGGCATGGCGCCCCTGCACGCCGCCGCCCAAATGGGTTGTTTGCCGTGCATCAAGTGGATGGTGCAAGAGCAGGGGGTTGACCCGAACCTGCGCGACGGCGACGGCGCCACCGCCCTGCACTTTGCGGCCAGCCGGGGACACGCGGATACCGTCCGGTGGCTGCTCAGACACGGAGGTCGCATGCTGCTGGATAAATTTGGCAAAAGTCCGCTCAACGACGCTGCTGAGAACGAACAGATTGAAGTGAGATATTTTTTTTATTAATTGACAATTTTTATTAACCTTTCCATATATGTTAACCAATATTGATTTTCAAAATTGATTTTACTCATGCTTAAATTCAACAATTCTCATTTAAAATGAAAATGAACTTTAAGCGCGATTCACATTATATTGAAGTAAAATTTAGTAAATTGCAAAATTTGTTTGAACAATATTACTAATTTAACTCTTGTTTTTAATTAAGAATTTATTAATCCAACTTATTATTTTTTGTTTGGATGCATATCAAAATTTTGTTTTTAAATTTCATTTCATTTCATTTTCATTTTCACTATTTTTAGAAAAATTGTGCATAATATTGCAGAACTTCTGTAAATATTATTATCGCTTATCGCTCTTTATTATTAAAAAAAATTAACCTCTACCTTTGGAGTTGTTTTGAAGTAAATTATTTTTTTCAGTGCCTAAGCATTTTGGTGCAGCATGGGACAGCTCCAGATTACAACCACTCGGAGATCCCTCCGTCCAGTAAGCAGCGATCTTCGTCCTCATCTCGTCACAAAAGAAACCAAGAAGAGATGCGAGACTCCCTTTCAGACAGCAGCAGTCTCAAATCAGAGCCTTTTTATCTCCACCCACCCTCCAACGGCAACAACAACCCTTTCTCCGCGTGCGGCACCACAGTCTGCAACAACAACAACAATTCGCTCAACTCTTCGCTCAGTGGTCTGGAGATTTACGTCAACCCCATGAACGCAGCTGGTTTGAAAAATTAATACAAAATCAATTTTCCAAAATTATTTTCCCAATTTATTTCAGTTGTGGACAACCGGCCTCCGTCCAGCAGTCCGGGCAGCTCGACTGATTCGGAATCTTCCTTTTATTTGCACAACCCACGCGAAGTGATTTACAACAGGGTCAAGGACCTTTTTGAAATGCCCAGCCAGAACAGACCGACCTCGCCTCTCAGGTCGGCCTCGGCAGCTTCCTCTGTCAGCTCCACCGCAGAAGGGAGCACAACTGTGGTTGTAGGACCTGCTGGTGCCGTCACAGGTAAATAAAAATTTAGAAATAGGCTTACAATTAGTTTAAATTCATTAATTGATTTAAAATTTAAGGATTTAGATTTTAACTATTATATAATTAATCCTCATCAAAAGTAATCAATATTGCATTATTTTCTTTATAAATTTTGCAACATCAAATTTGTTGAGTCACAGGAGCGTGGTCTGTGTAAAATTATGAATGAAAATTACAAAATTCTTTGATTATTGTTGTTAGAGCAGAAGCCCTTATGCTCGCCATTATATTTCATTTCCCTGTTATGTTTTGCTGGAATGAAATATTGCACTCGCAGTAAAACATTCTTCCTCTTCATCAAAAGTATAATAATATTTCTGTTTCCTTGAAGAGGATGTTTGTAAGTAAGAGAGAAAAGAGGCGGAGTTTTGAGGAGTAATTCTGGAGTATAGAGAGTGCAATTAAAGCAAGTTCTTACTTATTCTTGAGAGTTGCCGTTACATGCATGCTTTTTGCCGGTCCAGCCAACAGCCTCTCGTATAGTGCGTCCCAGGCTGCAGCGATAAATGCGACGGCAGGTGGTGAAATAAAGAGAGTTTCGAGGTCGGCCAACATTTTAGCCGCGCGGCAATTTCTCCGAGCCCATCCATGCAGCCGAAACCTGTCCATCCCGTTAATGTAATTTGTTTATTTATGCACCGCCGAAGAAATTTCTGCAGCAGAAATGCATTCTATCAAGTCTTTCACTCTCAAATATAATACAGATGGGTATTGGATAAAGCGGATAAAGCATGGATGTGAAATTATATATTATTAATTAGATCAAAATTGCCTTCACTTAATAATGCGTGTCCGATGAAAAATATTAATTTTAAAGCATATTCATAGATATCTGCTTTTTATTGCTACATCAGATATTATTAAAATTAATATCTAATTAAATAAAAAAATCTATTAATTTTTAAATTTTAATAAACAATAAAAGTAATAAAACAATGCACGAATTTACACAAATTTTTGTAATTACTAAAATATTTGAATTGACCAATTTTGTAATTATTTTAAGATTAAATCAGAATAAGTGATAATAATGAATACTATATTTCAATATCAATATTATTATAAATAAGAAAATATATGACATAAAGATAAAATAATTTTTTTTTTGCTTTTAGCAGTTGATGTTAAAAATTTAAAAATATTGTAATTAATATTGCAAACTTATTTATTACATTCCTCCGTTTTATTGTTCCAGTTCGAGTTGACGTCCACACGTCAGACGTGAGGTCAGGAATAGTCGAGGAGAACGACTACGAGGACATTTACCAGCTTCGCGAAGAAGCGGCCGCCATGGTGACATACTCACCCACGGGCCGCAAAAGCAGCATCGTCAATATAACAAGTCCCAGCGCCTCTCAACAAGGGTCCCGGCCGCCGTCGCGAGTTGAGACCTCGCGGCCGCCCTCACAGCAGGGGTCGCGGCCGCCGTCCGTGTACAGCACTAACTCCAGGCCTCCGTCTGTGTCTAGTGTCAGCATAGACTCGCCCCCGGAGCCACCCAGGAGAAATGGGACACCCACCGAAGGTATGATTAACCATTAAATATTGATAGTTATGCAAACCCAAGACAGTCAAGTTGTACTGGTTGCATTTAAATAATGATGGTTGAAAATTAAATTTGTTTTAAATTCTAATTTATGAAAACATCCACAATTTTGGATTAAAAATTTGTTTAAATGCTTATTATACATTCAAAGTTGATTTACAAGGTAATTCGACTGGCAAAACTCAATGCCTAACACTTTCATCTTTATTGAATTTAAATCTTTTAAATTCAATAAAGATGAAAATAAATAAGCGATGATTTAGTTGCAAATTGTGTTTATTGATATATCACAAAGGCAATTGCTGCCCATAACGGGATACATCATTCATACATTCAAAATTATACAAATTCAATACAATTGAGAGAAAAGATGAGAGTTTTACAAACAAAGTTTTACATGCGAAATTTCACAAACAAAATTTTCAATTACAAAATATAAACACAAGAAAAATAACAGTAGTCAAGTTCTTTGGACATTTTTTTTTCTTTTTCTGGATTTAGAAACATTTTATGTTACCTTTTAAATAATTTGTGATACAAAATTTATTCAAGCAACTCATTAAAAAAATGGAAATTTCAATTTATCAAAATTGTTGCAAAACTTTCATTGGAAATTTAACTTAAAGATTACTTATTACGCTGCAAAATCATAGATTGAAGCAGAAGATATTTTAATATTGTTTAAATAAAATGTTTTGAAGAAAATCATGGATGAAATGTTCTTTAAATTCTGCATTTTTAAAAAATTTCAGGTGAAAGAGAGGAAAAAGTGACTGCCTCGCGTCACTCGTCCCTCCCTGGATCCGGAGCCGTTTCCCCGGCGCCGAGCGGAACTTCTGCAGAAAACAGGTAAAGCGGAAAGTGCGAATTTCTTGTAATCAACTGTCATAAAATTTTATTAATCGATCAGAAGTTCACGGAGATTGGTAATTGAAGAAAACCGGGGCGAAAATAAATGTAGTAGTAGCTTTGTTGGCACATCTGTCTTTATAAATTGCACCTCGGATCGCGATTTCACGATAAGTGCGCGCCATAAAAATTGATTGTGGATTTTACTTTTACAATCTCTGCGCTACGGTACAAATCATGTAGGCTCTGCATTCAAGCAAGAAATGCAATAAAATTGTAAACACGCGCCTCATTCAAAAGTGCAAACTAGAAACTATTTAATTATTAAATAATGTACAAGTAGGGAGGCTCCTCGCTAATGAATATTCTTTTCCAATAAAAAGTTATTTAGATCTGCAAGCCTGATTTATGATAAATAATAAATTGAAAAATAAAAATGAAATTTAAATGTAACAAAAAATCTAACTAAGTACGAATTCAGTTCATCATTTAAAGTGCTTCTCGCTTGAAAAAAACTGAAGAAATGAGCTAAAAAAATGTAATTTCGGATTCTTGCTAATTTATTTTTCCTGCTATGAAATATATGATTGTAGAGCTTGACACTTGACCAAAACTGGTAGAATCGTTGGAAATGTTTTTAGTTTTGAATATGAAAAACAAATTTCAAGCCAGTTTCTCTCTTTGTGAACGTCTGTGCTCACTCTTTCTATCTAAAAAAAATATTCGATTATTTTCACATTATACAGTACTTTCTCAGTCAAGAATGCGTTATTTTTGAAAGGCCCTTGCAAATTTTATGCGATTACGGCCGCTTGACTCTTAATTTAGATTTTCTGCAACAATTAAAATCGCATAACGCTAAATCTCCGGCCAATTAAAAAAAGTGAAAATGGAATAACAATTTTCTGTAATTATCCAAGTCACAGCTGCACATATTTATAGCGCAGCCATTATTGAAATCCGCACTCACTCAGTTAGCCATGCATTAAACAGCAGGTTTGATATAATAAAATGAGCAAAAAAGTAAGTCAGCGGCCGCGGCGAATCAGAGAAACTAGGCGGAGAGTATATTGAGAACACTCCGACTGCACTTTCTACCGAGCATCTTCTTGCCCACCGCGCTAGTCAGTCGAGATTTCGACGCGCGATGGCTCACACTGGCCACAACAATGTTACGTAGATCGTGCGCCAACGTGTTCCACTCGATGGAAAACCTCGGGCCCCTGGGCGCCTACCCCCTCGGGGGCAGCGCGTGGGGCAGCTCGGCCACCCTGACCAAAATGTGGAACCCCACGACCGACATCAATTTGCGCGTCGAGCTAATCCAAAGCAACTTCACGTGTCGCAGGGCGCTCAAGAGGGTCGTTTCCGAGCCCGGCGGCCTCCAGCACCCACCTCCGCCGCCTCCACCGCCCCCGGCCCTGCTGCAGTTCGACACCCTCGGAGAGAGGACGGGTGAGTTGTTTTGTTTGCGTGACTTATGTTCCGCGGCGCTGCCTTTAGGGAAATTCTCGTGATTTCACTTAGCTGCACGACGCGAGAGACGGTCTCTCACACGCGTAATTAATTGCCAGACTTAATTTGATTTCTCTCGAAAAGCTGTAAATATCACTTAAAACCGTCAAGCAGGTGATAATTATAAAACTTGCACAAATATACTTTTTTTAAATTTAAATTCTTGAAATAGATGCAAAAGTTTCTTTTTTTTGCAAGTTAATTGTTTATTAGTTTTATTAGTTTTTTTCCCGTGAAAGTGCAACTTTGACGAGAAACAGAGAACAAAAGACGAGTAATTATAATACTGTCTAGATTGTAATCTGAGCAGTAATGGCTGCTCGTGCATAACTTAGTATGCTAATTACAAAAAATTATACTGCACTTTTAATTTCACTTTCCAAACTTTTGCATTATAATTCGACTTTTTAGGATAAACAAATTTCTCCTTTTCCTCCTATACTCAGGGCTAAGATAAAATGCTCTTATTGTTATAAGAAAAACTACAAGAAAATTTCAATAGAATATAAAAAATGATTCGCATAATCTAATAAGAAGTAAAAAAAATATTGATTTCTGGCCATGCCATAAGTAATAATAAACTTCAAATTATTTCTTGTTTAATAAGATTTGTATGCAATATTATTTCAACAATTTGAATTCAATCTGTACAGAGAAGTAGCAAACAAAATAAAGTAACAAAATTATTTAAATAAACTTCATAGTTTCGCACTCAACTACATTTAATTAATGAGCAATGCCATGTGTGCCTCTGAACGCGCAACTTAATTTTTATCACCTCAAATTACAAAATAAAAAGAGCAAATTAAAATAAATTTGAGAAGATTAATTTAGCGCTCAGTTTGATAGATTATGCAAATAAGATCTGTTAAATTTTTAAGACGGGAATACAGATTTTGATGAAATATTTAGTATGGATAAAAAGGATGTTCTGGATGTTCTGGTGTATTTTTTAATTTAAGTGTGTAAACTTAATAGTATCACGTGATTATAGCTATTTTATTAAAGATTTTATAAAAATGTAAAATATTTGCATACCGTGAACTCCTGAAATGGAATCCAATAAATATTTAAAATAATAAAAGTTTAAAAATTATATTTAGCAAAATTGAAGACCATAATTAGATAATTTATGATTCTGTATTGCACAAGGCCCGACTTAGAAATAAATGGTCAAAAGTACAAAAAAAATTGCCACGGGACATCTTTCAAACGTTAAATTACCGCTTCCTCCTCTTTTCCGCCGCTTTGCCATTTTCTCAAATAAAAATCGTTTCACGCATCAGCTGCAAATTTAAGAGAAATCTATCTTTCTCCCTTTTCCGAATCAGCAGTCACGCCTGCATTACAAAATAATAATTACACATTCACCTGCGGATTCGCGCACAAATTTCACACAATCGATTTTGCCCGTGGACAAAACGCGGCGAGTCGAGCCGGTTTGTTGCGGCCGGCTGGCTAATTATGCGCGACGCACCGGAGAGAAAATGAGGAGCGAGATGCAATTAATCGTGTGTGCGTCTCTTTCGGTAAAAGTAGAGCACACCGCCGTAATTCGGCCGGCAGACCGTAATTAAGATCAGTGCACGGTCACGCACCCCTGAGCACCCCTTCCCCTGTCTAACCCAGCAAGTGGCGTGTCCGCAGGAGCTGCCAGGTCGGCAGTCGGCGCCGAGCAGGCCTCCGACGAGCAGTTTGCCGCCTCCACGCCGCCCACCCCCACAGGTAACAAGCACCTCGTGTTGCCCTTCGTGCCGCCCAAGTTCCCCTGCTCCGGTTCGGACAGTTTGATCAAACCGTCCGAGTACCTCCGCAGTCTGGGAGGCCCCGTCCTCAAGGCCGCCTCCGTCGCCGCCGCCACCGTGCCGCCCCCGCTCAAGGAGGAGGCCGAACCCAGCAGCGCCCCGGCAAACTCGCAGCCTCCGACCCCGGGACCGCCGCCTCCGCCTCTGCCCTCGGTACCACCGTCCCCGCCCGCCCTGCAGCCTCCGGAGGCGGTCAAGGCCAAGCCTGCGCCGCCGCTGCAACCGCTATCCGGAATCAGCATCCACGACTTGAACAGCGTCCAGCTCAGGAAAACCGAAAGGCTGGGGAAGACCATGTCGGCGCCCATTGGGCCTGCGCCCATCACCAACAACGCACCACCTGTCCCAGGTATTTTTTTTTTAATTAATACTTTAATTTCAATCAATTTCAAGCAACAATTTTGTCAATATGATTAAATATTTAAATAATTAACAGAATTTTTGGTTTTTTTTATGCACGTACAACTACATTATTTCATACTTTTAATTGACGATTGTGAACCAAAATTATTTAAAATATTTTTGGAATTTTATTTGAATATTAATAAAATAACTCTTGGAAATTAACATTTACTCTATCAAACTTGTCTGATTAAATATTATGTTTATTTTTTTTTATTTTTCTATCCCTACCAATTGCAGAGGAATATAATTATAAAAAAATTAAAGCCACATTGAAGCCACTAATTTTGAACTTAATTTTGTTCACAATATGAATTAAATGTTGGAACCTATAACTGAATTAAAATTGTAGCACTTTACTTCTCATGTTTCCCTCACAGTTTCAGAAAAACATAAGAAAAGAGTCAATAAATTTTCAACATTTCAAAGATTTAGTGTTAAAATTATAAATCTAATTTCCAGTAACACAAGTAAAATTTAGAATCGATTTTTTAAATTCAGATTTAAAGAATAAATTTTGCTCTTTAAGAAGAGGAATATGAATTTTCGCATCCTTTGTTGCTAAAATTTATTATTAAATTTTGAAGGCTTACAATTTCTTAATTCCATCATTTAAACTATCTCAATCTTTTTCATTTCAGGGGAGCAATTCCAGTCGCAAAAGGACAGCCTGATCGCTGAGCTGAAGCGTTCCCGCGACATCACGGGCATCAGGAAGTGCAAAGTCGAGCGGGCCAAGTCGGAGGAGCGTCTGGAAAAAGAGCACTTCACAAAACTGTCCAAGCAGTACTCGGTCGAGAATTTCGTGGAGCAGGTGAGGAGGAAAAGTTATTTTGAAACATGTTATAACTAATTGGACCCAGTCAATGCAGGTTCCGGACACTGACGCGACGGGCAACCCCATCCCGGCCTGGAAGAGACAGATGCTGGCCAAGAAAGCGGCCGAGAAGGCGCGCAAGGAGGCCGAACTGAGGGCTCTGCAGGAAGCCGAAGAGGAGCGCCTCAAGAACATTCCTCCCTGGAAGAGAGCGTTGATGGCCAATCGCAAGGAGACTGATATCAAAAGGTAAGAAAACAATTTATTTCAACATTTGGAAAGTCTTTTTTTATACTTTTTACTGCTTAATTCAGATTTTTTTATTATTTAATTAATCAATTTCAGTACTTCTAAATTTTACAATTAATTGTCGTTATTTCAACAAAGCCTTTTTCAACCTGATTCTGCAATTTTCGGCCTAAATCTTGTCGACATTTTACATTTTATACATCGCAGGAATTGCCACAGTTAAAAAATTAAAGTTAATTGAATTTCACATCTCTAACAAGTTCTTGATAAAAAGATTCCGCTAGGCGGAAACGCCTGAAAACAAGCAGACAATAAATCACATGCGAGAGGTGATGCCCCTCACAGTTTTAGAAATGATAACAAGCCTTCTCAGATTTGCTCTATTAACTCATTGTTAGCGTGGTGCATGTGTTTTTGAGCATATGTGTGTTAGCAGTTCAAGATGATGCGGTGCGTTTCGTCTCGTCATCTCGCCATGCACTTATAAATTCCAGTGATGAGTGTGTGTTTTTTAAAAATTGGCTCTTCCTCCTGCCGTAAACCGCAAGAGTTTTTATGTAACGGAAACTTATATTTTTACATTACGGCAATTTCATTGCTTTAATTTTCTCAAGAGTTCGTAAATAAAACGGGGCAGAGGAAGAATCTTAATTTAAGGTTATCAAGTGCCATCATCACTTTGCTATTAAAATATATGAATTTTCAACAAGATACTTGCAGTACTTTATTAACCTCAATTTTAAAATCTAGATTGAGTTTCGTTCAATCAATGTGGAGCCAGGGGTAAATACTTGAAATATGTTTGCTCTATTTAAATAAATTTTTAAATTTAAACTCAACTTAGAAATCTGAAGACTAGCAAAAAATAATAATAATAATAATCAGGGGCTTGATAACGAATTTGAAAGCCAAAATTTTAATCATATTAGCTAATCCTCTGCAATAAATTTGATTTCACAAAATAAGCTGAAGTAAAAATAAAGATCAGGGCAAACAGCACTCGCATTTTGCATATTGAAGTTCGAGGCCGTTTGCCCTTATGTTGACGTTTTTAATAAGAAGAAATTAATATTTTGATGTAGGAAAATTTTATATTTTCAGTTGGAAAAAATTTGTATTAACAATTAGAAATATTTTTATTTTAATTCGTTTTAAAACAATTAGTTTTTCCTGCTCAGTTTTCAGAATTGCAGACTAAGTTTATTTTTGAAACTTTTCAACCCAAAATCTACACAAAAGCACAAAAAATCTTGAACAATTAAATTGTATAACCTTTAAAAGATAATTTAAAACCGTGCACTTTTTGTTGTTCTAGGAGTACGCTGTACACACCTAAAGTTTTGTCTGTGGAGAGCCCAGTGTCAGAGGTGGAAGAGCCGATTTGCTCCGAAAACGACAAGGAGAACATCCAGGAGGGGTCGCAGGGGTCCACCGAGTCCGACGAGATCAAACACAACCCTGAAGACGATTCGGTCACGTTGCCCCTGATGCCGTGGAGGGCGCAGCTGCGCAAGACTAACAGCACCCTGAATCTGCTCGAGTGATAAGAAGTTTAAAATTTAGTGAGAGATAATAGAAAAAAAGAGCCATTTCCTCTCAGCACTGTTGAATCTGTATGTAAAACTTCGCTCAAATCTTGTATAACCCATTTTCTACTAACATATTTTTAAATGTAAATAAGATTCTTGCAAAAGCTCATTCCACTTTAATCCCGTAGCACACAGGTGATAAAATATTCAAGATTCTTCCCATTTTAGCCAAAATAGAATTGATCAAGAGAGGAAATGATTAGATTCTGAGAATTTAATTAGTTTCTCCATGTAATTTTGGTCATTCTGAACTTTTCGTTATTTTAGAACTACTATCAAGGAGTGAATTTTTTAACGAAATGTATAAAAACTCCATTGCTTGCTTTCCTCTCACATAATAAACGATTTTTCGTAACTTATTTGCTCTCTGATCACTCCCACCAATATTAACCAATATAAATGTAAATTGAGTTTTACTCTCCCATGGTACTTTATAGTTTTTCTCATGAATAAAGTAAATTGAGTTATCTAATATAAACTGTAATAGTTTTAATTGAAAATATGAAATACATTGGATTATACATAATTATTATGAAACAATTTGGCGCATCGCATATCAGAGTTTTAATGTAAGTTATATATTAAATTCTGACGATTTTGAATATTAATTACTACTAACTAATAATATCAAGATATTTAAAAATGAGACCTTATTATCTTACAGCGTATTTTATTTTTTACCAGAACTCTCAGATTACAAATAAAAAATAAAAAATATTATTAAAAAAAATGTACATCCGTACAAAATGAATGCCACCTGCGCAACGCAGCAGATGATAAGAAGTTGTCAAAAATGTATTTTTTTTTCGTAAATTTTTAGGACTTGATGGGCTTTGACAAAAAATCTTATATTTGAAGCCGTAAATTTTTTTCACCCTTATAACATTTTAAATAAGTTGCTAACTTTAAAGTTTTTTGGTTATGTTGCTGGATCTTACGTGGAACCCATGTTTTTGTCTTTGAACTTTTAAAAATGAAAAAAAAAATTATCCTATAAATTGTAATATTTTTATTTTTTATTTATAAATACGTTCGTATAATAGTGTGCACGCGCATTTTTGACGCTCTTTTTCCTTGCTCTTTTTGCTCGAAAGTTGCCACCTGTCGGACGAAAGAGGTACTTTGTGAGCAGTGTTGCCACTGCAACGCTGCCATCCGTCGAGGGTCGGAGGTACCACCTGGGCCATTACATAATGCGGCGGCTGTCAAGTCTGCATTGGTAAACTGGCTCGGCAGTCTGGCCAGATCTCCGGCGCAGCAGGCAGCGGCTGTGCGGGTCACGTGACCGAATATTAAACCGGGCAAGCGCCATTTTCCGTCAACTGTGCTGGGTCCGCGCACAAAAGAAGCCCCCATCTGTGGATCCGTGTTCCGTTTGGCGCAGCAAAAGGGCCCGAGCCGAGCCCAGTGTCAGCAGTCGCGGCCCACGATCGGCATCGGCGGCCCCCAGGGCGGCCCCACGGCTCCTAGACCGAGGCACCCTGGCTCCGTACCCTTCAAGGTCAGTGTCGACGGCCCCGTCGTGCCCTGCCGTTGCCCCGGGGTCTGATTCGAATCGGCCCCGGGGCTTCTTCGGGCCCCGAAATAAACTCATTGATTTCAGGGGAGACGCACAATCGTACAGCCGAACAGGAAGTTGTGCATTTTGAGGCCTCAAAGGGGTGGGTTGAGGGCGAGGGTGGCGGACCCTTCAAAAGAGTTGCCTCTCGGTAGGTCGAATCCACGACTTTTTTCCAGGTCTCGGGGCTTGAATTTGGATTTTTTTTTTTAATTTCTGAGGGCGAAGGGTGCATATTTGGTGAGGGGGTGGGCTTGGGGGTTGAGAAGCAGCTGTCAAATTTTTGACAGTTCCACCTCTGGGCGCTAATGAACGCTTACATGGGGGTGGGAGAGGAAATTTAGGGGGTAGAATTCGTTTGTAATTTCAAATTTTGATTATTCTCTTTCATTTTTGGCAAAAATCTGAGAACTTTTTCAAGTTTCTGAAGTTTTGAATTAGTTGAAAACTGAATACCCATTTTTTTATAATTAATTATATGTATTTAAAAAAATACAATTGACAATTATTAATGTAATGAAATTTTTGAAACAAGATTGAAAAAGGGTTGATTTATTGTTGGAAGACTATTTAGTTTAATGTTTAAGCTTTCAGTTGTTAGTTTCAATCCAAACTTTATTCAGGAAAGTCTTTAATCTATCCAATTATGAATTAATCAAAACAATGGTATTCATTAACAAAACTTACAATTAGGGTTAGAATTATTTCAACATTTTTCGCTATTTACAAAATTCATGAATAACATTCGGTTATCAAAGTAATCTTATCTGAAACTAAAACGATTACTGAAAGTTAAAAATATAACATTTTTTACTGTGGACAATTTTCATTTTTCATAAATTAAGAATAAAATATTAATCTGTTTAATTTTGCTCTAGGGAAAGAAAATTAATTATGCAGGAATTCATGTCAGGTCAGCAAAAAAAGAAAAGGTTAATAACACTGACGAACATAAATAAATGTTTTTTTTTTAATTAGAAAAAATTGAGAGTATAATGTAATGAAATTGACTCTAAATTAAAAAAAAATATTTATTTTAAGTGAAAAAAATATGCTTGTTGTATTCTCCATTAATTAAATGAATCAATTTTAAAAGTAAATTGAACTTGAAGAAAAAAGAATAAAATTAAACATTCGAATATGTTTTAAATTTGGCCAACGTTGCCGTCCGAATTGTGAAGCTCCCCCTAGTATGTGCGACACAGTAGCAATTGTAAAGGGCACAGCACTGGTGTGCAAGTACAATGGGTTGGCCAATAATAAACGGGTGGTGTCCGGCGTTTGTGCTGACACCAGCAGACGCTGCACCAGCTTTCCCCTGTGCATTGTAGAGAGAGTGACATAATATCAAAATAATAATAATTGTGCAGCGCACTCGCAGCATTTTAATTGAAAATATGCAAATGACGGATCGATTTATTGTTAATTTGTAATTGCACTCGAGTAGGCAAATAAATAAATTCACACATACACAGAAAGTCATACACGTGTCGTTGCATTTTGTTTGTCTTGCACTGAGTCAGCCGCAGAAATTATTGCTGCTAATTGCTCGCGTGATTTATTGTGCGCCTTATCTTTCCAACGCGCTTTTCAAATATTTCGCACCTTTCGCTGAGCAAATCAATTTTGCGTAATTTCACCGTGACATTTGTTAATTTTTTGTTCAATTTGCTTCATACTTCAGCTCGAGGCCTAGCTTAATGTTTGCGTTTTAAATTTAATTCTTGAAGGATACTAAATTTTCAATTTTAAAATTTTCATACTCTTAAATTACATGTTATTACAAAATTAAGCACCAGAGAAAGAAAAAATTAAATTGATTTTAAAAAACTTTTGCTTGAAAAATTGCTATTTTTGTTCAAGTTTTATGCTCTTACTTGATATAAAAGAAAAATCAGTGTAAAAAATTCGAATTGTAAAAAAAATCGATTTTTTTTATACATTAATTTCTTACTCAATTTAAACGCAATATAATTTTTTCAGTCAAAACGTGGCTTTTAAATTGACACAGTTTTGAGCTCTTCGGAATTGTTTCTTTGTGCAAATTTTTATCTTTAGAAATTCCGGAACGGTCATTCTCGGCGTGACTGACCTTTGGTGTTGACAAATTGCTAGAATAACACGGCCGTGGTGCAACACGTGAAAATAGGAGATGAAGATGTTTTGGATCGGCAGGGCCGCGCAACACACATATTCGTATTATGTGTTTTGAATGTTGGGCATATTGGCCAACTTTATACGGCGACAAAAACGAGCAACACCTCTCACTGCTGGTGATAATTGCTCCAACTTGCACAACTGCCAATATGTTGTCACTGCCCGAAATTCTCTGAAACACAAAGTAAAGAAATAATTTCACATTCGTTTTGTTAAATATTTAGTACGTACAATTTATGTTTTAAACTTTCACGTCACACCTGTGAATTTAAACCTGGTACTTGAAGGACTCCTTTACACCTTTTAAATGGTATTTTATTTCAAAATCAATTTGATTTCCTCAAAATAAATAACTAAAATTCAAATATTGTTTTTCCTTTAAGTAAAATATGGAATTTTTTTTTTTTTAAACTGCTACAAAGATAAATAATTTTGATGATTTTCAGTAAAATATAAAATTTGGTTTTTTATTATTTTTAGCAGTTAAAGATTTAGTGAGAAGCAATCTTTGAAGAACAATTAAAATATAATAAGACTAATTGAATGTTAATTAAATTCAATGATGTTTAAATATATTCAGGAATGCAAGAATATGAATTTTGTATCATAATTATGTTAATTTTGCTAACATTTCATTGACCGGCGATTTTTTTTAATGTCGCAATCAGCTGATTATCATATTTGGCCATTTTCGCGGTATTGTTTTCATTTGTGAGGGCGAAAAAAGGCAGAATTGATCGGTGACCGCGACTCTGTGGGTATTGTGTCAGTTCGGCTGCTGAATTAAAAATGACACGGTTCGCGCGTTTCGCGGCCACACACGCCAGCCAACATTAGTATTTTCGTCGTTAGTCTGCCGCCGTTTTACTTTTGCTTTCAAGGACGGAGAAATTGCACGCACGTATAATTCGCACTGGGAGTTGCTGCATAGGCGTAGGAGTAATTTGGATTGGCAAAGAATGGCAGCAAGATGAACTGCTAATTATTTATTTCCACCAGTGTTTCCTGGAACATTTGCTATATATTTAATTATTTGTCAAAATGGGTTAAAAAATTACCAAGATTAATGCAAAAATTTCCTTCACAATTATAAGTTGAAGGGGAATGAATTAATTTTTAAAATTTTTGTTAAAAAGTAGTTTTAACTAAGTCAAAAATATAGATCATTCAGCTGTTTTCATTCACAATCAGATAATATTTACTTCCATATTTTTACAATATTTTGTCTGAAATGAGTAAAGATATTATTAAATTTAATGCTAATTTTCAAAAGATTCATTGATTTGAAACAATGGTAATGAGAAATACTAAAATTAAATACAATTTCAAAATTAAGGTTCTTTTTTCTTCAAAATATGAATTTGAAATTGTGATTTTAATCTTCTTTACATTTCATTGATATTTATTTGAAGTATTAAAAAAATAAAACATTGACTAATTTGCCTTTTTGAAAATTACTTCCAATTAATTTAATTGCTCAGTTTTCCTCGAAAATCGCTTTAGATGATCCTGTTAAATTAATCAAACTGTTATTTAAAGACACGAAATTGAGCAATACAATTTTATTTTCCGCTCTCTGACGCAAACGACATTCCGCGTAATGAAATATCGCAATGATTGGCCAATTTTGATTACTGAGGGCACAAGATATCGTTTGGTACACCCCTCGCCCTCTCCCTATCAATCTGCGCACGCACGCCACAGCGTTTTTATTAATTAATATTTTCGCTCTAATCTTTGAAAGTTGGGCAACAGACTGACGCGCGCCAATCGGGCCGACCCGCGGGTCAAGGGCCGAAATCAGCCGACGAACAGAGCGATAAGCCAAATTCGCAGGCTTTTTCATTTTCCAGTCGAGCAAACGCGGAGCAGCCGAGTGAATGACAATTTGTTTTTCTGAGAGTGCGTGCGACAAGGCTAGGTGAGGAAAGCACCCAGAGAAAAAACCTTCTTGGTCGCCACCTCCAGTCCGAGTGCAGCTCTCACCTCGGCCGAACCATCTTCTCTTTTCGTATTCACGGTTTTGGACCAAAAGGAAGGAAATTATTTTCACACACCAGCCATGGTAATGAAATTCAATTTCAATTTACTTAAAATTTCTTTTCATTACCATTTAAACTTTTAATTAAACTAAAATCAACCTACTGTATTGACAATATTTATTAAATTTTTTACTAAAATTAAATAGAAGAATTTATTAATTTATTTATTTTATATAATTTTTGCTCAATATTATAATTATCATTTTCAGTTTTTGAATAAATAATAAAATTAAGTATTTGATTTACATTTTACCATTAATTTTTATTCTGATTGTTACAATCATTTAATAAATTTTATACACAGATTGAATACAAAAAATGAATCTTCTCGAATAAATCTTGAATACTTAAACCTTCCTTACTTCCTCCTGTAAATATTAGCTTCGAACCCTTTTGTTTACCCAATCGAAATGACGATATCAAACATTTAAAGACTCTTACTTATTCTCCGTACACGCGCTTTCGCCTTTCATTGTTCCAAAGCATATTGTTCAATCAAGAGTGACCTTTTCCTTCATTCGAGACGTTTTGTCACTAGTGCGTCAATTGAATCTCTTTTTTTTTATCCATCGCCCTCTGCTGTTCCAAGTCTTGCGAGTCACGTGATTTTTCGTCAGCCTGGCAAACTAATTTTTTAATTAAATTCCTCTCGCAATTAGAATTTCATGGGTTCAAACGCAGCACGCAAATCGCTCGTGCTCTTCCGAGGCGCCGCCGTGTATTCTTTTTGACATTTGCGCAATT